AAAGCATGCCTAACTTAACCTGGTTTCTGAGAGGGAAACACTGAATTACAATGAGACATTTAAGAATTAGTTAGAATCTTGATTGAATAAAACACTTTTGAGAAGCTCAGTATTTATCCACCTATCTGTAGGAAGTTCACTTCTCTCATTTTGTCTATGTTAAGTTGTAGCATGGGCTGGTCACGTGGACTCTAAATATTGGGGAAGGAGGCTAAGGGTCCTGGAGAAAGGTGAGAGGAGGGGGCAAAAAAAAAAGTAAAAGAAGGCATATGATAAGACATATTGGACAGGTTGGAAGCAAAGGGGGAAATGTCGTATTAGAGGTGATGGTAGGAGGAAGAAATCATGCTACAATTTTTACTGTACCATTGTGAGGTATATACCTTTGCAAGACTGTGACATGGGACATTTTCTTATCTCTTAGATCAGATACCTTGCTTTACACCAAGAATGACTTAGACTAGTACAGCCTGATTTGTATAGGCTGAAACCTCAGGCACTGTTTCTGTCTCGTGCACTATTGGATTCCTAGTAATTAGCACATGGTCAGCATCAATAAGTACCTTTCCAGTTGACCAGAATCCCACATATCTAATATATGGCTGGAAGTGTTCTTCAACTATTTCAGGTTGCTCTATTTCTCTGTCTGTAGTTACATATAACATTTATCCAAAGGTGATTTGATTGGTAGATTTCAGGATCAATGAATAAGGCAGGCAATGCTTATAGTTAATAAAGGATATGAATTGCATATTCAGGTTATAGTATTTTAGCATCTCGATCAATTATGATGGTTTATAAATGTGGCTAATTGGAATGTTACAACTTTAGATAAAATTATAAAAGTAACTAAAGTAAGAGTCTCTTTAATGCTAGGAAAGAGTTTATACATGTCTTCCAGTTAAGAGTAGCCTCTAAGTTTTTTTTTATATTCCTACTAAATAAAGAAAGTAGTCTTTAAAATTTCATTATTTGCCATTATGTTTCAGTGTTTGCTTTTCCCATCTTTACCAGAAATATATTTAACATACACATATGAATTCATTACTTCCATCGTGTGGGGATTTTTTTTAAACCTCATTCCTTTTACATTCTTTTATCCAACTTAGAACCTAAATAGTTTGTAAAGATTTACCAAGCACATAACCTCATCCTGAGTTTTTTAAAAATATAACATTTTTTAAGAGGTTTTTGCTTTAAGTCACGTGTGCTCACTGGAGAGAGAGAAAAAACAAAAACAAAAACAAACAAACAAAAAACAGAGACAGTGAGAGGGAAAGTGAAAAATCAAAGTCAACCCCAGGGAGATGGCCACACCACAATCCCTTCTCCTCCAGTCTTCTCCCACAATCTTGGGCACATGTACCTGTGCCCAGCATGAGTTTCAAGCCACCAGATCTGGGACTCATAAGACTGTTGCCCATGTGGGAACCCCTAAGCCATCTGCTGGCCTCTAAATACAACAATTTTTTTTAAAGATGAGAAAGTTCTCAACTAGAGAGCATGTCAATTATTTATTTTAAAAAAAGGCTTTGTCAGAAATATATGTGATAGGCATTCTATGAAAATATTTAAGACCATAAATACATAGGACCTCTAGTTGTATTTATGTAATATTTTGTAACAAACTTATCTTTGAGATTTGACTTCCTCAGTAACTTAGCTACTGTCATCAATCTTTTCCAATATTTTGAGGTGTTTTTATAGGAAAAATATTGTTCAGGAGCATTGCTAAATCAATTATCAATGAAAAGAAAGAGAGAAAAGTTACTATGTTGGTTTATCAAATTTTTGACAGCCCTTAGTAATCTAATTTAGAACTTAATGTGCTATTAATATGAAAAAGAAGCAAAGTTTAGTGATGTTAAAATCTTAAATTGCTACTAGTTTAAATTAGAATAGACAAGGCCCAGCTGTGATAGTATGCCCTGGTTGAAGCTGCTACTCAGCAGACTGTGGCCACTTGGAAGCCCAGGTTCTATTCCCAGCACACCCTAGAAACCAAGAGTAATAGACTATGTCAGTTTATTGAGTCCCAGCCAGTCAAAAGGCTAAGGCAGAAGGGTCATGACATAGAACTGTATAAAAAAGGAAGGGAGGAGCAGGCCCTGTGGCCTCGTGGTTGGGAGAACTGGGTCTCACATGGCTGACTGTGCAGTTCAAATCCCAGCATTGGTGACTTGAAAAATACTCTGGGTACACATGTGTACCTGCCCAGAGTCCTGACAGGAAGAAGAAATGGAGAAGGAATTGCAATGTGATCGTGCCCCATTGGGAGGTGCTTTCTCTCTCTTTCTCTGTCTCTGGTGAGCACACATGCTCTCTGCAATTTAAAAGAGTATGATGCAGTTGAAAGAACACAGTTCATCAGTCAGACATGTAGTGTGGATTCTGGCTCCTTTACTGATTGACAGGTTACTGAACCTGTCTGGACCTCTGCATCCTCCTCTGTAAAAAATAAATAATACCCCTCAATTGACATGGTAAAACAGAGACAGTGAGAGGGAAAGTGAAAAATCAAAGTCAACCCCAGGGAGATGGCCACACCACAATCCCTTCTCCTCCAGTCTTCTCCCACAATCTTGGGCACATGTACCTGTGCCCAGCATGAGTTTCAAGCCACCAGATCTGGGACTCATAAGACTGTTGCCCATGTGGGAACCCCTAAGCCATCTGCTGGCCTCTAAATACAACAATTTTTTTTAAAGATGAGAAAGTTCTCAACTAGAGAGCATGTCAATTATTTATTTTAAAAAAAGGCTTTGTCAGAAATATATGTGATAGGCATTCTATGAAAATATTTAAGACCATAAATACATAGGACCTCTAGTTGTATTTATGTAATATTTTGTAACAAACTTATCTTTGAGATTTGACTTCCTCAGTAACTTAGCTACTGTCATCAATCTTTTCCAATATTTTGAGGTGTTTTTATAGGAAAAATATTGTTCAGGAGCATTGCTAAATCAATTATCAATGAAAAGAAAGAGAGAAAAGTTACTATGTTGGTTTATCAAATTTTTGACAGCCCTTAGTAATCTAATTTAGAACTTAATGTGCTATTAATATGAAAAAGAAGCAAAGTTTAGTGATGTTAAAATCTTAAATTGCTACTAGTTTAAATTAGAATAGACAAGGCCCAGCTGTGATAGTATGCCCTGGTTGAAGCTGCTACTCAGCAGACTGTGGCCACTTGGAAGCCCAGGTTCTATTCCCAGCACACCCTAGAAACCAAGAGTAATAGACTATGTCAGTTTATTGAGTCCCAGCCAGTCAAAAGGCTAAGGCAGAAGGGTCATGACATAGAACTGTATAAAAAAGGAAGGGAGGAGCAGGCCCTGTGGCCTCGTGGTTGGGAGAACTGGGTCTCACATGGCTGACTGTGCAGTTCAAATCCCAGCATTGGTGACTTGAAAAATACTCTGGGTACACATGTGTACCTGCCCAGAGTCCTGACAGGAAGAAGAAATGGAGAAGGAATTGCAATGTGATCGTGCCCCATTGGGAGGTGCTTTCTCTCTCTTTCTCTGTCTCTGGTGAGCACACATGCTCTCTGCAATTTAAAAGAGTATGATGCAGTTGAAAGAACACAGTTCATCAGTCAGACATGTAGTGTGGATTCTGGCTCCTTTACTGATTGACAGGTTACTGAACCTGTCTGGACCTCTGCATCCTCCTCTGTAAAAAATAAATAATACCCCTCAATTGACATGGTTGTCCTAAAGACTTAAGACAATGTATGCAAAGTAACCAGAATTGAGTAGGTGCTAAGTTTATGGTAGACATTATAAAAGAAGTTTTCAGAGGGTTAAATGCTTTTGCTGGAATTTCACAGTAGTATTTTGATGAAGCAGATCCTTGCTCCTCTACCATTCCTCACAGCAAGAAGAGGGATCCATTTACAATGTCGCTCCTGTGCTCAAAACCCTCACTGGCCCACTTCACTCAAAGTAGAAGCCGATGTCCTGGCTGTGACTCAACTCACAAAACCCTGTTGATCTTACCCTCTGTCTCCTCTCTAACTCATCTACTTCTATTTTGATGGAGTCAGAGTTCCAGTTAAAGACATCCTCTCATCCAAACTGGAATGTATTTCATGTGAGAACATCCTCTGACTATGAGACATGGGAAGTTTTCAGTAACTTGTCACTTGAGTTGCACTTAATTTGTCTTGAACACTTGATTTTTTAATACCCTTCAAAGAAAGACTGATTGCTGTCAGAAGCCATGGTGGTCTCTGAGTATTATTTCGGTCTCTATGTATTATTTCTGCAATTAATGAAATTTTTCAGTAAATTGGATCAGCTGCAGTTGTGTATTTATACACTTTCAATGAATAAAAGTGGGAAAGAATTTGAAATTACACTATTTGGGTTATTTAGTCATTAGCCTCATTTTTTCTTTAAATTTTTTAAATTTAAGAATATAAATTTAAAGTATTTATATTATTAATCTAATCAATGAGAAATGCACAAACATTGCTATTTTGTAGCAATATACATGAAACAAATTATGTGAAAATAGCCTAGATTTACCACATCTTTTGTACTTTAGTACATTGAGATCCTGTCTGTAGGCAGTGACAGGTAACTATGAATACTTGGTTCCCTTATCAATCACAAATATACATGTAAAGATGATTTTGAAATAACGTGACAGAATATAACAATATTATAATTATGAAATGCAATACTGTGAAAGCAAAAGCATCCTAATAATAAAGACTCATTAGATATATAATCTCTAAACCAAATAAGACATAAACCCTTCTCAAAGAAGTTAACATATATACCTTTGAAGATAATTTCTTTTTTAAAAATAGTTGTTTTATTTAACTTTATTTATTTATTTAAATTTGACCAGAGAGGGACAGAGCGAGAGAGAGAACGAGAGAAAGAAAGCGAGAAAGCAAGCCGCCAGGTCCAGGACTCAAACTGCATTTGGCCATGTGAAAGTCCAGTGCCCTTAACCACCACGACACCTGTTGACCCCAATAACATTTTTTAATTATTATTTTTTATACATTTAATCACTATACATCATTTAGCTTGTAGAGAGAATTTACCCAACATGAAATACGCCTCAGACCAGTCCAATTGAGAATATTATACATGTTATCATCAACAGGTAATAAACCATTTCTGTGTCCCACAAAAGTCTTACTTTTCTATTTTTCTTCCCTATGCTCTTCCTCTCTCCCACCCTCTTTCCACACTGTCTCCAGTGTCCATAACTATTTTTCAATGCTTTTATGTTCTCCAATCTTTCAGTCTCTACCACAGAGTGCAAAAGTCAGTATATGTTCAGTGGAGACATATAATATCTCTCTTTCATAGCCTGGCTTGCCTCATTCAGCAATAAATCTTCCATATCCATACACTTTCTATCAAATGACAGGGTCTTATTGATTTTTATGACTAAATAGTATTCCATGGAGTACATGTGCCAGACTTTCTCAATTCATTCTCTGTTCGTGGACATTTGGGTTGGTTCAGGGTCTTAGCAATCTTGAAAAATGCCACAATAAACATAGATGTGCAAGCACTTTTCTGATGGAGTATTCTCCTGTCCTTTGAGTAGATTCCCAGGAGTGGGATTGCTGGATCATGTGGTAGTTCTATTTTTAGGTCTTTGAGGAACTGCCTTATTGTTTCTTACAGTGGTTGGACTAATTTACATTCCCACCAACAATATAAGAGAATTCGCCTTTCACCACAACTCCACCAATACTTATCATTTTTTGTATTTTTAATCTCCACCGCTCTGACAAGGGTTAGTGGTATCTCATTGTGGTTTTAATCTGCATCTCCCTTATTATGAGGGCTGTTGAGGATTTTTTCATATGCTCTTTGACTGTTTGTATTGTCTTAGATAGTTTTTTGTTCAACTTATTTTCCCATCTTTTAATTGGGTTAATCATTTTTTCTTCTTTTTTGGTAAACTGCTTGAGTTCCCTGTGTATTCTGGTTATCACTTCCTTACCTGAGGCATAGTTTACAAAAATATTCTCCCATTTCAAGGGTTGTTGATGCACACTAATTACTGTGTCTTTGGCTGTGCAGAAACTTTTTAATATAATGTAATCCCACTTGTCTATTTTTGGGTAGTTTCATTTTTAAAAAATTCCTTTTTCTTATTATATAACCATTTTTCTTTTTAAAAATTATTTAGTCAGAAAAACACTATTGAGATTTATTACAGGAAAATATTAATAATTATACAATTTCCAAATTAAAATAGGAAAGGAAAAAAGGCTATGAAAAAGAAGACATTACAGAATATATGAAGCCTTTAATAAAAATCTTCAGGTCTTAACCTTAAAGCTTTCTATATTCTCAACTATACAAATAAGGGGAATTCACTTTATGCTATAGACATCTATTTAAGGCTATAATTTTATTAAAAAGAGTTTAATAACATGAGGGCCTTTTCTTCTCTTTTCTCTCCCATTTAGAGTAAGTCATAGAAGAAGAAATGAGTCTTTCATTCTGTGGTAACAATATTTCTTCATATAACATCCATAATGGTGTATTACAAAACCCTTGCTTTGTGGACGCCCTCAACCTGGTCCCGCATGTCTTCCTGCTGTTTATCACTTTTCCAATATTGTTCATTGGTACGTAAGTTAATGTGCTCTGTTACTTAATACTTAGAAGTCTTATTTATGGCTGAGATTTGTGAAGATGTTGACTTAATTCTCTGACATGAAAGCTGATGTGTAGCCTCCCATGTTAGAGAAATTACATTTCATTAATTAGATTAAATTTCATTAATTTTTATGGGTGAGATAAGAACACGCAAATATTTGTGTTTCCCAATGATACTGTTTTGACATATGGTACTCTGTAGTAAAATAGCAGTCACATACCTGCTTAGGAATGGGCTTCAGGTAGTAGCGTTTTTTAAAAAAAAGAAGAAAAGTCATAATTGTGTGAGATAGACCTAAAATATTTGTTGAACACTTGCTTTATACTTGGTGAAGGGACTACAAAATGGGTGAAACAGCAAGCTTAGAGGAATGGTCTGATGGAATGGATGTGTCAAAGCCCAGAGCTGTGGCCCAGCCTCTAGGGCACAGGCAAGAGAGGCTGCGAGATGTTGAGAGCCATATGGGAAGACTCTGGGTTCCTTCCCCAGGTCTACATGACCCAAGCCCTGCACCTATGGTCCTGGCTAATTTCAGGGCTTGGGGGGAGGACTGTGGTATGAAGACCTTCTCAAGAGTACTTGAAATAAAATATATATATATATATATATCAGGGAAATGATTATACCATGATGTAAAACCATTTACAGATACAGAAATAAATTACCCTGGGCATGCATCTGTTAGAACAACTAACTCTTCTTAGGGCTGGTTGGGAAGACTACACAGAATGATATGTCTGGGGACCAGAAAGGTGTAGAGTGTACAAATTCAAACAGGAATGATTTGGGTGTTTCGGGTAGAGAGAATGCATGTGCAGACTACCTAGGGAAGAGTTACTAATAGTTTCCCCTGTTATTTTACAGCTACACCTCACAAAATCCAATTATGTAGGGTAGTCATATATAATTTGTGTAACTTCTTCAAAATAAGCAGAATAGGCCCTTTCACTTTTATTAAATTATAAAATAGTTTTATATCAAATGATAAAGATTGATAAAATAAACTGCCACTAAAACTACTACCTGCCATCTTAGGATATAATAAAAACAACTAAAGGGGCTCACTCTTCACCATTTTCTGATCCCATTAATCTTCCCACATCCTAACTTGTTCATCATCTCTTCACAAAACATAGCCCCTCTTTTGATGTTGAATCTTTAAACATGATTTGCATGATTTTGACCCTGAAATGAATGAAAAAGTTATCAGACTGGTAGTGTTCAGAAAACTAACACAACTTAATGATCTGCTTTAAAGGAAAATTTGAAAATAATGTGTATGTTTTTATTTTTTCATTGAACAAATACTAATAGAGATCAAAGAAGTTTTGTCACTTGCTGTGTACAGAGACCAGCATAATTCTTGGTCCATAGTTATTTATGGCAAGCAAATGTACAGATAATAAATGTATTTGGACCAGAGTGGCCATACTAGAAACACTAATCATTGTTTATACAGTATTATTTGTAGGCCAGTAATAATGTCCTTTGCGAAAATGGGAAAATGAATATTTTTACTGCAATTCTACAATAAATGATTTATAACTTTTACTGTAGTTCTGCAATTAATTAATTTTCTTGACATCCAGCTAACTTCTTGAATACAAGGCATCCATTTTTGTACCCTTTGTATCCGGTGCAGAGGCTGGTAACAAGGATATCTGGATAGAGTAGAACTGAAGTGGACATTGGCCAAGGGAAATGGAAAACAGAAGCAAACTGTTCTTTTATAACATTGACTCCTTGAATTAATGAGAGCCCATAAATAAATCTCAAAGGACTATCAGGTACTAGGAAAATTACAATATTCCCAAACAGACACAGACTTTGCCTGCCAGAGTTGATAGCATAAACGCTAGTAAAATATGTTAGATGTGATTAACCTTCCAATGGTGTATATTTAGAAACAACTAATTCACAAACCAATTTTCTTGTCAGGGAATGCTTCAGGGGTTCTTGTTGTCTAGACAGAAATTCCTCCCTGTAATATTTCAAACATAAAGCCCCATTCATTCCTGAAGCATAAGGGCTTTTCTCAGTCAAAACATGAATAAAAAAATAAAAGACACCCATGTGGGGTCCTTTTCTAGCATACAGTATACACTGGCAGCACTTTACCTTTAGTTTTGGGAGAAAATCACTAAAATTTTACTCAAACGTAATCTTGAATTGTTGTCTACAATGATGAGCTGAGGATAAACCTATAATGTTCTGAACCTGTAATGAGCCTACATAAAGGTCATGATAATGAAGGGAATTTTAGGTTTTTTTTTTTTTTTTTTTGAGAGGTTTTTGCTATAGGGCACACACGCTCGCTAGACAGACAGAGAGAGACAGAGAGATAGATAGCGAGAAATCACCCCCCAGGGGAGATGGCCATGCCATAATTCCTTCTCCTCCATTCTCCTCTTGGGATCTTGGGCACATATGCACACACGCCCGGAGTGAGTTTTAAGCCGCCGGAACCGGGACGCGAACCGTGGTCGACTACATGGGAGTCCAGCGACATAGCCATGACGCTAACTGCTGGTCCTGGGAATTTTAGTTTTCACTGAGAAAAGTATCACTACCACTTGCTGAATAGCGCTGGCTCATTCATAGGTAACAATTTTTCTCATATGGTAGCTTTCAATTAAGAGTTAACTAATAGGGGAACCAGCAGTTAGTGTAATGGCTATGTCGCTGGACTCCCACGTAGTCGACCGCGGTTCTCGTCCCGGACCCGGTGGCTTAAAACTCACGCGGGGCACATGTGTGTGCGTGCCCAAGATCCCAGGAGGAGAATGGAGGAGAAGGAATTATGGCATGGCCATCTCCCCTGGGGGGTGATTTCTCGCTATCTATCTCTCTGTCTCTCTCTGTCTGTCTGACGAGCGCACGTGCCCTATAGCAAAAACCTCTCCAAAAAAAAAAAAAAAAAAAAAGAGTTAACTAATGAGCCCTAGATTTTATAACCAAATATGTCTTTTTAAAAAAATCATTACCTTACAGACTCCCATGTTTTGTTTTGTTTTGTTTTGTTTTTGAGAGGTTTTTCACTATAGGGCACGTGCGCTCGCCAGACAGAGAGAGACATAGAGACAGAAAGCGAGAAATCACCCCCCAGAGGGGATGGTCATGCCACAATCCCTTCTCCTCCATTCTCCTCTCAGGATCTTGGGCACGCACGCACACGCACCTGGCGTGAATTCTAAGCCACCGGGTCCGGGACATGAACTGTGGTTGACTATGTGGGAGTCCAGTGACATAGCCATTACACTAACTGCTGGTTCCCCCAGACTCCCATATTTTGAAAGGATTTTAGACACCAGATTTCTTTTATTGTTGTCAATTTATTTCCTTGTAAATGAATGAGGAAGGTGACCGCAAGAGCTTCTAATTAGCATGAGATAAAACCATGTTGTTACCCAGAGTTAGTGTTATTCCTGAGCAGTGCAGCAAATGTTTATATGCTAATTTAGGCAATCTCATAAAATTTATTAAAATTATTGGGACCAGCAGATGGTATAGTGGTTACATCGCTCGACTTCCACATGGCCAGCTGTGGTTTGAGTCCTGAACCCAGCAACTTGAAACCCACACTGGGCACGTGTGTGTGCAGGCCTAAAATCCCTAGATGAGAATAGAGGAGAAGGCATGACCATCACCCCTGAAGGGTGATTTCTAGCTTTCTGTCTCTCTGTCTCTGTCTTTTTGATGAGTACATGCACCCGATAGCAAAAATCTCTATCTCTAAAAAAGAAAAAAATATTGAAATTATTATTTTTAACACTAGAAAAATAGACAAGGATTTTCATCATTACCCTAGAAAGTATTAAGTTTTCAGAAACTCCCTGAAAAACAAACAAAACAAAAACAAAAAATAAAACAAAACAAAAAAAACAACTTATCCTAATGTAAATTGCTTCTACGATTATAATTGAGCCTTTGTTTTCTCTTTTTCATACCTTCTCTCTCTTTCTTTCTTTTTTTTACTCCCTAGGATGGGGGAGCCAAAGCTCAAAAGTACAAATTCATCACAACACATGGCTTCATTTTCCTGGACATAACCTGAGATGGATTCTCACGTTTGCGCTCCTGTTTGTGCATGTTTGTGAAATAGCAGAAGGCATCGTTTCAGATTCGTAAGTGACTAGGCTTAGAAATACCATTATGGTGTTACCAGTGGGTACACTGCTATAGTTAGTAGCCAAGAACATATTAAGTCATACCTAACTTTGGGGGCGTCACTCAGTAGGAATGAAAGCTATCACCCATTGCATATGGTAAGATTGCCTTTTGTCCATGGTTTTGTGTTGCTGTATCATTTCTTTGATAATACAAATTCAGAGCACTAAGACTTGTGCCTATTCATGCACTGGATATTTCTTTGCTCCTTTATCCATGTGTTTGTTGCAGGAAGTTCTTCTCTCCTTTTAAACATTTTGACATTTATTTTTAAATTTTTTTTAAAAATTTAGTTTTTTTTTTTTAAGAGAGATTTTTGTTATAGGGCACTTCTGCTTGCCAGAGAGACAAAGGGAGACAGAAAGCTAGAAAGTAAGAAATCACCCCCAGGGGAGATGGCCACATTGCAATCTCTTCTCCTCCATTATCCTCTAAGGGTTTTGGGTATGCACACACACATATGCCCGATGTGAGTTTTAAGCCACCAGGTCCAGAACCTGAACTGCAGTCGACTACGTGGGAATCCAGTGAAATAACCATTACTCCATCTGCTGGTGTCACATTTACTTTATTTTAAAAAATAGGTCTAAATAGAAAGGTTGTCTATATACAGCTACAGTACCTGTATATTTACATATTAATATATTAATCAGTACTCAAGTGATTTAGTTTATTTTTTAAAGAAAAGATAGGTGAGGCGGGCATTAAAGAAATTTGAGAACAAGTGAGGCTAAAACCACAAATTGAGGTAAAGCATGAAATTATTTTAAAATCAAGATTTATCTTATAAGCATATTTTAGAAGGAATTTTTGCCTCCCCCCCCACCCTCCAGAATACATGTGCTTACCCCAGGGAGAGAGAGACAAATAGAGAGAGAAAATATAAAAAACATACCCAGTGGGGCGTGGTCACTTCTCCATTTCTCCATCCTGTTTGGATTTTGAGTGTACACACATGCACTGTACTTATTTTTCAGGTCACTGGAGCAGAGATTTGAACCATGTAGTTGACTGTGTGTGATCAGGCTCCCTTAACCACCAGGACTCAGGCCAACCCAGAACTTTGTCTTTTTTTTTTGAGAATTTTTTTTTGCTATAGGGCGTGTGTGCTCGCCAGACAAGCAGAGAGAGACAGAGAGACAGAAAGCGAGAAATCACCCCCCCCCGGGGGGGGGATGGTCATGCCGCAATCCCTTCTCCTCTACTCTCCTCTCAGGATCTTGGGCATGCATGCACACGCGCCCGGCATGAGTTTTAAGCCACTGGATCTGGGACGCGAACCGTGGTCGACTACGTGCGAGTCCAGCGACATAGCCATTACGCTAACTGCTGGTTCCCAGAACTTTGTCATTCTTGAAGGAATGTTTTTGTTGTTGTTGTTGTTGTTTTTGTTTCCAAAATTTATTTTTATCATAGAGCACAGGTGAGAGGGAGAGATGTACCCTCAACGTGATCTCACAACATCCCCTTTCCTCAGTTCTTGAGCTCTTCTTGGGCACCTGAGCATACTTTCTGGCCAACCCAAGGATCTGAATCCTTAGTGGTCCCTGTGGCTTCCAGCACTATAGTTCAGCTTGACACCTATTGTGACCACAGGCTGGTCCAAATTTTGTCATTCCTAGAAGTTTTTATTAGGCAGTTAAAATAAAATGTATTATATTGGGGACCAGAAGATAGTATAATGGCTACGTCACTGGACTCCCATGGAGTCGACCACAGTTCAAGTCCCGGACCCGGTAGCTTAAACACACGCCAGGCGTGTGTGCGTACATGTCCAAGATCCTGAGACATCAGAAACATTTCTCAATTTGTATGTTGGGTGAATTACTTCTCTCTTACTTTTTTCTCTTTGCCTGTTCGAACTATGACAGAAAGTGTGGGCGGTTTTTAAGCACTATAATAGTATTTTCACAGTTTTTGCTACCTTGTCTGTATTAATGATTCTAAAATAGATCACCGATCATGGTTCAGATATCTGTGTACAGTTACCCATTAGACAATCTCCTTCTCTTTCACAATCCACACATTCCTACTGAAACTTATTTTCATCCTCTCTGATCTGCACTTCCTCAGTATTATCTATATATTCATCATCCACGTGACTATCATAGCAATTTGTTCAAAACCCAAATTTGACTATACCAACTACCTGTTAATGCGTTTCAATTTTCTGCAAGATGAGATTCTAGCTATTTAACTATCACATGCAAAACCTTTCAGATAATTCCTATCTTAAGCACTAAATTTCAAGAACATTAAGCTACTTGTAATTTTGAACATATGACACTGCTTCATGCTTCTATGTATTAGCGCATTCTGTTCCTTCTTCTTTTTTTTTTGCCATAGGGTGCATGCACTTGCCAGAGAAAGATGGAGAGAGACAGAGAGGTAAAGTGAGAAAGTGAGAAATCACCCCCAGGGGGGGTGGCCAAACCACAATCCCCTCTTCTCCATTCTTCTCTTGGGATTTTGGGCATGCACACACATGTGCCTGGCACAATTTTCAAGGCACCAAGTCCAGGGCTTAAACTGCATTTGGCCATGTGGGAGTCCAGCACTTCAACCACTATGCCACATACTGGCTCTCCATTCCCTCTTTTTTAAAAGTGCCTGTCCACTGGGGGCTGGCAGGTGGTGTGGTGGTTAAGGGCACTGGACTCCCAAATGGACACCGTGGCTAAGGTCCCAGACCTAATGGTTTGTTTTCTCACTTTTTCTCTTTCTCTCTGTCCCTCTCTGGTCAAATTAAAATAAATAAAAATAAATAAATGGATAAATAAAATAAAAATAAAATAATTTTTTTAAAAAAGTGTCTGTCTACCAGTCTCCTGACTAATTAATTATTTTACCTATTTCACCTCCCATTATTAACCGTGTCTTTCCACCAGTCTCCTGACTAATTAATTATTTTACCTATTTCACCTCCCATTATTAACCACACTTTTTTAATGTCTTTCTCAAATGTTCCCTCTTCCCCCACTCTTGAACTATTCTCTGTCTTCTCTATACTTATTATATACCAATATCTTTAAGTAATTTATAAAAAGGTAAGTATTTTGCTATGTGACATTATTCATGACAATGTAATTGAAAGCAGTCTATCATGCACATCTGGCCCTGTCATACTCCTGATTCATGGGGAGCTCTGGCTCTCATGGCTTCAGAATGAAGCCTCGTCTCCTTGAAATTGTCCTGAATTGCATTCAATACCCCTGAACATATTCGGACACTCAGCCTGAAACAGTCTTCCCCCTCCTTCCTCTGAATAACAATTTTTCGTTCTTAAAATCTGTTTAGAACTCACTTCCTACACAAAGCTTTCTCTGTCCCAGCTGAGCCTGTGTGCTCTCACTGTTCCTTTGCCTGTGTCATAATTTCCTGTTTGCTTTTGGTATCCCTGATGGACTCTAGACTTCGTGACTACAGACACTATATTTCATCTTGCTCATTGTTTCTTCTGAGAAGCTAATACTATGTCTGGACCAGAAAATATATATCCATTGAATGAGTCAATGAGAAGGAAGAAGTCACTGAAGACCATAGAGTGTGGAAAAGCTGTTGAAGGGATAAACATACATTTTAGTTCTTATTTAGGTGCTTGCTTTTACTTGCTTTGGTGGTTAAATCATTTCAGCAGTTCTGCCATTCATTATAGGGTAGTTGTATCATTGTTTGTGTTGTAATTTTTTTTTTTAAGGAAAATTAAAGAATTTATTGGAAACTATGATTTAGCTCTTGAAAGAGAAGGGAAAGCTAGAAAATGAGGCTTTGGAAAATCCAGAACCAAGGAGGCTCTAGGTTTCTGGGTAGCAGAAACTAACATGTGGACAGGTTCACCTGGAAGTCCCAATAGTCCTGCATCCCCCCTACATCCCTGAGGTGCTACTGTCAGGAGGAGTCAGCTTCAATCACTTTCTCTCTATGTCACGTTGTTGTAAGTATTTTAAGGAATAGTTTAACCATCAGGATGAATCCTTTCAACAGAATTATGTCTTCTAATATATTCTTCCCTAACAAGTTCTCTTAACAAAGTACTACTGCATTCTGCATGTCAAATATCTTATTTATTTTAATGAAAAAATGGGAAGCAAAATGAGAAATGATCTGGAAACATCCATCTTAGACACTGATACTGTGCTGCTCTCCGTAGCCGAAGGGGGTCAAGACATCTTCACCTCTTCATGCCAGCTGTGATGGGATTTGTTGCCACGACAACATCAATAGTGTATTATCATAACATTGAGACATCAAATTTTCCTAAATTACTTTTAGGTAAGTATGATCAATTTTTCTTTTCTCAAAAGAGATATTTGTTTTATTTCCTATAGTAAAGACTGTCAGAGTAGGTTGGGAGTGAGAAGTGTAAGAAAACCACAGTAATCAGGACCAGCAGTTGGCATAATGGCTATGTCACTGGACTCCCATGTAGTTGACCACAGTTTGCATCCTGAACTCGGTGGCTTAAACTCACACTGTGAGTGTGTGCCCAAGATCCGGAGAGGAGAATGGAGAAGATGGGATTGTGGCGTGGCCACTGGGGGGTGATTTCTCGCTTTCTGTCTCTCTGTCTCTCTTTGTCTTTCCGGTGAGCGCACGCGCCCTATAACCATAAAACCTCTCCAAAAAAAAAAAAGAAAGAAAGAAAGAAAGAAAAGAAAAAAAAGAAAAGAATGAACTACAGTAATGAAATCTGTAGTTGCTAAGCCAACATGGGATGAAAGATAAACTCAGTTGCTCTGAGTTTTAGGAGCTTGGAAACCTCCTACAACTGTAGGTAAAATTATGTAAGAAAATGTTGTTTCTTCAGGACATGTGTCCTCCAAAATGCCGCTTAAGGTATGTCAGGGTGTAGTGGGAAGAAAGGGAGGGAAAGTGCTGGCCTTCTTGCTTGCAGAAGTTGTACTCTAAGAAATCAGAGCTCTCACAAGAAGCTGTTGCCCCATGAATGAGTCATCTCATTTAGTCCCACGTGCTTCTGCCTCTGGCTTGGATTCCTGAGGCATTTCTGAAGCATCTCAGTGACACTGTGGGGAAATGTAATTGCTGCTGGGACATCCGGGTGCTCTGTGCAGCAGAGCATATCATCTGCCTAAAGCGTAGCCCTCCACCTCTGCCACATCTGCATTACTACTGGGTGGTCTCCTTAGCGTCTCTTGCCTTCTTGTTGAATGGAAATCAGAGGCTGTCTAAAATGTTCCTAATTTTATTTTCACCTTAGGCTGCAATAATATACAGTACCTCATCCCAATTAATTATACTCAGTACTCTGACTCATCCTTGCATTCCTTGGTGTACACTTGCATGAAGAGAGCTGAAATGAGTTATAGAAATGGATCATGAACAGGCTTCAGGGAACTTCTTAAAATTGCTAAGAAAATTGTGTGTTTGTGTGAACGGGTGCTTCCAATTTTTTGAAATCTGAAGTCGGATTTCACTTGATTGTTATATGAAACAATGCCCTTGCCTACTGACTTAGAGAAAGAAATCATTAAAGTACACAAATAGTATTTTTTGTTATTTGTCCAGAGGACGTTAATATTTAAAATGAGTGTGTGGAGGTCAGCCTTGTAGTCTAGTTGTTAAAGGAGCTGGATCCAACATGGCTGATTATGGTTGGAGTTCCAATCCTGGTAGCCTGAAGGACAAAGTGGGTGCATATGTGTATGTGCCCCAAATCTCAACAGGATGGAGAAATGGAGGAGAAAGGATTGCAGCATGATCCCACTCCATTAGGGGGTACTTCCTCCCTCCCTCTGTCTCTTTGTCTCTATCTGTTGAACTCATGCTCCCTCTGTCAATGAAAAGAAACAGTGGTGGGAAATACTGACTATTTAATTCCATTTATCATATTATATAATTGGGCAAATGTAATCTAATAAAAAAGATAAATGGAATGAAATAGCAATTAAAAAGGCTTGTTAAAGTCTGAATTTTCTTAATAGAAAGCTCTTCAACACGAAATGGCAGGCGGACATTATCCCAGAAATCTGAAGATGCTAAAAATTGAGTAAAATGTCTGGTGAGCAAATAACAAATGAACAAACAAAACCCCATAGTGTTTGCAATTTGATAAGTAGATACACGTTTCTGAGAAACTAATGGTGATAAAAAGCTGTACGATGCAATTAGAAAGGAAATGCACATTTGAATGATATGTTAGGAATACTAGGAAGCCCAATCAGAATCTGTAATTCTTATGTAGATTCAAGGCAGAGGGCACAATCTGATCATATGGGAGTTACAGTTATAAAAGGCTGAATAACAGTGATTATTTCAGGAGAGAAAAATTAGGTCCTCAAAATATTCACTATCTTAAGATCACAAAGCTAGTGATCAGTGTCATCATTCTACTATGAAAATTACCCAATAGAAAGTTGGAAAAAATGTGAATACTCATTTAACCCACTACCTAAATGATTCAATTTGCATTTTGTTCTGTTTTACCAAATGTGCACCTCTTTTCATCCCTTTCCTCATCCATCCATCTTGGTTTTTATGCATTTTGAAATTAGCTGCAGACATGGAGCTAGCAGATGGTATAATGGTTACATTGCTGAACTCTCACATAGTTGACCATGGTTTGAGTCTCAGACCCGATGGCTTAAAACTCACCCCAGGCCCATGAGTGTACATGCCCCAAATCCCAAGAGGAGAATGGAGGAGAAGGGATTGCAGCCATCCCGCCTTGGGGGGTGATTTCTCACTTTCTTTCTCTCTCTCTCTGTCTCTCCAGCGAACGCATGCACCCTATTAGCAAAAATATCTCTGAATAAAAAAAGAAAGAAAACATTAGTTGCAGACATTCGTTTGCTTCATTCTGAACACTTCAGCAGGCATATTAACTAGAGTTAGATATAGTTTATAGTTTTCATATGTTGGGTTGTTATGGCTTCATAAAATGAATTAGAAAGTGTTTTCTCTATTTTCTGAAAGACTTTGAGTAAGCTTAATTTTGTTTCTTCCTTAAATGGTGAATAGAATTTACCCTTGAAGTTAAAACCTGGAGTTTTAATTAAGGAAGAATTTTTAATTATGAATTAATTTTTAAATTCAGTATAGACTCTTCAGACTATCTCTTCCTGTGTCAGTTTTGGTATTACTGTGTTACAATTTTCAGGCAACTTTCTCATTTCATATAAGTTTTTGGATCTTTTCTTATAATGTTGTTCATGATATTCCCTGATTGATGATTCTTTTAAAATATGTAGTATAATGTAGGGCTAACTCTCTTTTTATCCTTAAAATTAGCAATTTACTTTCTTCTTTTCTTGATCAGTCCAGCTAGGGATCTAACAATTTTCTTGATCTTTTTGAGACGTCAACATATTGTTGACTTTATTGCATTTGTTCATTTTATTGATTTTTTATATTTTACTTTTTGTTTTCTCTCTCATCATCTCTATCTCTTATCTCTTATCATCCTTTCATCTATTTTGTTCTTTGTATTTTCTGAGCTTTTGAGGTAGAAATGTATGTCATTGGTTTTGGAAATTTCTAAAAACATAAATATCTGAGGCTATAAAATATGAAATGCTGGGAGGCTAATCCACATGGTAAGGTTCCAAGTTCATGTCCAGAGTCTCCCTGTGTACATTGGGCATGAGTGTCCTATGCCCATGATCCAGGGCTGGCTGAAGCTAGAGGTGGGTGGCAGGGTCAAGACCACTTGGAATGTGGGCTCTCTCTCTCTCCCTCTCACTTGCTCATGGAAGAAATAGGTCAATGAACTTAAAAAAATTCATTTTATTTCTGATAATACTTTTTATATTGAAGTCTATTTCAGTAATACTAATAGATCCTCTTCAGATTTCTTTTGTTTACTGTTTCATCATTTATCTTCTTCCATCCACTTATTTCAATCAACTCTTTCTACTATATAAGGTTACTCTCTTTAGATAGTGTACAATTTAGTCTTTTTTCCTCCTAAATCCATCCCTACCATCTCTGTGTTCCATTCCTACTATCTCTGTGTTGTAAGCTAAAACAAGATATATGTTGAATTTATCTGCCAGTTCTAAGCTGTTTTGCTTTAAGGAAGTTGTGATCACTCTTAACCTTTCTGACTGTCATAAATATTGCCTAGATTGTCTTGTATGTGTTTAGATTTCTTCTGTCTTATCCTATATTCACTGAATAAGACAGAAGAAATATATCTTTTATTCAAAGTTCAAAGTAGACTGAATTTTTGCAAAGGGATTTCTAAGACATCTCATATATTTTGCAAAATGTTGACTGTGGTTATGAGATGTATACATCCCTGCCCTGACTCCTTGAGGTCTGGGTTTGCTCTGTCGGATCATCATTCTCTTTGTTCAGTGGATGAGCACAGTGTTTTAAACCATTTAGGTGAGAAGAGCCACTTACTAATTGAATGTTGATCTGTCAAGCAGAAGTCGTATTACATAGTTACATGAATCCCATGGCAATTCTAGGATAATGCCATGAGACATTTCCCTGGGAGCTGCAATACACTTACCTGTTGGGTAGATTACAAAGATACCAGCTATGGATTCTTCATGTAGTTAGGGTTCTTTAAAAACAATACCAAAAGATAAAGCCACTTTAAAAACCTGTAGACTTACACATAGTCCTGAAGAATGCAGATTATCCCTATTTACGTTACCTCACATCTTCCCATCTATCAGTCAGAGTGAGAACATTCAGTTCAAAATTCCAGAAGTGCACTACACACTCCCCCCCCCCACACACACACACACATATCTTTCTTTTTATTAAGCAAGAAATCACCCCTTGGAGCTATGGCCACAACTCAATCCCTTCTTCTCCATTCTCCTCTTGGGATTTTGGGCACACACATGCACCCATCATGAATTTTAGGCTGCTGGCTCAGGGACTTGAAATGTGGGAGTCTAACAATGTAACCATTACACCATCTGCTGATCCCTATCTATCATCTATCTATCTATCTATCTATCATCTATCTATCTATCTATCTATCTATCTATCTATCTATCTATCTATATTTTAACAAATAAAACTGTGGAAATGAGTATTTAAAATTGCCATCGTGGTCCAGGCACAATAGTGGATGCTAATAGACATCAGTACTCCACAGGCTGAGGCAGGAAGATGCTGAGCTCATGGTGGACATGAGTAACATACAGAGACCCTGACTATAAGAGCTAGGCATGGTGCCCACCTATAATCTCATCTATTTGGGAAACTGAAGCAGCAGAATCAGGATGTAGCAAAACTCATCCTGAAAAACAAAACAAAAAACCAACATAAAACTGCCTTTATTATCGAAAAGAATTTTGCTGATACCGAAATGCTGGTGAAGTTTCAAAAATTGGAGAAAGTGCATCTTTTTCTTTTTTCCTTTTTATTGTTTCAGCCCTATTCTTGTATTGGGTAATGGCCTTTATTACAAAGACAATAAAATTGGTTAAGTACTGGCAGTCCGGCTGGGGGGTGTCAGATCTGCGTTTCTGCATCACCGGCATCATGGTCATTTTGAATGGACTCCTAATGGCTGTAGAGATCAACGTCATTCGGGTCAGGGTAAGAATCTGATTATTTTTGTTCAATAACTTGGATTCAAGACCCCAATATTAATGATTCCATTCAGTCATAAATCTTTCATATTTAGTGGGATAAAAAATCTATCTGATCTATTAGGTATAAATATAAAGTCGAAGAAACCACTAAGCTTCAGGCCATTAACTATTTTTTTTGGTTTGTTTGTTTTTTCAAAAATTATTTTTTATTCAACTTTATTTATTTATTTTAGTTTGACCAGAGAGGGACAGTGTGTGTGTGTGTGTGTGTGTGTGTGTGTGAGAGAGAGAGAGAGAGAGAGAGAGAGAGAGAGAGAGAAAGAGAGAAATCAAGAAAAGAGAAAAGGGAAAAAAAAAAGCCACTGTGTCTGGGACTCAAACCGCGGTCGGCCATGAGGGAATCCAGCACCCATAACTATCACCCCACCTGCTGGCCATCAGGTCATTAATGTTTTAATATGGCCCTACAGTCTATTTATACATTTACAGATATAGATGGCTCAAGTGCCAGCTATGTGTCAAACATTGTGTTCAGTCCAGATTATGGAAGAAATTTTTTGTAGGAAGTTCCATCATCCATAATTGGTTCAAAGCACACCTAGGTTGAGAAAAATACAGCATTTCCAGAAATTTAGAACTGAAAAGGACATAATCTAATTGAGTTTGCTTATTTCAATGATAAGGAAAATTCCACAGAGATACCTTTAATACATATTTAATATGGTTAGACCTATTTATATCAAGTAATTGCAAATCTGTTGTCCAGATTTGCACCACCACAGAACATTGTTGTGTATGCTCTATGAGATGCTAGTGATTGACGTTTTTCCTATTTATTTTCCATCAGAAAACTTTAATTTTTTTCTGAGTAGAAAGATATATGTCGCAATGAATGTGCTAACAGTAAGTTAGCATCAGCCAAACCACACACCAGCAGAGGGACTAGCAATGGTGTTAACACATTCGAACATCTAAGTAATATAAAAAATTTCATTTAGCTTACCTTTTCACAGGATATCATGAACTATTGATTCCTGGTAATAATTACCTTTTAAAAGGTTAATTGATTTTTTTGGACTTGCTCCACATGGATTAAATGTGAAATTCTGGCATTTCGTTAATATAGTCACAACAAAAGAAAAGTATTTCAGAAGGGGATGGAAGGAGGCATTAAAATATAAATTTTGGCCAACTGAAACGAATATGTAAGCAGGTCAAGTTTTTTTTTTTTTTTAAATTTGTGATAAAGAATTGAGTTCATCATTATGCCATGGGATTTTTCTTGCCACAGAGATATGTATTCTTCATGAACCCCCAGAAAGTAAAGCCTCCCGAAGACCTTCAGGATCTGGGTGTGAGATTTCTTCAACCGTTTGTGAATTTACTGTCCAAAGCAACATACTGGTGGATGAACACACTTATCATATCTGCTCATAAAAAGCCTATTGATCTGAAAGCAATTGGAAGACTGCCAATAGCAATGAGGGCCGTAACAAATTATATCTGCCTGAAAGATGCATATGAAGAACAAAAGGTAATTTTGTCTCTGTCTTTCATGCCCATGACTGTAAAGAATTTGCCTATCACATATAAAAGAACAAAACTTAAACAATATCTGTGGTTACAGAAGAGAGGATTTCCTCCATCCTCCTTCCTCAGTAGCTTTGAGTCATTTTAGTTGGGTCACTGAGGAAAGACTGAAAGGACCAGGAAGTTGTTAGTTGCCTAGTCAAGATATAAAGAAGGATAATGGGAACACTGCCTTTTCCTCTGGGACATGGGACCATGCCGGAAGCTCTGCTCCAGCCTGGGTGGGTATACAGGAAGGCGACGCGGATGAACAAAATCAGGCTGAAACCTCAATGCCCCTTAGCATATTCTCAACTGGCTACAGCCAGAGTAAGCTCAGGACTGCAGCCCTGATGGCCAGGAGACATGCATATTTATTATAGAAGGAGTTTTACAGGAGTAGGATGGATGAGGGGAAGTAAGTGAAAGATTTTTTTCTAAAAGGTGAAGCATTTAAAGTATAAGAACAATAATCATAAAACATGACGTCTGTTTTGTTTAGGTATAAACAGTCATAATTCTTACAACGAGGAAGTCCATTTTTCGGGTGCATTCTCTCCTTAGATCTTAATTACCGGGGAGAGTCTTTTAGATGAGAGGGCTCCCAGGAATCTTAATAACTTCAGTCCCAGACTAGCTTAATAACTTCAGTCCCAGATTGGCTTGAGAACTTGAGCCCCAGGTCAGCTTGAGAACTTCAGTCTCAGGCTAAAGTGGCAGCAAATTGCTGGTTACAAGGGCCTAGAAATAAATCCTGTCTGGTTTAGTAAAGACAAGGTTAATATATACTAAAGTAGAATACCTATGTTATCTCTGGGGTAATCCACAGCTAAGAGGGTGAGTCTAATGTCTATGTGGGGAAAAAATGTAGTCTTGTGAGCAGCTTAATGGCTGACCTAAAGGTTACTGTGTACTTGAGACCCTCTATGTTCTACTCTATACGATGGCTGTGGCTTGGGGAATGGCAGTCTTCCCTTGTCCTGAGATTAAAGGTGACTCGTGGTCTTTGGAGTAACAGCACCTCGTGGATGAATCCCTGAGCCCCTCCCAGCTACTAAGATTGTTTCACCAATTTAATAGCGTTAACCTAAACCTTCCTAATGCTTATCTATATAATCTTCATTAGGAGACGTGAATGTAGCATTCTTTATTGACATTTTCCAGGAGGGTGGGGTAAATCTAATAAGAATAATTCCCGTTCACAGCCACTGCCTTAGTGGATCTGCATTCCTTCAGGATTATTGTAAAAGTTATAAACAGCCGGGGGTACCTTTATGGAGTACCGGGGTACGGCAATAGGGCCCATGGCAAAAAAAAATTGAGTGCAGGCCATTACAGCAACACAATAAAGAATCAAAACTCGTAAAACTGTTGACCTTGCTAACAGTTTTCCTCAGCCAAGTCCTTCCTTTAGACATGAGGGGCAGTTCTTTCTTTCTTTCTTTCTTTCTTTCTTTTTTTTTTTTTTTTGGGGGTTTTTGCTTTTGGGGGCGGTGGCTCGCCGGACAGACAGAGAGAGACAGAGAGACAGAAAGCAAGAAATCACCCCCCAGGGGGGATGGTCACGCCGCAATCCCTTCTCCTCCATTCTCCTCTTGGGATCTTGGACACACACGCACACGCCCCCGGCGTGAGTTCTAAGCCACCGGGTCTGGGACGTGAACCGTGGTTTACTATGTGGGAATCCAGTGACATAGCCTTTACGCTAACTGCTGGTTCCCAGGGGCAGTTCTTTCATACTCAGTTTGTGTTAACTGCATGGACCCAGCAGAACCAAGTGGAACATAAGAATTCAGTTCAATGATTATGTATAACTAATCCACATTACCATATAAAATTTAAAATTCATGGAATTTTTTTGTCTTTTCTCAAGTATCTTGGAAATAATTTTGTTACATATAGGTCAAATAATCATATTCACTAATACCCATATTTCAGAAATTAAATCTTAAATTAATTATTGGCTAAAATTTGTATTCGATAGTTCAAACTTGGGGGGCTAAATTTAAATAAAAGGTTGCCATCTACCTACCCCATGTAGATATTCCACATATCTTCTAACATGGATTTCCTTGGACACTCCTGAATATTTATTAACAATTGCTTTACAATTTTAAAGATGAGAGTCTTTGTGTATTTTCAGTTTATTGGTTTAGATAGCCATGCATGCAATACATGCATGATGGTAGATGTGTTTTCACATCTATTACATATTGCAATCATCTACAAATATCAGGGTCATTTAAAATATTAGTGTTCACAACAACACCACAAGAGAGAGGGCTATGGTGAATCAAAGAGATTTTGGCTCTTCTAAATCAAGATTAACAAAGCATTTATGGTAAATGATGAAAATGACCTCTCATTTGTGTAAGAAATTGTGTCATGAAGTTAATATTGCAGGAAATGGTTACTACGAATGAACCTGAGTCATTCCTCTGGTTTCACCTCTGGGAAAAGTGTTGCATAATATTTTTAAACTTCTCTGCTAAAGTAAACCTTTACACTATAGTCTTAGCAGAGCTTGAGTTTTTTAAGGGCTCTTTACAATAGAGATCAGCTTGAACTTGGTGTGTTACCGTCCTTTAACAATAAATATTAGAAAATAATCAAATTATTCGTTCTAACAGGAAGTTAAATATGAAACAGAATTAAAATCTATTCCATTGGGTTGGCTTCTTCTCCATAATAAAAAACTGTATCTTCCTTCTCCCATGTCAGAATTATGATAACTGTTTGTCTTGAACTCTATCACAAACAGCTGTAGATGAGTGAAGCTCTGAAGTGATTTACCATCCGTGCCCTTCTACATTTTGAATTAAGTTGACGAATGTCACAGAAACAGAAACCTACCTTGTTTTAAAAAGCTTTGATGGGAACCAGCAGTTAGCGTAATGGCTATGTCGCTGGACTCCCACGTAGTCGACCGCGGTTAGTGTCCCGGACCCGGTGGCTTAAAACTCACGCCGGGCGTGTGTGCGTGCGTGCCCAAGATCCCGAGAGGAGAATGGAGGAGAAGGGAGTGCGGCGTGACCATCCCCCCTGGGGGGTGATTTCTCGCTTTCTGTCTCTATGTCTCTCTCTGTCTGTCTGGTGAGCGCACGCGCCCTACAGTGAAAATCTCTAAAAAAAAAAAAAAAAAAAAAGTGCTTTGACTACTGCTGGGACCAGCAGTTAGCATAATGGCTATGTCGCTGGACTCCCACGTAGTCGACCGCGGTTAGTGTCCCGGACCCGGTGGCTTAAAACTCACGCCGGGCGTGTGTGCGTGCGTGCCCAAGATCCCGAGAGGAGAATGGAGGAGAAGGGATTGCTGCATGTCCATCCCCCCAGGGGGATGATTTCTTGCTTTCTGTCCCTCTGTGTCTAAAAAAAAAAAAAAAAAAGCCTTGACTACTGCTATAGAGATAAGAAAAAACTGTTTAGCTTTTAGAATTTTTTTGCGGGGGGAGAGGTTTTTGCTATAGGGTGCATTCGCTCGCCAGAAAGAGAGACAGAGAGATAAAAAGCGAGTAATCACCACCCAGGGGGGATGGACATGCCTCATTCCCTTCTCCATTCTCCTCTCGGGATCTTGGGCATGCAAGCACACGCACCCGGCATGAGTTTAAGCTACCGGGTCTGGGACTTGAACCATGGTCGACTACATGGGAGTTCAATGACATAGCCATTACACTAACTGCTGGTCCTTAGCTTATAGAAATTTGATAAGTAAATCTCCTATGATCTACTAATTCCAAAAATATTGACCAGTCTATTAATAACCTTGATTTTTGTACTTTACTATGTTCTTTTCATTACAACTTTATTTGGTAATATTCTTAACATGATATACATTTTCCCATTTGAAGATGATTAAAAATGAATTTGGTCTTAATATTTTTGTGTCATCTTTCAACAACTAAAAAGCAGTTTTAGAAAAATTGCCTGTTTTCTTTTCATTCTTTCATTAAAATGCATTTAGTAGCCACTGTTTACACGCAAGGATGCATGTGAGACTCGTGAACATAATTAGCTTTTTAAATATCTTCAGAACTTTCAGAATGGATTTCCTTAATCAGATTAATTGCTGCTTTAGACAGTTTCATTTTGGATCGTCTGATTTTCCTTTCAGAAAAAAGCAGCGGATCATCCAAACCGGACCCCATCTATATGGCTGGCAATGTACCGAGCTTTTGGGCGACCCATTCTACTCAGTAGCACATTCCGTTATTTGGCTGATTTACTGGGCTTTGCTGGGCCTCTGTGTATTTCTGGAATAGTTCAGCGTGTGAATGAAACCCAGAATGGGACAAGTAACACAACAGGAGTAAGTTCATGGTGCTTTTGAAAGGAAACAATATTAGCCTATTCCATTTGTAATGATCACTTTTCATTAATTCAGTTTTATAAGAAATTTAAACAAGATTACTTATAAGGAACGGAGGAAAAGAAAATAATTTTTATTGCAGGGAAGATCATATGATTACGTATCTATTCAATGAATCTGACCCACAAAATTATTTCTCAGATTCAGAAACCTATAAACATTTAACAAGCATTTATTGTGTGCCAGAAGCTATGTGGAGGAATTTCGCACTGACTGTTTATTTGATTGTTATGTGTGAGTACATGAGGTGTGGCTGAATCACCTTTTTAGAGACTTGTGACCAATAATATTAGCAGCATGAGTTGTAATATTGTGCATATCTCTTTTCATATGTATTAATAGCCATCACTGTGTTTCACAGTGATCAATGCAAGTCACATTATGATGTTGTATTACATAGTATGCTATCATTTTGTGGTTATGTGGTATAAGATATTATATATGTATTGTTATAAATACATAATCTTTTTTCTTTCATTTATTTATTTTTACATTTTTCCACAAACATTTACTTTACATATCAAAAAATTTTAGCTCATACTCCATAGTTCTTGACAGTTTACAAACAACTTTCAAAAACTGAATTTTAAAGGTAATGTTCAAAATATTTCTTATAATTTTGTATAATTTTATGACTCTATAACAACAGAAGCAGTATGGTTTCAAATATATATGTGTATATATATATATATATATATTAGAGTGCAGACACTCGGTATATGTTAAGTGGGGACATACAATGATCTTTTAATCTTCTGTTCTTAATAAAATATGCACTGTGAGTTAATTTTTTTCTAAGATAAGAATTAGAATTACCGAGCTTTTGGGCGACCAATTCTACTCAGTAGCATATTGTTTCCAGCTAGAAACTCTAGTTTAGATGAATCAGTTTTCCTTTTCTCTTCTATCAGTTTGATTTCCTGTCTCCTTTTTCTGTACCCGTTAAAATTTTATGCAGTCTGAAAGTCTATATTAAATACTGCCTTTTCACTGAAACGTCTGATCATTGCAGTTGGAATGTGACTTTTCTTGGTGTTCCCTGAACACACTCTTTATCTCACACTGGCACTGTGCGCTGTCTATAATGAAACTCATTATTTATGGGTTGGCTTACCTTTATAGGTTGTAAACGCATTAAGCAAAATGCCTGTGAATTGTTCCTATTGAAGCCCACCATGCTTAGCCCAGATCTTTGCAAACATTAGTGCCTTATTATTACTAAAGTGAACCAAGAATTTTCACTATTGATTACATTGTAAGATTTTTTAATAGTATTAAAATTTACATTTAATCACTGTACATCTTTGCAGCGCACAAAATGGTCTTCCCCGGCATGAATATAGTGCATATTAGCCAGTTCAAAGATATTACCATATACGTTATCATCAGCAGATAACTTTTCATTTTTATGTCTGTTAAAGGTTTTTTTCCCAATCACCTCCTTCCCACCCCTCCTTCCCACCCCTCCTTTGATTACATTTTTGTGATGTTTTGTCCTAACTAACCTAATTGCAAATATCTAAATAATAGAGTGCTTCTGTGGCTCTTCTTTCTTATACATATCAACCATACATGGAATATATAAGGAATCGGACTTGCACATTTGCATGTATCCCTTCTGAAAGTGCCTAAGTAGAATTTCACTAGGTCTAAGTTTTAAAAATTTATAATGTACTTAAGTGTTATTTCCCTCTCTAATTAAATAAGTTAATGTATGCTATGGTTGTAAATAAAAATGTCAATCATTTTGTATATCCTTAAGGTGAATTCAGTCATTTTCCTACTAAAACAATGTTTTCTAAGTCATGTTTTGTCACAAGTGTAAAATCTGTAGCTAAAGCACCCAATTTATAATTTTTTATTTATTTCTTTATAATAAATTAAGATATAGGTAAATCAAAAAAAGTCAACTATATAGAATTATTGTAAACTAATAAGGCGAAGAAATTCAATTTTTATCCTATTGGTCTTGCTGACTAACTATCAGTTTTGTGGTCTATTTCTAAATTAGAATATGATTATAAGCTATCTATCTTTTCTTTCTTTCTTTCTTTCTTTCCTCCTCTTTCTCTCTTTCTTTCTTTCTTTTTTCTTTCTTTCTTTCTTTCTTTCTTTCTTTCTTTCTTTCTTTCTTTCTTTCTCTTTTTGCTACTTCCCACTTAATTAAGGTAGAATGTATCCTTTTAGGAAACACACATTCTTAAAATATAAAAATCACTTTTATTCTACAGGTAGGCATCTCCAGCAATCCTTTTTTTACAAATTATTTTATTTAACTCTATTTAGTTAGTTAATTTTAAATTTGACCAGAAAGGGACACACAGAGAGAGAGAAAGTGAGAAAGCAAGCTGTCAGATCTGGGACTTGAACGATGGTCAGCTATGTGAGAGTCCTGCCACCTGCCAGTCCCTCCAGCAATCTTAATAAGCAGCGGGAGGATTTATTTTTTCATTAAACTGATTTGTATCTGTACCTGTGGAAATTCTGGGGGAAAAGACAAAATTGCCTTGCTGTGTCTCATCCCATAGGAGAATTGCGAAGACCTGGAGTTTTGTATTTAAAAATTGTGTCTCCTTTAATAAAGGCAAACTGTGCATCTGGTATATAAAAAAGACAGATTGTAATGTATCTCTTTATATTTTTTCTTTTGGGACAAGATTTCAGAAACCCTCTCATCAAAGGAATTTCTTGAGAACGTCTATGTTCTAGCAGTTCTTCTCTTCTTGGCTCTTATTCTTCAAAGGACATTTTTGCAGGCTTCCTACTACGTAACCATAGAGACTGGTATTAACCTCCGGGGAGCTCTGCTGGTACGTGCAGCCTTTGAATACTTTTTCTTGAAAATACCATATACTATCCAGAGATAAGAATAATAGTAGCTTAATTTTGTTTTTTTTTCATTGTTTTTACTTTGGTACTGCATTATTTTCAGGATCTACTTAATGAAAGAAACACAGAGCTAATTAATAAATCTACTGAATTTTAAAAAACATTTATTTTTAAAAAAATTATTTAATGTCTATTCATTAGTATTATTAATTTAAAAATTTACTATAGGCATGTGTGCTCATCAGAGAGAGAGAAAGTGAGAAGCAAACTATCTGGTCTGGACCTCAAACCATGGTTGGACATGTGAGAGTCCAGCACCTTAACCACCACACCACCTGCTGGCCCCTAAAAATAATTTTCTTTTTAATGGAGAATTTTACTATAAGATGTGTGCACTCACTGGAGAGACAGAGAGATAGAAAGCAAGATATCATCCCCCCGAGGGATGGCCATGCCACAATCCCTTCTCGTCCATTCTCCTCTCAGGATTTTGGGCAAGCACATACATACACCTGGAATGAGTTTTAAGTCACCAGGTCAGGGACTTAAACTGTAGCCGACTGCATGGGAGTCTGGCAATGTAACCATTATACCATCTGCTGGTACCCCCTAAAAATAACTTTCAAAATAATATATTAAGAAAAATATTTTGAAGTCTTCTATTTTCTTATTCCTATTTCTATTTGTACTAGAGCTTACATTTAAAATTTAAAGTGTGTTTTTATAATATTTATAGAAAAAATGTTTGTAATTAATTAAGGACTGAAAATAACTGTGGCTATGCTAAAATGAAAATAGTGATTGATTTAAAAAGATGGTCTTATAGGCTTTTCATTCTCTTTTTTTAAAAAAATTAAATGTTTTTTTTTTTCAATGAGAATAAACTTTAAATCTCTTTCAGAGCTTTTCTTTTATTTGCTTGTTTGTTTTCTAGGCCATGATATACAATAAAATTCTTAGACTATCTACATCTAACTTATCCATGGGTGAGATGACCTTGGGACAGATCAACAACTTGGTTGCCATCGAAACCAATCAACTCATGTGGTTCTTGTTCTTATGTCCTAATCTATGGGCTATGCCTGTTCAGGTAGGTAAATAATAAGTAAGATTCTCACTGACAGGAAATAAACAAATGGAGCAGTAAAGGATATACTTTTTTTTATCATGAATCAAATTTCCCCAAAAGGGAAATTTTATTTATTACTTTATTCCCTTATAAATAGACCAACTGTAATCAAATGAAGTGAACATTCACCTCAAGATTTTGTCTTCTTCATAATAGAAAAGATAAGGCTTAGAACTGGATCACTTGACCCTTTCTCTTCTTATCTCCTCCCAGTTCAAAATGCTTACATCTCATAATAGCCAGCATTCTATTAGATCTGCAGTTGGGTTCAACACATTCACTCCTCAGCATAATCTTCTTTGTAGTTTTTGCCTTTTTCTGGAAAATAGGCTTAGTCTGTCCACCATAGCCACTCTGCTTCCTGTCATAACGCTGCTTTCCCCGAGCATACAGAGAATCCTTGCTCTTTTTAGTACTGTTTCACATTATGAGGTTGGTGCTTGCCATACTTCTTACTTTTCAAATGTACTAATGTTGTAGACAATGTCAATAGACAAGGAATCAGAGACTCAGAACTGTTATGGCATAGGTTAGAAAAGTCAGACTTGGGCCCTTATTGGGGTGATGGTTAAGATGGCTGGATCCCACTTGGATGACTGAGGTTTGAGGGCCAGGCACAGCATCTTGAGAAACATGTTGGGTGTGTAAATTTGTAAATTCTACTCTTAGGATATTTCTCAATATCCTAAGAGTAGAACAGAAGAGAAGGGATTGTGGCATGGCCATCCCTCCTGGGCGGGGTGTACAGGGGGTGTTTTCTCACTTTCTCTCTCTCTCTGGAAAGTGCATGTGTCCTATATCAAACAAATAAACAAACAAATAAATAAATAAAAAGTAGGGTTTGGAAAATTATTGTTTGGTTCATATATCCATTCTACTTTTCATTTGCACAAGTGCTTAACCCCTCAAGGCTTTAGTTTCCTTAACTGTGGAATGAGAATTATAACAGTGTCTGCCTCATAGAATTGTGGAAATGGTCAAGATTAAATAAGTTAATATATGAATAGCATTTAGCATGGTGCTTAGAATTTCATGGACATTCAGTAGTTATTCATTGTTAGTATTATTGCCCAAAATCATTTAAATACAGAATCAAGATTTGACCCCTTTTCTTTTGAAAAGTTCTCATAACATTTCTAAACTAGAGCAAGTGCATCCTGTATATGGAGTTTGATTGTCAATCTCATTTTGATGATGTAGTCTACTATTTATGCCTCTGTGGACCACATTTATTAAAGTACATAAAATAATAAAGAAGATAATATTTTTGTTTGTTTGTTTTTTAAAAGAGAAATTTTTGCTGTAGGGCACCTGTACTCGCTAGAGAAAGTTAGAAATCACCCCCATGGAGGGATAGCTATGCTGCAATCCCTTTTCGTCCATTCTCCTCTCAGAATTTTGGGCACACATGTACATGCTGCCAACATGAATTTCAAGCCACCAGGTGTAGGACTCAAACCACAGTCAGCCATGTGGGAGTCCAGTGACATAACCATTATACCATCTGCTGGTTCCAAAATGCTTGTTTTTTGATTTATTGTTTGTCTTTTCAATTTTGAATGGGAAACCAAGTCAAATAAAAAAATCTATATCATGTACAGTGCTTGGCATAAAGTAAGACTGAAAGTATACTTTGTCTCTTTTTTTTTAATTAAAATGCACTTGCATGTATGTCAATTAGACAGTTGTCTATGTGGTACAATTTAAAGTGTATTAAAAAATCTCAGACTGCCTCTGAGTGATTGATCATGGGTAATTCAAAGAAAAACCTTTTTTATTGGAATTCCCAAAATATCCAATTAGATAAACAGTAAGTGTGTGTTACTGCCACCAGACAGCTGTTACCATTGGCATGTAGGTGTCATTTACATACTTAAACTACATGGATATAATCCCTTAATTCACATTTTGAGGTATGATCAATTGAGCTCCTGGAAAAACTAAAAATGTTCAGCAAGTGAAGATAGCAAAGTTAAATACTAGTTTTTAAAGGGGAAGACAAAAGTAGCAAGCCAAACAGAGTTTTTCCTGGGTTTTGGGAAATAAGTTTTAAAGAAGAGTGAGATAAGATGGGCCAATTTTAGCTTCACAATTTATGGAGGCTTAGCCTTTTTGCCATTAAGCTAACTCTGGAGTCATTAAGGAGGTGAAGAGCCAAATCATTGCTTTCATCCACAAAAACCATCCTGCACTTAAATTGAGATGCTACCCTCAACTTTCCCTTATCCCCGCCTTCGGATGCTAGCACAATTCCAGAAGAATATAGGATGTCAGATTTATGGTGAGTGACAGAATTTTCAAAGAAAAGCCTGTTATATCCTTTTAAAACTTTGAAGACATTTTAGAAAGTCCGAAGCATCATGGGGCCATTCTGTAACTTCGTCCAGTAAATTGGTTTGACACCAGTTGTACAGATCATCATCCTAAAATTACAGTCCTGGTATTTAGCCTTTTCCAAGTAAAATCTACTGTCACAGTTGAGCTGAATTCCAAATAAACTTAATACAATAATTGAGAAATATGACATTTCCACTAGAAAATATTTCTTTTCATGTGGTTAGCTCGCCCGCCTCCATTCATTTTCCCTCTCCCATATGCTTTTCTTCCTAGATCATAATGGGAGTGATTCTGCTCTATAATTTACTGGGATCAAGCGCATTGGTTGGTGCAGCAGTCATTGTGCTTCTTGCGCCAATTCAGTACTTCATTGCTACAAAGTTGGCAGAGGCTCAGAAGAGCACTCTCGTAAGTAACATCTTCCGGAGACTTTAGTGGGAAAACCTAGTAATGCTACTTTATTTATTTTTCTTTTATTTTTTTAAATTTCATTTTCTTTTATACATTCAATCACATTATTATTTGGCTTACAAAATGGATATTTCAACAGGTGAACATTTCTCCCTAGTACAGTTGATAAAACTACAAAATATCTTCAATAGATAATACCACATTTCTTTGTGCCATTAATACTTTGTCTCCCTATTTTTCTTCTAAATGTCCTTCCTCAGACCCTCCTCTTTCACACACACTGGTGTGTGGTATTTACAACTAAGTACTGTGTTTCTATATCCTTTAGTCAATTAGTTTCAGTCACAGAGTACGGACACTTGGTATATATTAAGTGGGGACATACAGTGCCTCTCCTTCATAGCCTGGCTTGCTTCACTCAACAGTAAATCTTCCATATTCATACATACCACCCAGGATAGCTTGGAAATCGTTATATTTCATTTCAATTCTTAGGCAGCCAATGTGTCTTTTCTGTGTTGCAAAAATGATTTTTAAAAGCAGATTGGTAAGATTTGACAGCCTTAGACTCGAAATACCAGAATCACAGTTCCTGAGGTTTTTAAGTACCATGAAGGGATGACTCGTAGGCCCTTCTTGAATCATTTGTCTAACGAACACCTCCAAGTGTGTTTGAGACCATTGAATGTCAGTTTCTTTCATGGAGAAAAGCAGATGAAGGGACAAGTGAAGTGTCATGTTTGGTGCTTCTAAAATTAAATTTCCTGTAGACTTGGCTGTGTGATAGTCTGTGGACTTCTACCGAAACACTTCAGTGGCAGCTGCTCTGGCTGAGAATGTTCCTGGTCAACTTGGCCAGCAAGAAAAAGCCCAATTAGTGACCTTTTCTGGCTTCAATTTGCCATGAAATAATTTCATTTGAGCAAGAATTGGCTCCTTTAAAAGAAATGTTTGCAAATAATAAAATCGTTGACAGCATGTTTAGAAATAAAGCTTGATTAAATATGAGCAAAGCTGTCTGTAAATGAAGCATGAAATGCGGAGATGCCGCCCCTGGTGGTATTGTTTCTCAAGCTAGTGTTTCCATTGTGACAAGTGAGTTGCATGTCATGCAAGTGGCTTTTATCACTTGCTTTTCTGCTGCTTCTGGTGAGGTCACTCATTATTTCCATCTTAGCCGTCTACTCTTTTCACTCCGGCATACAAACAGAGAAAGGTGTACACAAAAGGCATAAAGGAACACACAACTATCCTCAAACATCTGTCTTTTATTTAGCCTTTCACACTGTCTTTATTTACTGGTTGAACAATCACTTCATACACATTCTAGACCCCGTAGAGACAATAGAACAGAAAGCAGACCATTTGCTCCTTTTGCTTCCTCCTATCTGCCATTTGGCCAATTCCCTATCCCTTGTTATCACAAGTTAACAGGTCATATTATATCTGCTAATAGTATTTGGTGGTGGAAGAAGCTAATAGAGGCTTAATAGAGGCTGCTATATCTGCTGCAAATTCCTCTAGAATTAAGTCAAGTTATTAGTAATCAGTAAATCTAATTTAGGCCTTCAATAAGAGCTCATGAAGAGGTATGAAGAAATCTCTTGAAATTAAGGATAGTAGTCTTGATTTCAAGAACCAGATTATGAGTATGCAATGTGAATGCATACAATACTGTGCCCTCATTTCTCAAATAAGAAACAAACTTTTTTTCTCAAATTGTTTCTTTTTCTTCTGAGTGAGTATTGAGGAGAGAATAAACTGATTTAGCTCTTAGGAGCCACTGAAAATCTCTTTATCATATTCTTAACTTTAGCTCTGTATTATCTGCAGATAATTTTGAAGGCAATTATGTGAAACTGAAACCAAACCAACATGTAAACCAAAACAAGAGACATACAAGTGTTTAGGTAACAAGACATTTTGAGGCCAACTTGTTCAACTCTTCCTTTAAAAGTTGACAAGACAGAAGCATAAAAGTTAACCACTTATTCTGGGATTTTTTTCTGCCCAATACATGACAGAGCCACTTGAAGCCAAGATCTCTATCCCTATCCATTTCGTGGCCCTGCCTTCCTTGGGTTCACTTGGATGTAGCTTGTGTTATTTTTTGTTTATTTGTCTTATAGGATTATTCCACTGAAAGACTGAAGAAAACAAATGAAATATTGAAAGGCATTAAACTTCTGAAGTTGTATGCCTGGGAGCACATTTTCTGCAAAAGTGTGGAAGAAACAAGAATGAAAGAGCTATCTAGTCTCAAAACCTTTGCACTTTATACATCCCTCTCCAGTAAGTGGCTGTTGCTCTAAGAACAGGTGATGTTAAGAGCAACCAAACAACACATGATCTAATTAATTTAGATTGTGCCCAGTGAAATATCCTAATCATTAAAGAAAGCCCACTTATTTTCTAGTCATGTGTTGTCCAATAGCCATGGACCACATGAGTCTATTTACATTTAAATTAAAGACCAAGGTAAGCACAGGACTGCAGTCAAGTAGACCTGAATTTGATTCTTGGAAAGTTGAGTGTCACTGGCCATGTGACTTTACAAACTGACATCTTTGTTATTTCCATTTGCAAAATGAGGATTGTGATAATAATAGTACCTGTAATTGAAAACTTCCATCAGTCACAGTTGGGATAAGTACTCAATTTACAGTAAAAAAATTGTTTATTTAAATTGACTTAACTGCATTATTATTGCACTTCTCTTCTAGTAGCCTTTATAGATATCTGCACTTTCTTTTTTAGCTGTTTCTTTAGAAGCTTAGGATATTGTATTTTTGTAAAGATGGCACTTGAAATGCCATTTTTGAAAATCGAGTGGAAACATACCATTTCTATGTAAAAGGAGCCAACATGCATTTATCTAAAATATTCTCTTCAACACGTTTTTAAGAATTTTTAAAGATGGAGCACTTTTTTCCTCAAGTCTAATTTTTTTTTTTTTGAGAGATTTTTACTATCGGGCGCGTGCGCTCGCCAGACAGACAGAGAGAGACATTAGAGACAGAAAACGAGAAATCACCCCCCAGGGGGGATGGTCACGCCGCAATCCCTTCTCCTCCATTCTCCTCTCGGGATCTTGGGCACGCACGCACACGCGCCCGGCGTGAGTTTTAAGCCACCGGGTCCGGGACATGAACCGCGGTCAACTACGTGGGAGTCCAGCGACATAGCCATTACGCTAACTGCTGGTTCCCCTCAAGTCTAATTTTTAAAGGGCCATGTTTTTCAAAATGATTTTTTCTCAAATTATGATACTGAGTACTCTTAAGAATGATGAGTTCACATTAGTTCAGTGTACATGGAGCTAGCCAAGCTACTCCCTCTAACATTTGATTTGATTTCTGTGTCAATTTTACTCATTTTGATTGTTCTCAAGATCTTTAACAACATTTTGGAGATTTTTTTTGTGTTGTTTCTCCTTATAAGTTACATTACATCTTAGAGATTATAAACACTTCTTTTGTAAAAATAGATTTAGAGAAGATATTTGACTTATATAGCCCATTAACTATAGCCCTAATGGCTGTTGAATTAGAAGTGAAACTGGAAGTTTTATCTTCCATCTGTGGGCTACTGCTATTATGGTGTCAAAACAACAGCAGATAGAATGAATGAGATTCAAATCCATTTGCTTACACAATAGTAACCTAAGCTGGTGACTCCCTACAATACATCAACCCCCCAATGGGCAGAAATTCTCAGAGGCAGGATGGGTACATCTTCAAATAATGAAAATAGTAATAATCAGCAAGAAAAATATGTTCCGAGTATACTCAGCCAGTTACTGTCATAAGTGCTGCAAGTATATCATTTCATTTAATCCTCATAACAGGCTGATTTAGATTCTGTTATTTACTCTACTTTAGAAATTTTTAAAAATTCAGGTATAAAGAGCTTATATAATTTACACTTCCTCATCCAGTTACTAAATGACAGAGGTACTTTATTAACCCAGTTTTACCATCTCCAAAGTGAGATTTGGGTTGGTTTTTGAAGGCTATAGGGAAGAGATGAGAAGACAGAGGAGGCAGCAATAAGAAAAAGAAAGAAGAAAGCAACAAGAAATCATGAATATAAAAATGCATGCTCGTGTTCATGAGAAGCAGTAGGAATTCCTGAGGGAATGGAGTAAAATCAGTTTGTCCACTTTTGAATTCTGTGATTCAGTTTTCTATACCATGTTCTTAGGGTTAGGAGCTTGAGTTATGTGAGTTGAACCAAGCCGGCTGTGATCCAAGATCTGCTGATTTACAGTGGCATGACCTTGAGCATGTTCCTTATATCCCCCAAGCCTATTTCACAATTCGTAACATAAATTAATAGCATCTATCATGTAGGATAACAGTAAAGATTAAAATAATGAATGATGGGCCAGCAAGTGTGGAGGTGAAGGCATCTGGATCCTATGTGACCATTCGCACAGTTCAAGTCCTGGACTCAGCGGCTTGAAAATCATGCCAAGTGCATGTGCATGTCCAAACTCCCGTGAAAGGAGAAGGGATTGAGGCATGGCCATCCCCCATGAGGCAGTAGAGTGATTTCTCACTTTCTTTCTCCCTTCTCTCTCTTTCCCATAAGTCCACAGGCCCTATGGCAAAACTTAAAAAAGAAAAAAAAGAATGATAAAAATGTTTGTGTGCATACACTATTCCCAGCACTCCATGAGATATCAAGTGCTTCATGCTCATTATCTCACATAAAGCACCTGGTAAATGATCTAGTGCCCAATAACTCTGACCCTGTGTCCTCATCTGAAAATTGGTGTAATAATACCTTTTCACGGAATTGTGAATCAAATGAAGCAGATAATGTGACATTGCTTAACAAATACTAAAATATCGATGATAGTATTTATATAGCATAATGAAAAGACAATAAGAAAAAAAAGGAAAGAAAGAAGAAAAAAAAAGAAAAAAATGAACAGTATACTTAATGGTTACTCGTGGATCTTAGAGAGTGAGCTGATCTGAAATCAAATCCTAACTTGGTAACTTGTCAGCTGCATAACCTTGACCAGGTGCTTAATGAATGCTCTGTTTCCTCATAAGTAAGCTGGGATATATTAATAATACCTTGGAGAATTAACTAAATTAGTGTGTGTAAATTGTTCAGAAAAGCACCTGATGCATAAAAGTACGCAGTTAATGGCATAAAGTATTAAAAATCATGGGCCTGCAGGTGGCATGGTGGTTAAGGATGCTGGACGGACACATGACCGACCTTGGTTCCAGTCCCAGCTTTCTCTCTCTCTCTATCCCTCTGACACATGGCCGACCTTGGTTCTAGTCCCAGCTTTCTCTCTCTCTCTATCCCTCTCTGGTCAAAGTAAAAATAAATAAGTAAATAAAGTTAAATAAAATAATTCTTTAAAAAGTTAAACAGAAAATATACAAATAAACCTGTAGATTCATATCTATTTTTACAAATTAGTGTTCTTGCCACTTGAGATAATATTTGATGGGAAAAGAAATTCTGTCAAATAATTTCATGGTCTCCATTGCCAATTGGTCAGGTGCTGTTTATGGGTTTAAATCCTTGGTAAAGGCATTTGCCTGGTTCTGCTACCAAGAATTCACTTCATTTTTTTGGCCCTCAGGTCCTAAAATTCTGTGGGTATGAACAGTATAACTACAAATCATCAGTTTGGCTATGACCCCTAAGCACTAGTGTTCAAACCTTGTCTCAGCCATACAGATCATATTCATCGTGTAGTAGTGAAATACATTCCTGGAGACAGATTCAAGTAAGCAAAGGGTCCAGGATATGGAATGATTTTATTAACTAAAATATCCATGAGTGAAAATTAATATCCCTACTGAAAAGAGAACTTGAAATGGTGTCAAATTCATGTTTTTAATCTGTGTAATAACCCAAGTTTTATATATTTAAATTACTTTGGTATACCAAACAAGAGACTAGAAATTCTCCCAAGAATGCACATTTGTTAAATTCTAATAATTTGTATCATTAAAGGATTGCTTTATCTAATTCTGTTGTTGGGACCATTTCAGAAGAAAAAGCTAATTTTTCAATAAAAAAGAACAGTTTCAGTCAAGACTAACGTGTGGGAGTGCATACAACTGCAGACAAGGGGATTTCAACTGGGAAATGTTTATGGACTCCAGACAAAATGTTATTTAATGCACTTTGTCCTTATTATCTTCATGGAGAGTGAAAGTCATAATAGATGATTAATTAAAATGACTGAAAATGTTTTCACAGTTCAATGAAACAAATGTATTTGGTTTCTTTCCACAGTTTTCATGAATGCAGCAATTCCCATAGCAGCTGTTCTCGCTGTAAGACCCTTTTTCTTGCTTCTAGAAATGGAACGGACTCTGTTTACACATGGCGTATAGATTAGAATGTGTGGATCAATACTATACATTACTTCAACTGCCACTTTTGTCTTTGCAGTCAACATTGCAATAGATGTGACCCAGAGCTTCTCAGTCACAGCACTGTGGACATTTTGATGCAGATCATTCTTTGTTGCATTGTGATGTGTATGTAGCATTTTCTCTGGCTCCCCTTGGATGCCAGTAGCACCACCCCTGGTAATGCTAATCAACAGTATCCCCAAACACTGCCAAAGATTCCCCAGGGAACAAAAGGAACAGAGGTTGAGAACTAAGTGTTCTACAGGTTAAGTATCCCTAATCCAAAATTCCAAACTCTATAATGCTTCAAAATATAACACTTTTTGAATGCTGACACAGTGGAAAATTGCACACCTGACCTCCGTGATGGGTCACAGTCAAAATGCTGCAATACAAAAACATTACATAAAATTACCTTTAGTCTATGTGTATATGAGACACAAATGTTCGATTTATACTTGTGTCCCAGTCTGAAGATATCTCATTATGCAAATATTCCAAGGTTTGAAATCCTAAACACTTCTCATCCCTAGCATGTAGAATAAGGGATACTCAACTTACCATCTCAATGACTTTGTTCCCAGATATTCTTACAAAAGGATGGTACTAAATCAATAACCAGAAAACATTAAATAATTACATTATATTTCACACTAGAATGACAAACCCAGCCACTAGTCTTATTTTTAGAAATGTAAAAAGCGATTGTCAAACAGCCGTGCTGGCAATTTTAGTAAAGATCCACAATAGGAACACTAAAAAAGTTTTTTTCCCCTTTTTTTCTTAGAGTGCATAGTATTGGTTAGAAATAGCCTGACTGTTAAAAACTCTGGTTTGGACCAGCTAGTGGCATGGTGGTTAAGATTTCTGGAACCCACATGGCCAACCTCCCGGTTCTTGATAAACATGCCCAGTGTGTGTGCATGCAAGCCCAAAATCCCAACAGGAGAAATGGAGAACAGTTTGCGGCATGATCACCCCCCATGGGGTGTGCTTCCCTACTTTCTCTCTCTGTCTCTCGGCAGTGAGTGCATACCCTTTATAAAAACAAAACAAAACAAAACACCTCTGGTTCTCCACTCAGTTTTTCCTTCTACTCAGTAGTTTGGAAGAAGTCAGGGAGTCAGCAAATGGTGTAGTAGTTATATCACTGGACTCCCACATGTCCGACCAGGATTCGAGTCCAGGACCTAGTGACTTTAACATCGCATTGGGTGCGTGTGCATGTCTGACCAGGATCCTGGGAGGAGAATGGAAGAGAAGGGATTGCGGTGTGGCCATCTCTCCAGGGGGGTGATTTCTCATTTTCCCTCTCACAGTCTTTGTCTCTCTATCTCTCTGGCAAGCACACACACCTTAAAGCAAAAAGTCCCTAAGGGGAAAAAAAAAAGAAAAGAAAAGAAAGAAAGCAGTTTTCTAATATATAAATAGAGTCTGTCCTGGCTTCCTCACAAGTTTACTGATAGGATGACATGGAAACCATTTAGTGATCTTCAATAGCAAGTACTGATTTATTTAGATTGTTTTGCATAAAATAATTGTGTTTGTAGTTGGAATGGACACAATGCTATTGCGATTAGTTGGGTTTGTAAAACTGAATGTAAGCATGTATCAAACTTTAAGAAATTCTGTCTTTTCACAGACATTCGTGACCCATGCATATGCCAGCGGGAACAATCTAAAACCTGCAGAGGCCTTTGCTTCGCTGTCTCTCTTTCATATCCTGGTCACACCACTGTTCCTGCTCTCCACAGTGGTCAGATTTGCCGTCAAAGCCATCATAAGGTATGCCCGAAATATCTGGAATTCTTTGCTTGTTGATTATTAAAGTAATATATACTCATAGTAGTAATCTTAAATATAAAAAAGAATATGAAAATTACTGTGTAGTGGTAAACATTGTTAAAATGTTTCAGTCTTTTATTTATTTCATATGCAAGTAACTATCTTAAAATAAATTTTAGGCAGACCCCATAGCCTAGTGGTTAAGAGAGCCAGATCCCACATGGCCAACCATGGTTTGGATCCTTGCCCCAGTGACTTGAAAAACATCATGGGGGTGTGTGCATGTGTGTGTGTGCCCAAACTCCTGACAAAATGAAGAAATGGAGATGAAATGGAGGTCATGATGGCATAACCCCACCCCATTGTGGGGTGCTTTCTCCCTCTCTCTCTCTCTCTCTCTCTCTCTGTTTCTCAGTCTCTTTCTGATGAGCACACATGCCCTCTGGCAATAAAAACTAGAAAAAAAAGTTTGAATTTATTTATCATTTTGTCTGTTTGCTTTTTAGATTTTTTTTTTTTTTTGCTATAGGGTATGCACTCATCAGAGAGAGACAAAGAGAGACAGGGAGAAGGAAAATGATAAATCACCCCCAGGGGGATGATCATGCTACAAACCCTTCTCCATTCTCCTCCTGGGATTTTGGGCATGCACACACATGTGCCTGGTGTGCTTTTCAAGCTGCAAGTCCAAGACCCAAACCATGGCTGGCCATGTGGGAATCCAGCACCTCAACCACTATGCCACCTGCTGACCTCAAAAATCTTTTTTTTTTAAGCTTACTGGTTTCTTCTTTCACCAGAGAGAGGAAAATGTGTATCCTTGTGAGGGTCTCACCACACTCTGATCTGTATTCCCCACCCTCCCCACCAGCCAGGATCACAAGAGTGCCCGGTTGTTCCGGTTGACCTGGGGTCTGAACCCAAGGCCTTCTTGTCTGACTCCAGTATCACACAGCAGAGCCCACCAATACTAGGCCTGAAATCTTATAATACACCATGTTTACTGGCCTCATAATAAACCTTTATTTGGAACTATTATAATATTTTAATGGCCTTTTTATTAGACATTTTAAATACTCTTGTTTTGTTTTGTAACATAAATAACCCGGAGGTAAACATCTTTTATCTTGGAACTTTTTGCTAACGATTTTTTGGGTCAGATTTCTAGAAGTGGCAGCAGAAGCTCTGATAGTGTGACGACGTTAGGGTCCTTGGCGGCTGTGGCTATGTTGCTTTGCACTGAGGTGGTGGTAGGTCAGAAACAGTGCACATCTAAGATTTTTTATGAATATGGTCGTAATGTTTTCCACGAAAGCTGTGCCAGTTCGTGTTTGCACCAATGGTGACAGAGAACGCTCACATCAGTACCTGTTTACTGTTTTAATTTTAGGTTGATCAAACAAACAAAAAAATAACTCCAGGCTCATAGTGTGTAAAAATGAAATACTTGCAAAACTATTTAGCATTTTGTTTATTTAAATATGCTTTGATAGTGTTTCCAACAAGGTAGTCTCACTTATAATTTCCCATAATGAGAAACTATAAACACAGATGAAATTTTGGGGCCAGCAGGTGGTATGGTGGTGAAGGTTCTGGACTCCCACGTGATTGACTGCAGTTTGAGTCCCAGAGCTGGTGGCTTTGGACTCATGTAGGGTATGTGTGTGAGTGCCCAAAATCTCAAGAGGAGAATGGAGGAGAAGGGAGTGCAGTGTGGCCATCCCTCTAAAAGGTGATTTCTCACTTTCCTCTCTGTTTCTATCCAGTAAGCACAAATGCCCTGTGCCAAACACTTTAAAGAAAGATGGAATTTGATAGTGATCATTTCCTCACCAATTGTACACGTATTCTGTAAGGATGCTACCAAACTGCCTTGAACATACTGTAGTCTACTGTGTCCTATCTAAGCAAGGTAGAATTTAAAAAGCATTTTGCCTTTTATTATATGATAATTATAAATGTTATAAAACCTCATTATGTTTCATAAACTGTGAATATGGTCGTAATGTTTTCCATGAAAGCTGTGCCAGTTCGTGTTTGCACCAATGGTGACAGAGAACGCTCACATCAGTACCTGTTTACTGTTTTAATTTTAGGTTGATCAAACAAACAAAAAAATAACTCCAGGCTCATAGTGTGTAAAAATGAAATACTTGCAAAACTATTTAGCATTTTGTTTATTTAAATATGCTTTGATAGTGTTTCCAACAAGGTAGTCTCACTTATAATTTCCCATAATGAGAAACTATAAACACAGATGAAATTTTGGGGCCAGCAGGTGGTATGGTGGTGAAGGTTCTGGACTCCCACGTGATTGACTGCAGTTTGAGTCCCAGAGCTGGTGGCTTTGGACTCATGTAGGGTATGTGTGTGAGTGCCCAAAATCTCAAGAGGAGAATGGAGGAGAAGGGAGTGCAGTGTGGCCATCCCTCTAAAAGGTGATTTCTCACTTTCCTCTCTGTTTCTATCCAGTAAGCACAAATGCCCTGTGCCAAACACTTTAAAGAAAGATGGAATTTGATAGTGATCATTTCCTCACCAATTGTACACGTATTCTGTAAGGATGCTACCAAACTGCCTTGAACATACTGTAGTCTACTGTGTCCTATCTAAGCAAGGTAGAATTTAAAAAGCATTTTGCCTTTTATTATATGATAATTATAAATGTTATAAAACCTCATTATGTTTCATAAACTGCCATTAGCATACTTCTATCTGACCTTCAAAAGAAATGTCAAGATACTGCAACACTAGAGGAACAGTAGAACATTGAGGCCTTATGTATACAAAGTATGATGTTGTCTTGGACAGCAATGTAGAATATATCTTGCAAAGTCTTTTTTAAATGAAATATTGTTCCTGATATCTGTGTATAACTAAAGAATAATAATTCGCAACATTCAAAATCCCAAAATCATAGGCTTTAGGCAATAGTTTACATTGACGTATCCATGCCTTAATACCAAACAATATTAAAAGTCATATAAATGGTATTCTTATAAATCAAGTTATGATAGACATAATAGCATCTTTACAGTTTCAAATACATCATTATTAACCAGTTTCTGGAGCTAGTAGAATTGAAAGCTCAGCCCCTTTGGCTTTAACTGCCCTTACTTCTTCTTTTATTGTGCCTTCTGAAACACTTGTTCAGGTCACTGACTGCTTTTCGTAGTACCACTTCCAAATTAGGCAGTGCTCTGGAAGGGAAGCTACTTCAAACAATAAAATTGATAAATGGCCAGAGTCAGCTATTTTGGTCCTTATTTTCATTTTCTCCACTTAACAACTGTCCCTTTCATGATTGCACTTTACACTGGAATTTGACTTTATGCTGCAAGTGGAGCTAGAAAGCATTTGATTACTTAAAACAGATACCTTCTCTGAGTTAGCAAGAATTATCAGAAAAGAGATGTAAGGATTAATGTTAAAAAAAAATAAAAACAATCTAGGAGTGTTTCTCAAATCCATAGCATGTACTTCGGCTGAAACCCTAGTGCAGTTTAGGGTGGATAATATCCTTTGTATATGTCTGCCTAACACTTTCCCTTCTGAACATCTCAGAGAAAAGGCATTTGCCAGTTTGATAAAGACCAGTCTGTTTTCAGGGCTCAGCTCCAGATTTCTCAAGCTATAGGTCAAATAGAATCTGCTTATAAAAACTCTCCTCTCTAAAATGAGTTTCATGGTTGATTTGCGAGTCTTACAGAGATGTCTGGTCAGAGAGAGGGCCAGTTCTTTTCCCTGCTGTGTGATGCTTCTGGGAACCCATATGAGCATTTTCCCAGTGTTGACTGGACTCAGCATTCTCTTCTGAGCCTGGGAACCCGTGACCAGTCTTTGATGCCAGTTGGCCCTCACTGAGTTGAGCAGCCTGTTTATAATCGGAGACTCCGGTCAGCCAATTTTGAAATCTCCTCTTCAGGACTGTGGAAGTCATGTTCTTTGCTACATTTTTTTTTATTTAATTGAGAGATTTTTGCTATAGGGCACATGCACTTTCCAGAGAGGCATCACCCCCAGGGGGGTTGGCCACACTGCAAACCCTTCTCCTCCATTTTCCTCGTGGGATCTTAGGTATGCACACACATACACACCTTGCTTGTGTTTCAGGCCTCCAGTCCAGGACTCAAACCACTGTTTGCCATGTAGGAGTCCAGCAATGTAACCATTATGCCATCTGCTGGTCCCCTTTGCTATATTTTTAAATGCATTCAGAAATTCGATGGATTAGGAATGAGGTGAAGCTGGGACCCAGCAGATGGCGTAATGATTATGTTGCTGGACTCCCACATAGTTGGCTGCTGTTTGAGTCCCTGGACCTACGGTTTAAAACTCATGCTGGGCATGTGTGTATGTATGCCCAACATCCCTGGAAGAGAAGGTATTAGGCATGACCATCCTGGGAGGTGCTTTTTCACTTTCTGTCTCTCTCTGTCTCTCTGGCAAGTGCATGCCTCCTATAACAAAAATCTCTCTAAAAAAGAAAAAAAAAAAAAAGAAATGGGTGACACATACTCCCAAACTTCTGTTATGCATGGATGTAAGAGATGTACAAACTTTTCTACTAGAAAATTCCATGCCATGTACAATTCTCTGCACCAAGAACATTCTATGTTTTTTTTTTTTTCTTGCTATAGGATGAATACATTTGCTAGAGAGAGACAGAGAAACAGAAAGAGAGTGAGTGGAGAAAGCACTCCCCCACATGGGCATGGTTATGCTGTAATCCCTCCTCCTCCATCTCTTTGTCCTTTTGGGATTTGGGCATGCACATGTGCCTGGCATGTTTCTCCAACCACCAGATCTGGGGCCACACATTGGCCACGTGAGATCTAGCCACCTTAACCACCAGGTCACAGGCTGGCCCTACACATTTTTTTTTTTTTTAAGTTTAGCTTATTAGCCAAAGTTGCCCTTATAGTATTCAATGGATGAGGTTGTGTGCATACATAACAAACCAGAGGAAAGAAGCATTATTATTCATGTTGCCTCCTCACAACCACCAGCACTCCATGCTATTTGAGTTTTCTGGACATTTTGTGATGACGTGTTCCACTGTACACATGTAAAGCAGAGTGAAAAAAAGTCACTATTAGCTGCAATATTAAAATATTTGGGTAAGAGTGAGTGAAGCTTCTTCAGGATGCCTGCCTTGCTTCTCTGCTTGTTTTACTTGTAAGGAATAATTCATGTGTTTTACCTTTCTGGAGAAGAATGTGTTATATCTTTTATAAATAATTTGGGTCAGGTTTCTGGTATTTGATGTATAATGCAGCATCCCCATCCAAAGATGTTACTTGCCAAGGGAAAAAAGTGTAAGACCAATCCTTCACTTAGTTGGGAAATAATTTGTGTCCTTTCTCTCATGTACTTCCCAGAGGAATGTATGCTTGGCTGGTCTACTACATTACCTTCAGTCAGATAAATAGTTTCTGATATTTATTATAGGACATGTGTACACTTCGGTCTAGGTTCTGTATTTCAGTTTACAGAATTTCATAACGTCTGCAAACAAACAGACAAACATGTAATTGCCAGCAATAAAATTAGTAATTTCCAATTAACATCGTTCTCCTGCAAGGTTCTTAAGCTGTCTCAACATCCAAAGTGAAATCTGAAAAGAAGAAATATGTATATGTGTGTGTGTGTGTGTGTGTGTGTGTGTGTGTGTGTAACAAAGACCTTAATTACTTTTGTGGATAATCTAAACAAATGAGAAATTAGTCAAATGTGGGTGGTGGAGACAGGACAGCGAATTAGTTGTATGAATTGTACTGCTGTCAAATCCTGGCACTGCCACGCAATACTCGTTGTTCCACACAAGAGTGTTGCTGGGTGTCTCTGAAGCTTAGCTGCCCCACTTGTCAATGAGTACAATAATATTACCTTCTTAAGGTGATTGAGAAAATTAAATGAGCTAAGTACCTAAAAGATACCCGGCACATAGCCTAAATATTTTAGGTATTGTACAAGTCTCATTTTACTGGCTTAACCACTATTTTATGCATCTCCATGACATTGCTCAGAGCATCATCGATAGGTCTGCATTTGTTTATTAATACTTCAGATACATCACTAGGCCCGTGAGGTTGCAAAGATGAAAGGTTGAGTGAATCCTCAAGGAATCCACAGTCTAGTTGGAGAGACTGGAGACTCCTGACTACAATTCAGTGCTTTATGCTGTTATTTTAATTTGACCAGAGACACACACAAACAGAGAGAGAGAGAGAGAGAGAGAGAGAGAGAAAGTGAGAAAGCAAGCTGCCACGTTTGGGACTCAAACCGTGGTCAGCCATCTGGGAGTGTCCAGCGCCTTAGCCACCACACCACCTGCTGGCCCCGGATCAGTGACATTTTAAAGGAACATCTTTTACAGAATCTTAAAGAATAAGACTCAACCACTTAGGGAAACAGAGGAAATGTGTTGGATCAGTTGGAGCGACACCACTGCATGCACGAGGAAGTGGATGAGAAATCCCGGCACACTGCGGGAACCTAAAGTAGCTCTGCAGAGTTAGAGCGAAGGTTCTGATGCGAAAAGTACCAGTGGGGTGAAGCTGGATAGTAAAATTCCGATCAGCTTGTAGGTAATGGTAAAGATGCTGAACTGCAAAGGGGTCTCATTTGTCACTCTAAGGAAAGGATTGTTACATAAATAGGTTCACATTTTAAAAATACAACCCTGGCAGCGTGGTGGACATTGTTTTGGCCTTGGTCAGAATTTGCACTTTTTCCATCATGGTTTCGCCTCTGATGTTTTGAAAGGACCTCGTATGGACAGGAAATTCTTTTTGCATTACCCATTTATTTATTCACCAAACATTTCTTGAGGAATTACTAGGTTATATCTTAGGCCTTGGACTAGATTCTGAAGGTGAAAAATCTTTGCTTTTAAGGAGATCAGGGTCCAGTAGGAGAAACAGACATGAATCACCTAGGTTTACTTACATGTCTAATCTTAGCTTATTTCTTCTTTGATTTACCCCACAAACATTCCTTGAGTAGTGTGTACCTGGCACTGCTAGTCTCGGACTTACAAGGCAGAGGAGCCTGGACTTACTCCCCTTGTGTAGAGACAGGGGGAGAGATTGTTTGAAGGTATTTTGATTAACAAAGATGTGTGAATTAAAGTCAAATCACTTCAAAACAGAATGACAACTAGATTCTATAAAATTAGAAAGGGAATAACTTCCATTTAAGATAAATAAAATGCCATTTCATAAGGTATCTCTTTCTATCTCTGTCTTTTAAGACTATATGGTCAGACTTTCCTAAAAGCCTCAAAGAGCATACAAGCCAAAGCTCTTGTTTCAGAAATTATCTCTTTCTGCTTCTTAAGGGCAATCTGGAATCTAGTAGACTGCCCCATTGAATTTTATCTATTATTTATTTATTTATTTATTTATTGAAAGAAAGAGTGAGATTTAGGTTATAGGGAACATGCACTCACTAGATAGAAAGTGAGAAATCACCTCCCAGGGGATGGCTATGCTGCAATCCCTTCTCCTCTATTCACCTCCTGGGATTTTGAGCATGCACACACAAATGCTCGGTATGTTTCAAGCTACCGGGCCCAGGACTCACACTACCATCAGCCATATGGGAGTCCAATGCCTTAATCACTATGCCACCTGCTGGCCTGTACTTTTTATGTTTCTGTGCTATGCAAGGCCTAATGCCTTAAAGGTCCTGGGCAACAGAGTGAATTGAATTTTCTTCATTTTATTAGTCTGAAATAAACTTGGCAGGTCAATCTGGAAGCACTGAATTTGACTACAAGTCCAAATAAAATTTTAAAAAGAAAAAAAATTGAGACCTTTGATTTAAAAAATATATTATCTTCTAGCTTCTCTTCAAAGGCAATACTTCCCCCATAGTAAATGCTGCCAAACTTGCCAAGCAAGTTTGATGGCTTTCATTTTCCAAGTATGCTAAAAGAACCCTTTTCCTTTGCAGCTTCACAGAACTTGCTTTAGTATATTATTTTATCCATAGGAAGATCTTTTCAGCTCATGTTATTATTGATTTTTCTTCTGATCCTATGTTAGTCTGAGAAAATTCGATTGGAAAAGGCAGGTGGGCCAAGGAGTCACGTATTCAGCCTAAGGAGAACACAGGAAGCAATGTTTGCAAACACTCTTCGAGAACAGGCCCTCTCAAACTGTAATATGCTGCGAAGCACTTCTAAATGTTGTTAAAATCCATATTTTAACTTATATTTTGGGGTGGAGCCTGAGATTCTCTGTGTTTAATAAGCTCCCAGGTGACATTGATGCTGCTAGTCCTTTACAGGTTGATAACAGTATTCCGAAAGGGCCCTCCTTGCCAGGTTTAGAAGATGTGTGTAATACATAGTGCTTAAGCAGGATGGTAGCAGCTCTGCCCTCATGGCCCACCTTCTAAATCTGTATATGATATGCTAAATAGTTTCTGGGAGGCTAACATTTCTGTACCTCCATTTCTCTCATTGTAAAATTAAAATTATGAGTGGCTCCCTTATTTGGCCTTTTTAAAAAATTGTTGCTATAGGGCATGTGGACTTGCTGGAGAGACAGACACAGAGACACAGAGAGAGAAAGTGAGAAAGTTAGAAATCACCTCCTAGAAGGTATGGCCATGCCATAATCTCTTCTCCTCCATTCTCCTTTCAGGATTCTGGGCATGCACACAAATATGCTCAGTGTACTTTTCAAGCTCCATATTCAGGACTCAAACTGCAGTCAGTCATGTGGGATCCAGGCACTTTAACTCCTATGCACTGACTGGCCCAGTCATTATTATTTTCAACTACTGTCTTTCAAGTTTCTATCTAAATCTATTCTCTTCAATAAGAAATATAGCTGCAAATACATAAAGCAAAGGGAATTCTGCTGAATTTAAAGAGACATATGATTCTGGACTGCTGAGATTTTTGTAGTTCAAACACTTGAAGTTCCATGTCTGGGAACCCCTCAGTCCTGGGCAATGCTGAATTCCCAGCAGGTCTTGAGAAATGACTCTTACAGGCAGCCCACTGTGGCCAGTGGGGGAAATGTTCATTTTATTTTGGTAATTATTTGTCGTTGATGGTTTTATTGTTAACCTTTATTTAGTGTTTATTTTCTTTTCACAGTGTTCAAAAGCTGAATGAGTTTCTTCTGAGTGATGAGATTGGTGATGACAGTTGGCGAACTGGAGAAGGTTCTCTTCCTTTCGAGTCCTGTAAAAAACACACTGATATTGTAAGTATTTTTTCTTGTTATGGATACCATTAATAGGGGACAATTGGAACAGAACATACGGTTAATAGAAGTGCAATTAGACGAAACCACAAACTTTATTTTATGACTTATATGAAGAAAAGTTGTTACCTGTTTCTAACAACAAACCCCACTCATCAAAAATTAATCAACTAATGTGTAAGATTTGTATTTTTAGATCAGAAAAAATTTTTCCTAAGAGAGATACATATGTTCAATTCAAAAGGAAATTGAGAGGTTGTTTATCCCAAGCTTTACATAAAAATAAAACAAAATAAAAGCTTGCAACTTCTACACTATATGCTTGTAATATTCTTTTATCTATATTACATTTTTTGGTTTAAAATGTGATTTCTCATATATTATGTCTTTTGTTCTATTCAATCTATTACAAATATCATCTATTTTTATTTTCCAGCTTAGAACACTGAGTTTGCATATTGTATTGCTTGAATCAAATCCTAAGATTAGTAAGGGGTAGAGCCAGAATTAAAACCTGAATGCTATAACTTGCAGACCAGTTCATTCATCCATGACACAACTAAATACTTGGTATCTACATAAAGCATGGAAAAATAGTACTATTTTGCTAGGTATTACATGTAATAAAAGTACACCATGTATTATGCATTTCCTTGTGTTTTCAGACTTATCAGCTGTTCTGTACTTTTTTCCATGACCTATGGATGTAGTTATGAGCAAACCACACAGGATCCTTCCTGTCACACCACTTATTTTACTGGGGCAAGAGTCAGGTGATAAACAAGAGAGAAAAAAAAGTTAAGACCATTTCACTGTGTGACAAAAATAAAAGAGGATATTAGACAGAATGGGAAGTACTAGAAGCAGTGGTCATTTCCAAGACAACCTCTCTGAAGAGCCAGAGTTTGTGTTGAAACCTAAATGGGGAGTAGGTCCCTGTCCTGAGAACATTTGGAGAAAAGCCATTCTCAAGGGAGAGGTGGCAGAGATAAAGACCTTGAAGTAGGAATGAATTTGATATAGTCAAGGAAGAGAGGGGCAGGCTATGGTTGAGCCTGCCAAAGAATGGACAGGTGAGCTGATGTAATGATTGAGGGTCTTCTACACATGAAAGAAATTTGAATTTTACTGACATACGTTGGAAGCCTTTGAAAGTTTTTAAAGTAGAGACCAATGTCATTTTGCTAATATTTTTAAACAATCACTTTGGCTACTGTGTAGAGAGAAATTAGTAGGGACAAAGAGGAGAAGAGGGAGATCAGTACAGAGGTCATTATGTAACATAGGCAAGGAGATGATAATGGCTAGTGTTAGATCTGTTGTAGTTGCAGTGGAAACTGTGAAGACTTGATCAAATTCAGTCTACATTTTTTAGGGTGAGCTGATAGACTACTCATAGATTGGCTGGAGAACATGAGAGAGAAAGAGAACTCAATGATAAATCCTAGGTTATTGGCTTGTTTTTTTGGGGGGATAGATATTTCTAGCCATTAACTATAAAAGGGAGACTGAGAAATGAGTAGATTGATGTTGAGATGGAATCGAAAGGTACTTTATATATGAGATACATATTGACATCTAAGAAGAAACGTCAGCGTTGAAGATAGAAATTTAAGAATCATTAGCTATTAGATGATATTTAAATCAATGGCACTGGATTATACCACTTTTATAAAGGATATATCTGAACATTTCTGAAGAAATTATTATTGTTATTTTAATATGATCCCACTTTTATTCTTACTTGTTGGATCCAAGGCATGCCATTGCAATTTTTTTTTCTGGGTGGGGAGGTTTTTGCTATAGGGCACATGCGCTCGCCAGAAAGATAGAGACAGAGAGACAGAAAGTGAGAAATCACCCCTTCCCCGGGGGGATGGCCACACCACAATTCCTTCTCCATTCTCCTCTCAGGATCTTGGGCATACACACACATTCATCTGGTGTGATTTAAGCCAGGGTCCAGGACTTGAACCGTGGTCCACTACATGTGAGTTTAGCGACATGGCCATTACACCAACTGCTGGTCCCCCCATTGTAATTTTTAACAATGTGATCATGTTTTATAAGTTGTCAGAGGGTGGGGCTAGCAGGTGGTGTGGTGGTTAAGGGTGCTGGACTCCCACATGGCCAACCACAGTTCAAGTCCTGGACCTGGAGGCTTGCCTTCTCACTTTCTCTCTCTCTTTCTCTCTCTCTCACTCTCTCTCTCACTCTGTCCCTCTCTGATCAAATTAAAATAAATAAATAAATAAATGAATAAATAAAGTTCAATAAAATAATTCTTTAAAAATAAATAAATAAATTGCCAGAGAGTGTGTGCTTGCAAGAGACAGAAAGACAGAGAGAGAGAGGAAGAAAGTACTCCTCAAATGGGAATGGTCACACCACAATCCCTTCTGCCCCATTTTTCCATCCTGTCAGGATTTGGGGGTCACATTTACATGTGCCTGGCCTGTCCCTCAAGCTACTGGGACTGGGATTTGAACTGCAGTAAGCTACCTATAAACTGTTTCCCTGAACCAGTATTCCATGAGGCTAGCCCTGAAGAAATTATTTTTATTTACCAGAAAGTAGAAAGATGTTGTTCCCAAATTAATAATGATATAAGTTATTGGATCATTGGAAAAGTCAAGACATATTTTTCTATGTAAAAATGTAGCACAATAGTATTAGTTATTTAATTTACTATTACAGAAAAAAATGAATATATTTACCAATTATGTGATTCAAAAAAAACCATACATGCAGTTTCTTGACTAAAATTGATTGAGATTTGGAAAGCCTTTACCAGGAAGTTAATTTATATTAAGTTTTTTTTTACATCATGTTTAAAACTGTCAAGACTAGTTGAAATGAGCACTTGACTATATTTAGATTTACCGTCTTTTTATACTTTTCTGGAGTTATTTTTAACTTTCTGTTAGGTTGTCTGATTGAGCAACAGTGATTTTCTCTGAGAGGGAGCTTCTAGCTATGCTTATTTACAAGGATACTTCAAAAAGTTTGTGGAAAATGAAATTAAAGTACAAGTTTATTCTGATAGAAAAAATTAAATCCATGCATAAATTTTTCATAATATGCATTTTCCACAAACTTTTTGAGGCTCTCATCTGCACTAGGAATAACAATGCCTCACGATGCTTGTTTGAGTGGACATGGGCATAAAGACACAGATACACTAAAGGGTATCTACACTTTCAGGCAGTGGGAAAGTCACATGTTTGATTAGAACCAGCTTTGCCACACTTTGGATGATCCTAGACTATCAAAAAATTTATCCGATCATCTTTCATAGAAGTGGGGATGAGTGCAGTGAGATGACCTCAAGAAAGAGGAGGTAGGCGGCCAAGCTCACAGACTTAGGGACATCGGAAGAAGTTTTTGTATGAGTTGAGGGATAGAAGAAAAATTGAATTGAGATAGGTTGTTGGAAGGAAAAAAGAATCCCCTTCAAATGCATCCAGTACTTTTGGGATTATTGAAAACAGACAGGATTTCTGATGTCTTTCAGGGTCATTCATCACTGCTGATGGGCCAAACCACAAACGACAAACTTTTAAAAATGGAGTGAAAAAAGTTGTGTGTTAGAAAATAACACAAATGGAAACTCCTTCTTGGGAGTGTTTAAGATGATATGTATTCTGTGAAAGCTTAGAGTTAAGTGGTTTTGGCTGTAGAATCTCCATGGAGAATTAGTGACATCCTGGAGCCAAAGTCTCTTCAAATTACATCTGTGGAACTCCGACTCAAATGTCTGTCAACACATCTCCTCTTCCCACCCTCTCTTTAGTTTTTCGAAGAGCGTGAAGTCATCCCTTTAGATCCCAGGGAGCAAAACTACTATAGAATTTAAGACTCTAGAAGACAGTGAGTTTTATGTATAGGTAGATACCTGTTTCGTATGACGTTCTGCTCACCCAATTGGTAGTGGTTTTCTACATTTCATGCACTGTCTTCGTGGGTTATATGTGAGGGCTATAGGAAGACAAAACAAAACCAAAATAAAATTTCATAGATATTCTCTTTCTTTGTTTTAAATGAAAATGCATTAGTATTTTGTACATGACAGTTCTAGTACTTCACTTTCAATCTTCTCAGTGGCTTTTTAAATTTGTGTATTTATTTGTATGTAGCCTAGCAATGTACTATTTGATTGTTTGATGTTCTGTTGATACACCAATTGATGGAAATTGGAAGAACAGTATCTTGTTTGGATTAAGTTACGGTATCTGAGGACATTTCTAATTCCCATAGTAGAACTCAATGGATTTTTCAAAAAGTTAAATCTGCCATCCCAGGCCAAATATAAATAAATAAATGAAAGTTTTGTAATCATAGAATTTTTCTGTTTTTATCGATAATTGAATAATGTTAAAGTATATTACTATTTAGTCTTCATAATCTATGTAAGATATGTATATAAGACAGATAATTATTTTTGTTGTAATTGCTTGCATGGTTCCTGAAATACATTTTGAGCTAATAACATTTTCCAAATCAGAGGTTTGCAAAGCTAGTTTTCTACCTTCTTGTTAACCACTTAGCTCTGTGTGAAACTAAACTAAAAATTGGAGAATGACAAATTCTTAGTTATGACCTACTTTAATTCACTTTAAGAATGCAAAGATTGTTATACTTCAACTGGCTTCCTCTTTATAATGGCTTCTTTAGTTTATTGACTAAGACTAGCCCTATAACATTTGAGATAAACTAGATTACTCTATAATACTTACGGATTTCCTTGTCATACACTATACAAAAAATCCTAGGTCTTTATGCTTTTGTCAATCCACACAGACACTTGAGTTTCTTGAGTAATGTGTAGCTCAATCTTATTTATGTGAGTATATCAGATAGAAAATTCTCATGACTCAGAGGATGATCAATAATGTGTTTCCTGATTGTCTACAGGCCCGATGGATTAGCACGTGAATTCTAGTTTGACCTGGGTTCATAACTTGACCATCCTTCAACATGACACAGGGTTTTTATTGTCTAGATATATTCATCCGTATTGCTGAAAGAGTAGATGAAACCTCATTTGGGACTCACAACTTTAACATTATGTGCACCTATCAGATCTTCATGTTTTTATTTTTCTTAAAAGGCTTGTGAATTATGTTTAAAATTATAGCTTTAGCCCTATAACATTTGAGATAAACTAGATTACTCTATAATACTTACGGATTTCCTTGTCATACACTATACAAAAAATCCTAGGTCTTTATGCTTTTGTCAATCCACACAGACACTTGAGTTTCTTGAGTAATGTGTAGCTCAATCTTATTTATGTGAGTATATCAGATAGAAAATTCTCATGACTCAGAGGATGATCAATAATGTGTTTCCTGATTGTCTACAGGCCCGATGGATTAGCACGTGAATTCTAGTTTGACCTGGGTTCATAACTTGACCATCCTTCAACATGACACAGGGTTTTTATTGTCTAGATATATTCATCCGTATTGCTGAAAGAGTAGATGAAACCTCATTTGGGACTCACAACTTTAACATTATGTGCACCTATCAGATCTTCATGTTTTTATTTTTCTTAAAAGGCTTGTGAATTATGTTTAAAATTATAGCTTAACATTCTTTCCCTGTTTGCTTTTTACTGGAGAAGCCAGTGGAATAATTAAAATATAATACCCACTTTTCTTGTTTCTTATTCTTGGAATTTCAGTAGAAAAGTAGCAATGTGAGTTAGTAGGCAACAAAATCTGAGTTTATTCATAAAGCTTCAACTTGTGTCCTCTTTTATTTGGAATGCAACAGCCGAAAACTATAAACAGGAAGCAGCCTGGAAGATACCACCTGGACAGCTATGAGCAATCCATGAGGCGCCTGCGTCCCGCAGAGACCGAGGACATTGCAATCAAGGTTATTTGATTTCCTAGATTCATACGTGAGCCATTGATGCTTTTACTTTATTGAGACTTCTGTGAAAGTGTCCTAGGGAGTGTCTGGAAAGTCTCCTTATAGTGGCTATTAATACGAATGACGTTTTAAAAAGTATCCTGATGAGTTTATAATTCACAGCCTTTCCCCTGCTCCCAACCACAGTCTTTGCTTCCGCAGTACATGTTGGTCACTGGAGCGGGAGCCCTTCTTGGGAATCTACACGAAAACCTAGTATCCAACGTATTTCCTCTAGTATGCTGACATTGATTTCCCAAGTAAACTGATTTGTAGAGAATATCAATATTAAAAATCCCATTTTTAAGAAAATAAACAAGATAGCAATTGTTTTCAACCAGGAAAGGCTTAGGCTGGTGTTGCCTGCGTTTCCCCAGCTTCCTAATGTTGCCTTGATTTCATTTTTTGTATCTCCCTGCCCATGCATGCTACGTAAAGTAGAAAAGGCAACCACAGGAACATGGGTCAGGGACTGATGGTTGGGATTAGCCCCAGGGAGGGGTCAGTGCTGTGCAGAAACTGGAATAGATGCTGCAGAGGTCTAGGACCTCTGGATTTTGGAGCCATCTTGGAAACTACCCCTTTTAGGACACTAGCTGCCTTGACTTCTGCATGCTATCCAACTCCCCTGTACTACCCAGGCCAATCAGAGGCAGTCCCATGTGGGTGTATGGAAGAGCTCAGAGCTACATTTAATTCCCTCACTCCTTGATACCTGACACAATCCCTGTCCCAGAATAGGCATTTCCAGTTGGAGCAAACATGTTCTTGGACGAAATAAGCTAGAACTAGCCCCGCTTCTGCCATGAATTTGAGATGTGATTTTTGAGAAAATTATTTTGCTTCTCTGAGCCATGGCTGTCCACCATGAGATTGGCGTGCCATTTTAACACTGTCATTTTGAGGATAAAATGCCGCTTGTGAATGTGTAACTCTTATGATTCTTGATTTTGGCTATATATTAGAATCACTTAGAAAGCTTTTAAAATATGTGTGTGGGGACCTTCAAAAAGTTCATGCAAAATGTGTATTGTGAAAAAAACTGTGCTTAAATTTCAATTTTTTCCTCCAAAATAAACTTGTACTTTAATTCCATTTTTCTATGAACTTTAAGAAGGAAGTTCCCTTATGTGTATGTATGTGTGTGTGTGTGCATGTGAGTGCCATCTTCATCAGTAATCAGGAAAATATCAATAAAACAAGATGACCTATTTCTTTGTTTTTCTATACAAAAGTATGCCATGACTTTTCCACTGATCCAATACATTTGTACCCAAAACACAGTACAAATTTTGGCAAAAAGTTAGAAACACTAGTGAAGACATAGATCAACTGGAACTCGCATTACTACTGGTGAAGTTTTATGTTTTTTGTTTTTTTTGGTTTTTTTTTTTTTTTTGGAGAGGTTTTTCTTTGTGCTATAGGGCGCATGCACTCGCCAGACAAACAGAGAGAGACAGAGAGACAGAAAGTGAGAAATCACCCCCCAGGGGGGGATGGTCATGCCACAATCCCTTCTCCTCCATTCTCCTCTTGGGATCTTGGGCATGCACACACACGCGCCCGGCGTGAGTTTTAAGCCACTGGGTCCAGGATGTGAACTGCGGTCGACTACGTGGGAGTTCAGTGACATAGCCATTGCGCTAACTGCTGGTCCCACTACTGGTGAAGTTTAAATTGGCACTATTACATTTAAAGTTTGCCACTAACTAGGAAAGTTGAAGTGAACATACCTTATGCCTAGACAATTATTTACAATATCCCCAAACTAAAAAAGCTCTCCAAACCTATCAAAAGCAGAACAGATAAGTAGATTCTAGTGTATCCTTACATGGAACACTACACAACAATGAAAATGAATGTATTACAGCTGCACCCTGCAACATGGATGAATCATGTACACATAATGTTGAACAAAAGAAGGAAAACACATCCACACACACTTAAACTGGAAACAAAACCCTAAAACTATGCTTTTAGGAAAGCATGCATAGCAAGAATGCATGCTTTAAGGAAAAGATGACCTTAAATTTAGAATGCCCGTTATGACTTAGGGAAGAGGTAGCAGAAAGCAACGCATAGGTTATAGGGGCATTCTCTGAGGGAGCTGGAAATACAAGTGTGTACTTTTCTGTAGTATGTTGTATTTCATGATAAAAATATATTTCAAAAAGGACCAGCTGCTGTTGCATGGTGGTGTCCCCAGTGCTCTGGAGTGGTGGAAGCCATTTGGTGACTGTGGTTCAGGTATCAGATTAGCCTAAAGAACACACTGAGCATGGCAAATGCTGGTGTTAGGATTTTGAGGAGCCAGAGGGCTTGGAAACGAGGATCTTAGCATGAGGAGACCTTATCAAGGGTACTTTCCCTCCATTCTCTCCCCTACCCTCATTTTGCGCGTGCACTTTCTATTACTATTTTTTTAAGTGTTATTACCAGTTTAGGAGTTTTTGCCATCATTAAAAATTAATGGAGGCTTGAAGGTGAAGTTGAAACTGATGTGGCCATTCAGAGTCACAGAAAACTCTAGGCCTTGAATAAACAACTTTATGGGAAACAGGGGGTGCATGAAGGGTCAACCTTGGAAAAAACAATAATAGTTTCTCCTTTTTTATTTCCGTTTTTGTTGTTGTTGTTGTTTTTTGAGAGTTTTTTGCTATAGGGCGCGTGCGCTCACCAGACAGAGAGAGAAAGAGAGGCAGAAAGCGAGAAATCTCTCCCCGTCCCCAGAGGGGATGGCCATGCCACAATCCCTTCTCCTCCATTCTCCTCTCGGGATCTTGGGCACCTGTGCAGAAACTGGAATAGATGCTGCAGAGGTCTAGGACCTCTGGATTTTGGAGCCATCTTGGAAACTACCCCTTTTAGGACACTAGCTGCCTTGACTTCTGCATGCTATCCAACTCCCCTGTACTACCCAGGCCAATCAGAGGCAGTCCCATGTGGGTGTATGGAAGCGCTCAGAGCTAAATTTAATTCCCTCACTCCTTGATACCTGACACAATCCCTGTCCCAGAATAGGCATTTCCAGTTGGAGCAAACATGTTCTTGGACGAAATAAGCTAGAACTAGCCCCGCTTCTGCCATGAATTTGAGATGTGATTTTTGAGAAAATTATTTTGCTTCTCTGAGCCATGGCTGTCCACCATGAGATTGGCGTGCCATTTTAACACTGTCATTTTGAGGATAAAATGCCGCTTGTGAATGTGTAACTCTTATGATTCTTGATTTTGGCTATATATTAGAATCACTTAGAAAGCTTTTAAAATATGTGTGTGGGGACCTTCAAAAAGTTCATGCAAAATGTGTATTGTGAAAAAAACTGTGCTTAAATTTCAATTTTTTCCTCCAAAATAAACTTGTACTTTAATTCCATTTTTCTATGAACTTTAAGAAGGAAGTTCCCTTATGTGTATGTATGTGTGTGTGTGTGCATGTGAGTGCCATCTTCATCAGTAATCAGGAAAATATCAATAAAACAAGATGACCTATTTCTTTGTTTTTCTATACAAAAGTATGCCATGACTTTTCCACTGATCCAATACATTTGTACCCAAAACACAGTACAAATTTTGGCAAAAAGTTAGAAACACTAGTGAAGACATAGATCAACTGGAACTCGCATTACTACTGGTGAAGTTTTTTGTTTTTTGTTTTTTTTGTTTTTTTTTTTTTTTTGGAGGGGTTTTTTTTTGTGCTATAGGGCGCATGCACTCGCCAGACAAACAGAGAGAGACAGAGAGACAGAAAGGGAGAAATCACCCCCCAGGGGGGGATGGTCATGCCACAATCCCTTCTCCTCCATTCTCCTCTTGGGATCTTGGGCATGCACACACACGCGCCCGGCGTGAGTTTTAAGCCACTGGGTCCAGGATGTGAACTGCGGTCGACTACGTGGGAGTTCAGTGACATAGCCATTGCGCTAACTGCTGGTCCCACTACTGGTGAAGTTTAAATTGGCACTATTACATTTAAAGTTTGCCACTAACTAGGAAAGTTGAAGTGAACATACCTTATGCCTAGACAATTATTTACAATATCCCCAAACTAAAAAAGCTCTCCAAACCTATCAAAAGCAGAACAGATAAGTAGATTCTAGTGTATCCTTACATGGAACACTACACAACAATGAAAATGAATGTATTACAGCTGCACCCTGCAACATGGATGAATCATGTACACATAATGTTGAACAAAAGAAGGAAAACACATCCACACACACTTAAACTGGAAACAAAACCCTAAAACTATGCTTTTAGGAAAGCATGCATAGCAAGAATGCATGCTTTAAGGAAAAGATGACCTTAAATTTAGAATGCCCGTTATGACTTAGGGAAGAGGTAGCAGAAAGCAACGCATAGGTTATAGGGGCATTCTCTGAGGGAGCTGGAAATACAAGTGTGTACTTTTCTGTAGTATGTTGTATTTCATGATAAAAATATATTTCAAAAAGGACCAGCTGCTGTTGCATGGTGGTGTCCCCAGTGCTCTGGAGTGGTGGAAGCCATTTGGTGACTGTGGTTCAGGTATCAGATTAGCCTAAAGAACACACTGAGCATGGCAAATGCTGGTGTTAGGATTTTGAGGAGCCAGAGGGCTTGGAAACGAGGATCTTAGCATGAGGAGACCTTATCAAGGGTACTTTCCCTCCATTCTCTCCCCTACCCTCATTTTGCGCGTGCACTTTCTATTACTATTTTTTTAAGTGTTATTACCAGTTTAGGAGTTTTTGCCATCATTAAAAATTAATGGAGGCTTGAAGGTGAAGTTGAAACTGATGTGGCCATTCAGAGTCACAGAAAACTCTAGGCCTTGAATAAACAACTTTATGGGAAACAGGGGGTGCATGAAGGGTCAACCTTGGAAAAAACAATAATAGTTTCTCCTTTTTTATTTCCGTTTTTGTTGTTGTTGTTGTTTTTTGAGAGTTTTTTGCTATAGGGCGCGTGCGCTCACCAGACAGAGAGAGAAAGAGAGGCAGAAAGCGAGAAATCTCTCCCCGTCCCCAGAGGGGATGGCCATGCCACAATCCCTTCTCCTCCATTCTCCTCTCGGGATCTTGGGCACGCACGCACATGTGCCTGGCGTGAGTTTTAAGCCACCGTGTCTGGGACGCGAACCGCGATCAACTACATGGGAGTCCAGCGACATAGCCATTACGCTAACTGCTGGTCCCAATAGTTTCTCCTTTTCACCTCTAAAATAAAAATAAATTGAATAGGATACACAGAAAAGACATAAGTTTAAGTTCCTATTATATTGAAAAGAAACTGTCAATTAGAAAAAAACTTAAAAACCGGCCTTGCTTCTCAGTCACTAGTATATTAGCTGTTACCAGGGCATATCTGGGAAGCAGTGGCTTCGAGAACTCTTTCTAGCCTCTTGTTTCTTACATTTTTTTATAGCCTAGTAGTTCACACACTGCTTGTACTTTTTAATTGCCTAGGAAACTATTAGAACTACTTTTAAAAATGATGTCCAAGTCTCATATATAAAATATTCAAGAAGTTCGTGGAAAACATCTATTTATAAAATATTATGCATGGATTTCAGAAATGTTTGTGCCAATGAAATTTAAAATGTATCTTAAATCTGTTTTTGTGAGAACATTTTGAAGTCTCCTCCTATTTTGTGAAAGGCAGGGGGGAATGAAAGTGCAAAGTGTAGCAGAAGAAATTAGCTTTCTTCCTCTCTCTTTCTCTCTCTCTCTCTCTCTCGTGGAAGTGACTCCCTCTTTAACTTCTGCCTAGCACCATGTCAGCAGGTGACACCACCTTCTTCTCACTCTTCCCTGCTGTTGTCAGACCATATCTTTCCCTCTCACCCTCTTGTAAAGCTATGACCTTCTCTATCTCTTCTCACTTCTGCCAGAGGACTTCATAATCACCCCTCCACCTTCAGCGACTATGCATGGACCTGTCCTAGCCCGTCTTCCTACTCTGTATGTGCCACACATGGGGGAATTTAAACTTCCAAGTGCACAGCCTGTCTGGGATCTGATCCAGGCATTCCTTAGCCTACTGTCGTTCCACTTGTATGACCTCATTTATGTCCAGATGCAGTCACTACCTGGAACTGCTCTCCTCTGAAATCTGTTACACCTGCCACTGACAACAAAATCCTGTTTCCCCACCCTTCTCAGGTATTCGCCTTCATTTTGTTTTTTAGCCTCAGTGAAACTCCTAATATCTTTTTATTTTTTGTTTGTTTGTTTATATATATTGTAATTGCCATAGGGCAAGTGTGCTCACCAGAGACAGAGACAGAGAGAGGGAGAGAGAGAAAGTACCCCTCATTGGGGTGTGGTCATGTCTCCATCCCTTTGCTACCTCTCCATCCTGTTGGGACCCCAGACATGCATGCACATGCTTCCCCACAAGCACATGAGCTGGGATTCAAACTGTAGTTGGCCATGTGGGATCCAGATTCTTCAACCAGGGGGCCATGGGGCTGACCTGAAACTCACAGTATCTTAAATTCCCCCTCCCCCCAGTCCCTTAGTACATTTCTGTAGCAATCCAGCCTAATGCCTTCCCACACATCTAAAGCCAGGCTGCTGAGTGCTATGGAGAAAACACAATGTAGCACAACCACAGGTTTTCATCACCAACCTCAGCTGACCCAGGGCAGTTCTTAGCAGTCCTTTTACATGCCTCTCATCACATTATCTTCCAAGCCTACAGTAGCTTTTCAGCTGTCACCATTCTCGTCCCACCTCCATCTCTCCTTTAACCTCTTCATTCTGAAAATAACTTTCACTCCCAATTCACTGAAAGTAGAGAGAATACCAGTGTAAGGTCTCTCTTGATTCTGTGCTATCCCTTTTATTTATTTTTTTTTCTCCAACTCTAACCTGATTGTTTACTCTAACAGAGACAGAGAGAGGGAGAGAGAGAAAGTACCCCTCATTGGGGTGTGGTCATGTCTCCATCCCTTTGCTACCTCTCCATCCTGTTGGGACCCCAGACATGCATGCACATGCTTCCCCACAAGCACATGAGCTGGGATTCAAACTGTAGTTGGCCATGTGGGATCCAGATTCTTCAACCAGGGGGCCATGGGGCTGACCTGAAACTCACAGTATCTTAAATTCCCCCTCCCCCCAGTCCCTTAGTACATTTCTGTAGCAATCCAGCCTAATGCCTTCCCACACATCTAAAGCCAGGCTGCTGAGTGCTATGGAGAAAACACAATGTAGCACAACCACAGGTTTTCATCACCAACCTCAGCTGACCCAGGGCAGTTCTTAGCAGTCCTTTTACATGCCTCTCATCACATTATCTTCCAAGCCTACAGTAGCTTTTCAGCTGTCACCATTCTCGTCCCACCTCCATCTCTCCTTTAACCTCTTCATTCTGAAAATAACTTTCACTCCCAATTCACTGAAAGTAGAGAGAATACCAGTGTAAGGTCTCTCTTGATTCTGTGCTATCCCTTTTATTTATTTTTTTTTCTCCAACTCTAACCTGATTGTTTACTCTAAGAGGAAGGGGGTCCCTCAGCCTCTGAGGCTGTATAATTTCTTTGAGTGCCATTTGTCACTTAACTACGGTATCTTAGCACTCTGCCCTAGCCAGCTCTATGTATTATTTCTCACAATGTATTTCACAGTTTTCTAATTCTCACCATAGTTCTTTCTCCAGAAATGTCTTCATTGACATTCAATCTGTTTTTCAAAACTAGCCAAAAGGTTTCCTCTTCCAGCAAGTTTTGACTCATCCTAGACTTAAATGATTTTCTTTCTGAACTTCTATTGCACTTATATATCTGTACCCTCTAATTGGTACTTTACCTATACTATCTTGCATTTTTCTTGTTCTGTCCATGGATTTTTCACTCATCTGATTGCAAATTCCAAGGGAGCAGGAAAGATACATTTACACCCTCTCTGCATCCTACGTCAGTCCTAGCACTGCCTCACCTAACTGGGTGCGCAGCAAATATCTGTGAAGTGCTCACTAGTCAGCTTTCCACACCAACCTCCTTCCATGACTAATTCCACGCATCCCTCTGTAATGCATATTAGTAAATGCCGCGACATACATTTTACAAGCTACGAAAAACCTACATGGGAAGACACGATCTTGTGCTTCTAAACAGTTTTTCCACTCTTTAATTCCTTCATTTTACAGAGGTTTTAGTTACCGCTTAGATGTCACCAATTCATTCTGCAAAATTCATAAATAATCATGTGATTAGAAATGTCAGCATTCATGGTATTGATATAAGACACTGATTTATGAGCAAAGTCATTTTTAGTTTTCCCTGATTTTTCAATCACCTTCCTTCGTTTCACCTGTATCTACTCCATCCTCTTAATTCTTGGATGCTGTTATACTTTTTTTTTTTTTTTTCATTTCCCATTTTTGGAGTCATTGAAGCTATCGAGTTTACTTGCAGCCTGTAAAAACAAATAGATTGCTTGGGATAAATATAAGGTCTTGTACTCTTTGCTTATTATAGACATTCATACTACTAAGCAATGTGGCCTCATTTTTGTGCTTTATTATTCTCTCCTTTTATCTTTCTTTTAACTTCAATGAATAGAGGGAATCTACACAGTTTAGGAAACTCACTCATTACAGAACCTCCCTCCTCAAGTAAATCATTTTCTTGGATTATGTCGTGGTTATTTTTACCTTTACTTATACCACCAGAAAAATAACCATAAGGATTATCTTCTAGAAATAAAAAGATGATCAATTTAGAGTTTTCACCAGAAAATATATATATTTTTATAATTATTTTATTTTATTTATTCATTCATTTTTTTTTATTTGACCAGAGAGAGACAGATGTTGAGAGTGAGAGAGAGAGGAAGCGAGAAAGCAAGCCACCAGATTCAGGACTTGAACCCTGGTCAGCCATGTGGGAGTGTCCAGTGCCTTAACCATCACGCCAGCTGCTGGTCCCACCAGAAAATATTTGTAATGAGAACTTTTTTTTACACAAAATAAAATGTCAAAGTTTTAAAATAAAGTGTTAACATGTAAAATCCTCTCTTCTAGCTATTCTGAGACAGTATGTTATTGTTAACTATAGTTAACCTGTAGTGCTATAGAACACAAAAACCTATTTTTTTCAATCCAGCTATAATTTTATATTTGTTAAACAATATCTATCTCTCCCCTATCCATCTCCCTTCCATGTAAATGATCCAGCAATCCTAAATTTTCAGAGAAAATTGCTGTAATATTTAGCATTATTCTGGACTCCCACGTAGTTGACCACAGTTCGAATCCCGGACCCAGTGGCTTAAACTCACGCCAGGCGCATGTGCATGTGTGCCCAAGATCCCAACAAGAGAATGGAGGAGAAGGGATTGCAGCATGGCCATCCCCCCTGGGGAGTGATTTCTCGCTTTCTGTTTCTCTGTCTCTCTCTGTATTTCTGATGAATGCACTCATCCTATAGCAAAAACCTCTCTAAAAAATTAGCATTATTTATATTATCACTATAGTAATTGAACAATCCTCCTTTCACATCTATTCTTTTTTTGGTCCAACTTTTATATCATTGAATAGTTATTACTCTAAATTAGAGTTTCACCATTTGTGTCCTACTTTACACTGAAAGGCTTCCAACATTATAAAAATAAAATTTATTTAATTGGAATATATACCATGTATATACTTTAATTTCTATCTCCTTATTCTCCAGGTTACAAATGGATATTTTTCATGGGGCAGTGGTTTAGCTACATTATCCAACATAGATATTCGAATTCCAACAGGTAAGAGTAATTCATTATGAGAATTAATGGCAGTGAATGGATGTGGGAGGGGCCAGTATGAGATGTACCACATGGTTCTGGCACATAAACAGGCATGTGGACCAATGGAGAAAAATAGAGACTCTACATACAGTCAGCTGATTTTTTAAAAAGGGCTCCAATCAATCCAGTTGGAAAAAGGAAATCTCTTTAGCAAAAGGAGCTAGAAAAACTGTATTTACCTGTAGGAAGATAAAATTGGACTTCTATCACTCACTAATAATGAAAATCAACTCAAAATATATAAGAGATCTAAATCTAAGACTTCAAACTATAAAACTACTGGTAGATCACACAATGGAAACTATTGGAGATGTTGAAGTAGACAAAGACTTCTTAAATAAGACCCCCAAAAGTACAGGTAATAATCCCCTAATTAGAGTGAATTATCAACCCTCAGAATGAGAGAGTATATTTGCAAAATACGCCTCAGATGAGGGACTGATAACCAGAATATAAGGCAACTCAAGCAGCTTCCCCCACCCCCAATAAAATGACCAACCCAAATAAAAGAGGGAAAATGAGCTAAACAAATAACTCTTTAAGGAAGACATACGAATAAAAAAAGCATATGAAAGATGTTCAACATCCCTATCATAAAGGAGATGAAAATCAAAACCACAATGAGATACTACCTAACCCCAGTCAGAATGGCTAAAATTAATGAAAGAAAGAATGAGTACTGGTGAAGTTATGATGAAAAGGAAACTCTTCTATGCTGTTGGTGGGAATGTAAATTAGTACAGTCACTGTGGAGAACAATATGGAAGTTCCTCAAAGACCTACAGATAGAACTACCATATGATCCAGCAATTCCATTTTTAGGTATCTACCCAAAGGATATGAATACATTCATTTGGAAAAACACTTGCATGTCCATGTTTATTATGGAATTATTTACAATTGCTAAAACATGGAACCAATCCAAATGTCCACTAACAGATGAATGAATTGAAAAAGTGAGGCACATATACACTTTGGAATACTACTCAGCCAGAAGAAAACTGTTATTTGATAGTATGTGGACTAATATGGAAGATTTACTGCTAGGGAAAGTAAGCCAGACTATGAAAGAAAAACATAGTATGTACCCACAGAATATATACCAAATGTCTGCACTTATGGTGGAAACAGAAAGATTGAAAGGTATAAAAACATGGAGAACAACTGTGGATATTGAAGACAGTGTGGAAGGAGGGTGGGAAATGAAAGAGATTGAGAGGAAAGAAATTAAGGGGAAAATGAAAGAAGCAAAACGTATAAGGGACACAAAAATGTAGAATTATCTGTTGATGATAGTGTGTATGATAATAACTTTGACTGGACTAATATACAGTGTATTCATGCTGGAAGAATTCATCTTGCATGTTGTAATGCTATGTAGTGATCAAATGTGTAAAAAAATAATCATTTTTTAAGAGGTTTTTGCTATAGGGCGTGTGCGCTCGCCAGAAAAGGCGAGAGAAACAGAGAGACAGAAAGCGAGAAATCACCCCCCAGGGAGGATGGCCACACTGCAATCCCTTCTCCTTCATTCTCCTCTCAGGACCTTGGGCACTTACACACATGCACCTGGTGTGGGTTTAAGCCACCGGGTCTGGGACTCAAACCTCAGTCAACTACATGGGAGTCAAGTGACATAGCCATTATGCCAAATGCTGGTCTCTGAAATTTTTTAAATATGGAGAGAAAAAGTCATTTAGTATCCATTTTTGTTATTGTTAATTATTATAACCATAGTTTCCTAAGACAAATGAGTTTAACACAAAGAGGAAGATTTTTTAAAGACAAACATTATTTATAGTTTCTTCTTTGCAACAGTGAGCCACTATTTCACTGTAGGAGTGATTGGAAATTGTAAGACCTGCCCTTCATTACAATCTGTATTTTTCCTCAAGTTATCTACTATTCTTTTGCTGATTTGCGTAACTTAAATGATGGGATAATAGATTTCTCATTTTGTTGGAGAAAGATTTTAAGTAAAACTATATGAGAAAATTATCATCTGTACCAAAGGAATACTGATGAAGTTTTCAAGATATTTAAAAGCTCAACTACTCTAGATTTTATTTATTTAGTTAGTTGTTTATAATTTTTAAAATTTTTATTGTGTTATAACTGATCTACACCAAGTTGCACTTGTTTAATGTTTCCATTTTGAAGAGTTTGGGCATAACCATGTACCTGTGATACCATAACCACCATCAAGATACTAAACATAAAATCACCTCTAAAAATGTCTTTATGTTCTTTGATTTTTAAAAAATATTCATTTAATTATTTTCTTTGAGAGAGAGCGATTGAGAGAGGTGCCCTATATAGAATCCTCATGCTTTGATCCTCCCCCATCCCTGAAGCCAACCAGAATCATGGGTGCTCACAGTGTGTTCAGGTAGACCCGGGCACAAACCAGAAGCCTTCATATATGGCCTCTATAGCATGCACAACAGCATCACAACTGTTTAAGTCACCGGGTCTGGGACTCAAACCACAGTCAACTACATGGGAGTCAAGTGACATAGCTATTATGCCAAATGCTGGTCCCTAAAATTTTTTAAATATGGAGAGAAAAAAAAGTCATTTAGTATCCATTTTTGAAATCAAGAGGTGTCATGTCTCCAACTTTGTTCTTTTTTCTCAAAATTTCTTTGGCTATATTGTGTCTATCATGTTCCCTTATAAATTTTTGGATGATTAACTCTGAAATATTCATTAAAAATGCCATTGGAATTTTATTAGGAGTTACATTGAACCCGTAGGATGCTTTGTGTAGTACAGACATCTTAACAATATTAATCTAATCCATGAACTCAGGATGTCTTTTCATTGATTTGTGCTGATGAATTTCTTTCCTCAAAGTCTTACAGTTTTCAGTGTGCAAGTCTTTCATGTCCTTGGTTAGGTTTATCCCTAAATGCATTAGCAACAAACTATCTAAAAAGGAAATTAAGAGCACAACACCATTTACAACAACTCCAAAAGGAATGAAATATTTAGGAATAAACATAAGAATTTGTATTTAAAATGTCTGCATAATTGAATAGAAATATTTTTCTAACTTGGTTTAATGTCCAGTAGCTTGGGATTATTGTATTACACATGCAAGTCAAAGTGAAAAATTGAAAAGTCTTTCTTAATAACTTAGCCTAAATCACTTTCATTCCATTTGTCTGTTTTTCTCATAACTGCCCTGTTCTTCTTAAAGAATTGAATAATAAAGTTTAAACTAATCTAGATGATCTACACCAGTATTTCATTGCTCTTTCTACTAAGGCCAGCTATTCTCATAATTTTAAAATAATAAATCAAGACCATATATTTTGATTTTTCTTTCTTCTTTCAAAAAGACAGATGTGCCAGGGAAAGGAGTTGTTTAGAATACCTTATTGCTGGAGACCAAACTTGGCCATTGATTATGAAACATTAATCTTTTATAGATGTGTTTTGATTTTATTTTACTAAGAAAATTCCAGTACATCCCATCATTATTCTTTGTTTCATTTCTCTAGGTCAGTTAACTATGATTGTGGGCCAAGTGGGATGTGGGAAGTCCTCTCTTCTCCTTGCCATCCTTGGTGAGATGCAGACACTGGAAGGAAAAGTTCACTGGAGCAAGTATGTGTTTTCCGTTGTTTTCTGTTGTGCTGTCACACATCTGATATCTTCCAAGGGAAAACCTTATAGCACAGATTACTGCTATAAGTCTGAGAGCCCCTTAGAAATAAATACAGCTTTTTTTTATAATTAGTGAAAACTTTAAATGCCATATGTATAAAACGACAAGACAATTTATTATAGAGTTTTATAACAGAATAAACTATATCTTTATAATACCAACTTCACTTATATAGTAAGTAAGGTCAAGATTATCTTTTTTTTTTTTTTTTAATTTTCTAGAGGCTGCAGGCACTCCCACGAGAGAACAAAAAGAGAGAGGTAGAGAGAAAAACAATCCCCATGGGGAATGGTCATGTTGCAATCCTTTCTCCTCCACTTCCTCCTCCTTTCAGGATTTAGGTCATGCACACACCATGTCTGGCATATTTTTCAAGCTGCTGAGTCTGGGACTCAAACTACATAGTCAGCCATGTAGGATCCAGACTTTTTAACCACTATGCCACTAGCTGACCCAAAGTTGATACATTTTTTAATATTAAGTGGATAAAATTCAAATAAATTACTTAAAATTTTATTTCATAATAAGATAAGTTATGGAGTTCAGCATTATTTATAAAGCTTAAATGCAAACAGAGCTTTCTGGGTCAATGTTCAGATAATATGAAATAATCTTCTCTAAAATTCACAAAAGACTGGAAAAATCAGCTATTTCTTTTCATACCTAATGTAAACTAGACACTAGAAGTATCTAGTTAGAGATAGATGTGTCAGGCCACTGTGTTGTGTAGTCCTAAAGACATGGAAAAGGCAATATCTAGCATGGTGTTTCTAGATATTGAAGTGGTTGGATTGGGGTCTTTAAAGCACATTGTGGTAATAAAGTGATTCAGTTATATAATAATATACAACTGGGCAACAAAGAGTAAGTCATATTCATTTAGTTTAAATTACCTAGTATTAGATCATTTATAATTTATAGCTTATAAAGATATTGACTGTAGTTTATCTAAGAAATTTAGATAGAAATTGAGTATAGTTTATCTAAAAACTATAGTTTTAGAATTTATTATATTTAGACTTTACTTAGGACAAGGACATTCTTAGCCATGGATCCTACATGGCTGACCATAGTTCAGATTCCATCCCTGGAAGACTGAGAAACATTCCAGGCACTCGTGTGCATACCAAAACTCCTAATAGGATAGAGAAATGAAAGAGAAGGGGTTACAATGTGGCCATATTCCACTGGGGGATGGAAGAGGTACTTTCTCTAACTCTGTCTATCTTTCTATGTCTCTCTGTGGCAAGAACATATGATCTCTGGCAAAATTAAAAAAAAATTATAATAAAGCTTGAAAAATAAAGAAATCAAAAAGTAAAATAAGGTCTAAATAATCTGAGAAGTTGATAGACTTCTAGATAGAAAAGAATGTACTGGAGTTCTACAGAATTATAAAATATAGGTCACAAATTCCCCTCTGAATTTCATGTAAGTCAAGCAGAGAGAAACATGAAATAATATATTTACTCAGAAGAGATTAAGGTTTTTTTCTTAGAAAGAAATATGAAAGAAGTCTCTGTATCTTAATAAAAACTCAATAAGAAGCTATATAATTCTCAATTTCCTCAATATCTCTGAAATTTATTCAAAATTAAATTCTGCATGTCAATTACTAGAGATAAAATTGATAAGATAATAATAGATAATTTCATAAGCATTAAGGGTGTAGTGGGCACGTGTGAGTGGATGAAGGATGTGGTATGGATAGTATTAAAAATAACGTGGCTACCTATGTAGATCTTCAACATCTTGTTTGAGTCAGGAATAAAATTAACATCACTTGGAGAAATGGATGGATTACATATCATTCTATGTTCAGTATATCAGCCTGGAATATGAGAGGGTCTTCCAAAAGTTAATAGAAAGTGTGTTTTATGAAGAAATTACAAACAGATTTCAAATATTTTTTGCAACAAAATAAACTCATACTTTAATTTGACTTTTCATGAACTTTTTGAAGTACCCTCATATGGATATGTTTTTCTGGATCCTTTTCTTTTTTCTTTTTTTTTTTAAGAGATTTTTTGCTACAGAGCATGTACACTCACCAGAGACAGAGACAGAAAACGAGAAATCACCTGCAGGGGATTGGCCACATCACAATCCTGTCTTCTCCATTCTCCTCTTGGGATTTTAGGCATGCACACACATACACCAGTGTGAGTTTCAAGCCACCAGGTCTGGAACTCAAACCATGGTTGGCCATGTGGGAGTCCAGTGACATAACCATTTCATCATCTGCTGACCCAGCCTTTTCTTGTTTCATTCAACAAGTGTTTCCTGAGTACTTCCTTTGCAGCAATACTGATCTAGGTTTAAAAGATACAGAAATGGACAAGAAACACCAAGACCTTGATCTCATGGACAGACAGGCTAAAATATTGCTCATATATATAATACATGTAATCAACAAAAAACAGATAATGTTAGGCTGTGATATATATATACTATGAAGATTATTTTAAAAAGGCCATGGAGTAGGGAGTCGGGGATGAATGTGTCTACTTCTCGTCATTCATTCACAATCACCTAATTCAAGGTACTGACTTATCTCCACGACTCTGACACCTTCAGTATCAGTGGGCTCTGTATCACTTGCAGTCTGCCTCCCTCCAATTCATTTGTTGCATTCTGTGAATAGAGTGATATTGCTAAACTGAATCACCCTCTTGTTTAAACCTTCCCCGTGGTTTTCTATTATTCCGAGTAAAAACTGTAAAATGGTTTATGAGCTCCTTTGTTATCTGGTCCTGCTTATTTTTAAGGTCATCATGTTCCTTTCTTCATTTACTATTTGCACCCACGTATCAGCCATGCTGTATTTACGTCAGTTTCTTATAAGACCAGGATACTTCATGGTCATGTGTTTTTTCTTGTTTAAAATACTCTTGGCTTTGTCTAGCCTACTCTTTTTTTCTTCTTTTTTTTTTTTATTTCTTTAAGAGATTTTTGCTATAGGGTGCATGTGCTCACCAAAGAGACAGAGAGACAGAAAGCAAAAAAAAAAAAAAAAAATCACTCCCTAGAAGGGATGGCCATGCCACAATCCCTTCTTCTCCATTTCATTTGCTAAAGGAGGCTCAGGTCGGGTGTGGTTTATCTGTCCTCTAATACCACCTTTTATCCCACCTATCTTAGTCTTTATTTCCTTGTCATACTCCCACAAAAGTGGAAGCAGTATGAAAGAAGAAACGAATCTTCCTATCCATAGTATCTCTAGCATTTTTGGTACTAGGAGATGATCAATAAATATTTTTGAATTCATATTGAATTAATATAGTGACAATTTCATCATTATTGAATAAATTGATGTCCAAATCTCTAGCTCTGGTTGAAATTTTATTTATTCATTTATTTATTTTTTTAGAGAGATTTTTGCTACAGGGCATGTGCACTCATTGGAGAGAGAGAGAAAGTAGACAATAAGTCACCCCCGCCCCCAAGGGGATGGCCACCCTGCAGTCCCTTCTCCTCCATTCTCCTTTTGGGATCTTGGCACACATACACATGAGTCCAGTGTGAGTTTGAAGCCTCTGGGTCCAGGTCACGAACCATAGTCGGCCATGTGGGAGTCCAGAGACATAACTATTATGCTACAGCTGGTCCTGTGGTTGACATTTTTAATTGTATAATGAGCAGTCCACCTGGACAGCCAGTAGGCAAATTAACACATAATTTTCTGCCATGAATCTACCCTTCCACTTCTTTTCTGTCTCTTTCTCAATGTCTTAGTCTGTTTTTGCATTGCTAACAGAAATGCTTTAGGCTAAGTAATTTATAAAGCAAACAAACAAATATAAGGGTTTGCTTGCAAAATTCGTAATTCTGGTGGCTGAAAATCCAAAGATGTCACAAAAATGGTGAAGGCAGAACTTCTCCATAACATAAGTACAACTTAATTATGCAAGCCCCACTTTTTACTTCAGTCACTCATTACACTCAGATGTAGGCTGACTTATTGAGCATGTCTTTCTTAGAACCTCTGTAGGGTCAGACATGCTTTGTGCACCTTGCACTTAGAGCCCCCAAAATATTTCTTCTGCTTGTGAGTTGCAGTAGCTAATTAGGAATCCAATTGAATTAAATTCAAAGTTTTAAGTAAGAGATGACTTGGAAATATAGAATTTGTATGAAAATAAGAATTTGTATTCTACAGTCTCCAAGTTTACAATTAGAGTGAATTTGGGAATAGAATCCAAGTTTTTATATGATCCACCATTGTGAATGAAAGAGAAGTGTTACCTATTTTTTGGAAGCTTACTCAGTGATCATTTTGTAGCTGATAAAGACATAAAAGAAGAATATTATTTATCTGGTTTGTCTTTGAAATTAATACCCAAAGTATTTAGGAAATGTAGCTGTTTAATATGTCCAATATTTATTTTCTCTCTGACCTGATATGTACACACATGCATTCTATATTTATACTTCATAATTAATAAACATTGTTTGCCATACTTGCAGTGTAAATGAATCTGAGCCTTCTTTTGAAGCAACCAGAAGGTATTATTTCTATTTTAACCTGAGTTTAATAAGAATAACTTCCTTCCTCAGATTTTAATCTCTCATCCCTAGTCACTGTTCATTCTGATGATGTACAGTTGTTTATTAAAATGTGCTAGCATATTTCCAACAGCAGTGGTTCTCAACCTTTGCAAGCTGCTATAAGAGCTACTTTGCCAAACAAAATGGCTCATTATGTCAACTGTTTTCTTCTCAGTGGGTCATGCATGTCCCTATGTTGGCAGACACTCAGACTGCTCTTAGTAAACTGGACTTGGGGTTTTATGAAATAAAAATTTAAGATTTAATATATATATTGATTGTAAGTTAAACAATGATGTGGTCTGCCTATAAGAGACAGAGTCAAATGCCTTATCTATTTTACGACAACCACCACCAACACTAAAGACCATGGGCAAGGGGAGGCAGAGATACCAGAGGTTGGGAACTGCTGTTTTACTGTGTATGTGATTATCTACAAGATTACTAGCATATGATACATGATCATGTCTTCTAAACTCCTACGACATAATGTCTCAGGATGGTTCTTGAGCATTTCTAACTACTCTGTTTCTTAACCTTACTTTCTCTTAACCTCAATTCCTAATTAGTACTTACAGACTATGAACTAACTGTGGAAGTCTGACCCCCTTCCACACTCCATTACCATTATCCTTTTCAGTTCACATGTATTTTCCTAATGATTTAAAATTAGAGTCTGATGTATAGACATCTGGTAGGATTCGCAAGCCAAAGAAATAGAGGAATAATAAATAAACTATTTCAATATGCTTTGAAATATGTAGTTTTCCAGTGTGCCATTTCACTGTTGAAATGGGCAGCTCCAGATATTATTCAGTGTTTAGAATATTTATGTATTAACTATTATCTTAAAATGCCACATGTGTATTTAATCGTGTGATGAAGCCACAAGCATAATCTATACTTACAGTGTCAGTTCACATCTTTTTCTAAGGTCTGCATAGGAAATTCATGGTTGTATAAAGTATTTTTTAAATAAAGTAAAATATCTGTGGCTGTTAGAGAAGGTGAATTGTTATTCATCTTTTAAGTTTGAAACAATTATAGTTATTTTAGAACATTTAATGAACAGTTGTAATCTAGAAAACCTCTTCAGCGTCCCCAAATAAGATTTTACACACTGAATGGAATTTTGATTAAATTTTAATTTTTAAAATTTAGGTAGCATTTTTAGCCATTTCTTAATATGGTTGGTGGTCTTTAAAAAGTTCCTTTTAGAAGCTATTTATTTCTGAGTTTAAAATATTTTATCAACTTTTATTTCCCTTAGTTATACTAAAATACAAAGCACAGTGTAATTCTGGTGTTTTGTTTCTTTGCCACTTTCCAGTAGAAACAGGTATTCCGTGGCTTACGCGGCTCAAAAGCCTTGGCTATTAAATGCTACAGTAGAAGAAAATATTACCTTTGGAAGTCCTTTCAACAAACAGAGGTAAGCTTGCGCATATATAAATGTAAACTTTAGAACTGAAACATAACTTTCCATGAGTTTGGTCTGTGGTTCCAGGAACTCCCTTTCTTCCTTCTTGCTCTATGTCCATCCACATCACTGGGGTCATTTGAATCAACTCTTAAAAGAAGCCTCATTGGAAGTTTCAGTCCAGCCTGAGCATTTATTGAGAACAACTTACAGACCAAGATGAAACAGCAGCAATTGAAGTGTATATGTGTGGATGTGTGTGTGTGTGTGTGTGTGTGTGTGTGTAGGGTGGTGTTGCTTAAATTATTGGTGAGCATTTAAAGAAGTAAAAACCCAAGTAAGCTACAGAAGGAGGGTTAACTGTAAAAAGAATATGGGGTCTGAGCGTCTAGTGATTGGGCAAGTTTCAGAAAGAAGAATAAAAAGGTAAATGCAGTGTTGAATCTGAAAGTAAAATTTCTCTCTCTTTCTCACACACACAGACAGAGAGAGAGAGAGAGAGAGAGGGAGGGAGAGGGAGGGAGGGAGAGAGATACACACAATGAATTGGGATCAAAGAGACATTTAGGAGCTAGCTGGACTAATTATTTAAGTATGCAGTATAATTTGTCTGCATTTGAGATAACAGTAGACATATAAAAACAGGGATAGTTGAGAAAAAAATGTTCTAAAATTAGAATAGACAAATACAAGCAGGAGGAAGATGGAACACTCAAGAATGACTTGAATGTTTAAGACTAGGAGACTAAGAAAATAAAATGGCTATACATTAAGTGGAGACATACAATGTCTCTCATTCATACCCTGACTTGCTTCACGCAGCAGGAAATCTTCCATATTTGTCGACTTTCTATCAAATGCCAGGGTCTTGTTCATACCTATGTATCTTTGTATCTCCAAACCTAGCATAGAGGCTAACATGTGATGTTATTTAGTAAACGTGTATTTCAGTTATCAAGATATTGAACCTGGGACTTAGTTTATGTGCAGTGTCTTAATAATAGTCTGAAAATTCAAAACTATTTCTCCCAAAGGTACAAAGCTGTCACAGATGCCTGCTCTCTTCAGCCAGATATTGACTTATTGCCATTTGGAGACCAAACTGAAATTGGAGAGAGGGTGAGCTATGTATGGTTTAATTAAGCAATAAACAATGACCTATATTGGGGGCATAATGAAATCTGAAAGATCAAGAGTTGTATGTTATCATAGTGACAAGTTCCAAAAATACGAAGACGGGTCCTTTGATACATCCCTGCCCTTCAAGTATTTATTAACTACCATATAGTTAATCTTGTGTTACTCAGTGGGGAGTTTTCAAGTTAAACATAGTCCCTGACTGTGATAAAGTACGTTTTTGGCTAACTTGGAGTTTCCTTTAATTGATTTGCAAGCTGAAATTTCTTTGGACAACCTCTTCATTCTCACCAATATCTATTTATTCTTGTTAAACTGCTTTTTCTTTGTATGAGCATGTTTTACATTGACATCATACTATTTCGACCAGCTGAAAAATATTCATACCTGTTATCTTTATAACACTAATGGCCACAATTTTTCAACCCATAGAGGCATCAAGTGGACAAAGGCTTCATATGCACCATCCACTTGCACAACAAATCTGTGTGATGGATGCTGTTGGTACCTGCATATTACAGCTGAGATAGCCAAGACTAAGCAGGATTAGTGGGGTTTGCAGGAGTAACCTGGCTCTGTAGCCTTTGTTCTTAATGGCTATTCTTCATTGCAGCACAGTATAGTATTTAAGAGAATGACCTGATTTCTCTGTCTCGGTTCCCACATGTGGAAAATGAAAACAATACCTACAGATTGGAATTGCTATGAGGAATAAAAGAAATAAAAACTGTAAAGCCATTTACACAAGCCTGACACATAATAAGTGCTGAATTAATACTAGTTTTTAAAATATTTATAATTAGATCCAGCCTCTACGGCACAGTGGTACAGCCAGCCAACTGCAGGTTGAAAACATGCCAAGTATCCCTGTGGGTGCCCAGGATCCTGAGGAGCTGGAGAAAGGGTATCATGGTGTGATAAGACATGCTTGAGGGTGCTTCTCTTGCTCTCTTTCTGTTTATTTTTCTCTGTGTGTGCATGCACATGCTCTCTATAATAAAAGGTTCTTTTTTTTTTTTCCTTTTCATAACTTTTCCATAGGGTGCATGTGCTTGCTGAAGCGAGAGAATGAGAGAGAGAGAAAGCAAGAGAGAGAACCCTCCATAGGGCATGGCCACACTGCAATCCCTTCTCAATCTTTCCCTCTCCTTGGGATTTTGGGCATGTACACGTGTGTGCCTGGTTTGTTTTGTTTTGTTTTGTTTTGAGTCCTAGACCCACCAAGACTTGAACTGTGTGGTTGGCCATGTGGGATCCAAGCACCACGCCAAGCACCATGCCATAGGCTGGCCTCATAAACATTTTTTTATAATGTAATGCTTCATTCTGAAACCATATTGCTGTACAATATGAATATAATTTGCAATATAAAATGTAAGAGATATATGGGAAGTAAACTGCAGACACAATTCAGGATACCAGAAAAAAGTCTTAAAATTGCTTGCAGTCTGCAGTGCTCACCATGTGTTATGGTTATTAATCCTTCTGTACAGCAGAACTTTCCATCAGAGCAAAAGGAGAGTTAATGTTATCAGTCCAAAAACATTTTGATACAACTCTACTATTGGCCTGTAAACAGTTTTAATTTTTCTCTTATCAATGTTACCAAAATTTAATTAATATGTTTTTTTAAGGAGACATTTGTAATTTAAAAGTGGTTTTCGTTTTACCAATAGATCACTTACTGATGAAAAAAAATGGTTGTTTATGGGTGTTTCTTCTTTAGGGCATCAACCTGAGTGGGGGTCAGAGGCAGAGAATCTGTGTGGCGCGAGCTCTCTATCAAAACACCAACATTGTCTTCTTGGTAAGAATATGGCCTTGACTTTTATTTCTTTTCTTTTTTTTGCCTTGGGACAAAAGAGTCTTTATACAGGTGCATCAGTAAACTCACGGAAAGATGGTTTAACTTGTGAAATCAAGTAAGGAAAATAAACCCTCATACTATAAATCAGAAGATCAACATATAAAGTTAAGAGTTAACAATGAGGCCGGCAGATGGTGGTTAAGGGTGCTGGACTCCCATGTGATCGACCATGGTTCAAGTCCCGGATCTGGTGGCTTCCTTTCTCTCTCTCTCTCTGTCCCTCTCTGGTCAAATTAAAATAAATAAATAAAGTTAATTAAAATAATTCTTTAAAAAAATTGAGAAATCCAGATTGTGTCCAGAAGATTGAGGTGCTCTAAGTGCTTGACTGTCTCGGTTTCTTAGCTGTGGATGGTGTTGGATCAACTGGACAGGGTTCATAGGTCTTCTTATTTACACGTGATGGCAAATAAAGAAGGGCCAGAAAATACTGTATGTTCTTGGTGGAAATAACAGTAAGTAAGCTAACATTCCATTCCAGTGGTGTGCAACTCAGGCTTAAATAAAATTTGTCTGTGATGCTTCCTACAATTATAGCAATCTCAGTCCTGCCCTAGACAGAAGGAATCATAATCTGTTAGGACAGAGTCTAGAATCTGTCTTTAAAAAGTTCCATGGGAGATTTTCATGGTCATCTTGGGCTAATAATTTGGCTCTGCTGTGGATCCACAAACAAAACTTGATGACTGTGTTTATTTTGATTTTGCTTTCTTTTGGTTCCTTCAGCAAGAAGTGGCCAATGTATATTGGCTCACAAGTAGACAGTGTAGGTTAGAAACCTGGCAGAGTGTGTACATGTAACCTTAGCCCATCTGCTTCTGTGCAATTACTAGCCATTTACAAATATGGTTCCTAGAACTCCTTTAGCGTCTTCACACCATCTAATCTCTAGACTCTCCTCAAACAGTGAGCTGGCTTTAGAGTTTCCCACTGAATTTGGATCCATTATTGGCGATGGTAGCAGAACTTGGACATACTGGAAATTCCTTTCAAATTGATCTTCCTAAGATTACCTGTCCTCCAAATTTTCAAAAAAAAAAAATGTAATAAAAGCCATAGCAAGATCTAAGATCTAATTATAAGTCCTTTTTGTAATGGATGAGCCCACTTTTAGCAGTGACTTCATGAACCTTGGGATTAATTAATGACTGAACCTCCCAATGAACTGACTTGGTAATCACAGGAATCAAGATCCACTGCATTACAACTTTTACCCCATTAAATTGTAGTTCAGTCCAATGACTATGATTTAATGACCCAAATTACTAAAATTGTAGAATCATGGAATTGAGAGTCATACGGTTACCTTATTGTGAATTCCCACTCATTCATTACAATTACTTTGGGCATCGTTTCTAACAACTTCTTAATGACTTTCTGAGGATTTGTTGCTCGCTTTTAAGGAAACCTCTTTTTCTGGTTGGACAATGCATACATTTCCTATTCCTGCTATAACAAGTCACTATAATTGGTGAGTTAGTACAAACTTACTGTCTTACAGTTTTGTAGGTTAGAAGTCCAACAAAGTGTTAACAGGACCATGGCCCCTTCTGGAGATTCTAGAGGCTGTCCATGTTCCCTGGTCTGAGGCTGCTTTCCTCCACCTACAAAGCCAGAAATATGATGTCTCTCTGAACATTATTACATAGTTGCATCTCCCCCTTCTCTGCTCTTAAGGATTCACATAATTAGTTTGAGCCCATCTGGATAATCTCCCCTTCTCAAAGTCTTTAATCTTAATCACATCTGCGAAGTTCCACTGGCCATGTAAGGTAACATAATCACAACTCCTGAGAATTAGGACCTAGGCATCTTTGGGGCCGTTACTCTCCATATCGCACATAGGTCTTATTGGAGAGTTATCATGTGATTAAAATCTGCTTCTGTATATTTTCCATTCGTTGGTCTTCATTCTTCTTCTGCAGCAACAAATATAGTGCTTTTATTCATCCATAGTTCAACATTTTAATATTACAATCCTAACGCTTTAATTTACTTCCTCTAGGCTAAACCAAGCTTACTATGTTCAAGTCTTCCACAAATGATGGAATGTGCATAACTTTTCCTAACCCTGGATGCAACAATGTTTATTATAGTCCCTTCAGAAAAGGATGTGGTAGATACACTGACGAGCTCAGATAACCTTAAAACTACTGGATCTTATCATCTAAAAGTTATACTTCTTTGCAACTTGAAACTAGAAAAAATTTTATCTGTAATGGAATGCTGCTAATATGTTTTAGTAATTTCTCAAAAATGATAATATTTAGGGGCCGGCAGGTAGCATGGTGGATAAATGCGCTGGACTCCCACATGGCTGACCATAATTCAAGTCTCGGATCTGGTGGCTTCTTCTTCTTCTTCTCTCTCTCTCTCTCTCTTTCTCTCTCTCCTCTCTCTTGTCAAGTTGGAAAATAATAATACATAAAGTTAAAAAATTAAAAATGACAATATCTTGCACTTCTACTGTTCAAAAATTCATAAAGCAGTCTGAACCACAGCTACATCCCATTCGCTTCTCATGACAGTGCTAGGAGGACAGTCAGCATCATTATATTAAGATTTTCTGAAATTTTTTATGTCAAGTTAATACCCATATTATGTTTTCATCTTCTTTCATCTTTTCTTCTTCCCTTCCTTTCTCCATCCTTTTCTTTTTATCCCCTCTTCCTCCCTGTCTCCCTTTTTCCATCATTCCCACCCATCAATACTTAGTGAACATCCTTCATGCTATCTTCTATGCTGAATGGAGGAAATAGCAAGAAAAAGTGATTACTCCTATGTTTAAGGCTCTTTTACACATAATCACTTGAGTGGTCTTATATTTTGCTTTATATAAACTTCATCATATTGGTCTTAATACATTATCAAACCAAATTAAAATATCTTAATTACATATCAGGGATATTATTTTTGAAATTTTATGGCATCTGCCAATGTTCCATGTGTATCAATGAATATATTAATACATTATTTCCAAAAATATATCCATACAAAATACATGATTTGAACATATTCATTGAGTACAGAAGAGGATATATTAATAAAGACCACATATTTTTTTCAATAAATAATATATTCTTAAAAGTGAACAATTACTCATTCATTGAAATGGCCATTGGGCAAATACACTTGTTTTCTTTAAAGAAAGTAGCTTCTCAAAATGTTAATATACAAATGGAATCTTGAGGGGTGATTCTCAATCCATCAAACCTTAGTTTCTATTAAGTTGTATAAAAGGATACACTTGACTGTAACCCCAAAATGCCCCACAAAGTCACAACTTATATACCATGAAAGCAGTCATTTTTAATGGTTTTCCATGATCTACCATGATTCTAAGAACTGTATACACATGATCTCACTTAATTTTTGATATAGCTCTCTTAGATTTGGCATTGTTGGCATTCTATTTATACATGAGGCTTTAAGGAATACCTGTCCAAGATAGTAATAATAAAGTAAATAGTTATACCAAGCCAGAGGCCTGATTCCATCACGTGTAGTCTTGACCACCATACTCTTCCTTATTAAAAGATGCCCAGAAGATTCTGAATTCACAATGTGATGCATTAAAAGAATAAGAATACTATTAATCTACCACAGCTTTATTTATAAGAAACAACACTTTAAAACTATGTGCAGACTTTTATTACATTATTTTCTTGGATCTTTGTAGCAACCACTGTGATTTCTGATGGGTCTCTTTATTCTTCCTATTTACAAATGAAGTGACTGAGTTCAAAACATTGCCTAATGTCAGAGAGTGGTTTACAAGTACAGCTTGGGTCTCTTTAATTAGAGAAAATGTTTTTTTTCATCATGTCTTACTATCTAAGAACATTTAAAGTTAGAATTTTATGGAAAACTAAATTATTATGAAAGCTCATTCCCAACTCATGTGTTCTATTTTCTATGTGAAAATTTTTCAGTGAGAATTATTTGAGATAATTTGGTTTGTATCACAAAGGCTCTAGGGTTTTTATTGGAAACAAAAACAGAAATTTGTCCTAAAAGTGGTCAAGGTTTCCCATGATAATTACCTGATCTTCTAAAACCAGTCATTTGTAATTTGTAATTACTGATTTATAATTACCAGCTAAATTTTGGTAATTATATCTTTGCTGTAGTATTGAACATGGAAATGAGACATCTTTGTCAGTATAATCCTGATAATCAGTGATATGTTATGTATACCTATATGTTTATTTTTAACTAATTCTGAAGTTCTACCATTAATTCTGTGTTAAAAAAACTTTAACCTAGGGTTTTCTATCACTTTTCCAAAATTTAGCAATTAGAATACCCAAATTATTTTGTTCTTATTATTAAAAGGAACTGAACGATAAATAAGGAGTTGTCTGTGATGATTCAAAAATGCAACTCACTGGGCAGTAAAAAACAATTCAGTCTCTTATACATACTACTTTTGAATCATTTTGTAAATAACTGATGCTCATTAAGGTGACCCAGAGGGCTTGAAATATTTTTAAATATTTCCTGCGCCACCCAAAGAGCTTTAGACAATCAAGATAATAAATGTTCCATTGAGCCCATTTTGTTTCATTATCAAGTTCTTTGCACCCAAATAAATTCATGCTTTAATTTCATTTTCCTACAAATTTTTTGGTTTTTTAGAATTATTATTTAATTTTATTTATTATTATTATTTCTTAATTTGACCAGAGAGAGAGAAAGAAAGATGGAAAGTGAGGAAGCAAGCTGCCAGGTCTGGAACTTGAACCACAGTTGACCATGTGTGAGTCCAGCACCTTAAGCACCATGCTACCTGCTCCCCCCATGAACTTTTTGAAGCCTTCTCATATATGCATATGTATATAATGACAATTGTTTTGTCAAACCAGTATATTATTCAGACTATCCCATTATTTTAATGACTTCAATAAATAAATGAGATAATTAGACAGTCTCTGTTGTTAAGAGCCATTTGAAGACATTGATTATATCACCCAGTTATTCATTAGCATGATATTCAGTAGACTGATTTTTAAAAGGCTATTATAATTTGGGGACCAGCAGTTAGTGTAATGGCTATGTCACTGGATTCCCACATAGTCGACTGCGGTTCGCGTCCTGGACCCGGTGGCTTAAAACTCATGCCAGGCGTGTGTGCGGCACATGCCCAAGATCCTGAGAGGAGAATAGAGGAGAAGGGATTGCGGCATAACCATCCCCCCTGGGGGGTGATTTCTCACTTTTTATCTCTCTGTCTCTCTCTCTCTGTTTGGCAAACGCACGCGCCTTATAGCAAAAACCTCTCCAAAAAAAAAAAAAAAATGAAAAAAAAGGCTACTATAATTCCAAGTTTCTCTAACTATGTGAATGTTTTGTTAATATTTATTTCCCATAAACCTTCTCCTAATGCTTTAATAAAGCTGTATTACTTAGCTTCTGACTATATAGACACAAGTTGATAAAAAGTTGAAACTTTTTAAAATAATATTATCTATAATGAACATGCAGATGAATTTATGCTAACTTTCAAATGTCAGTGTCTATCTCAATAAAAATTGCTTTTATTTTTCATTATCCAGATAATTGACCAATTTATTTGTTTGTATAGAGACTTATGATTGTGTGGACCTATTCAGAAATTTCACAGAATTATAATTTCTAACTATCTCAATATGTAGCCTATGTGTAGTAGAATGACAAACCAATTATTTCCTTCTTGGGCATATAAGACCAAATAGAAATTTGATTTCATATTCTACATATGGAGAAACAGCCAACAATTAAGGGCAATGAAGAAGATACTCATGAGCTCCTTTTTCACTGAGCCAATCACTTTTCCCAATTCTTTGCCAGAAACCTCTACCATTTTTCACTAGTTTGTCGTTTGAGCTTTCCCTCAGTTTCTTTCATTGCCTGCCATTCCTGGTGCTTCCACCAAGTAATTCTACGTCTCCTGCACTCTCTTGCGTACAGATAACTTTGCTTTCTTTCTGATTCTTCATTTTGAGGAAACATTCCAATTTTCTTTGGTAGTTTCTAGCTTTCTTTTTTTTAAAGATCCTGAAATGAACTGTGCAATGTGATGCTTTGGAAAACATAGGAATAAAATATGTGTAAAATATTTTATAATAATGCCATCAGTAAAAAATCAATATCATTTCCTAAATAATTTTCTAAATGTCATTTTTTAAGAGTTTTGCCATACGGCATGTGCACTCACCATAGAGAGAAAGAGACAGAGAGAAGGAAAGTGAGAAATCAACCCCTGTGGGGATGGCCATGCTGCAATCCCTTCTCCTCCATTCTGCTCACGAGATTCGGGGCATGCATACACATGTGCTCAGTGTAATTTTCAAGCCTCTATGTCCAGGACTCAAACTGCAGTTGGCCATGTGAGTCCAGTGCTGTAATCTCCATTGCCAAATGCTGGCTCTTTTCTACCTGGCTTAATAACTTAGTGCAGAAAAACTTCCTTTCTTCCAAGATGGTTGGCATTACTTCAGTGTTAGTTATGTCATTCTTATACTTAATGATAATAGCTAACATTTATCTAGTATTTATTATGTACCAGGCACCATACTAAGCACTTTATATATATTATCTCATTTAACCCTGAGACTATTCTCATCAAGTCCTGTTATGATCTAGTTAACATTTTCAGTTCCTATTTTTATTATCTAGAATTTAACTACTTCTATGATCTTTTAATTCTTTGTTTTGGTTTGTTGTTACAGGTTGTTGAATAATGTCAGGTTTGAACCTGAAGATTCTATAAGAATTCAAATCACTTTAAATATTATTTAACATTTATATAACTTTGAGTTGGAAGAGAAAAGAATAGCTTCCTTTTTAAGTTAGTAGCACTTTTTTTTGACAATTTAAAATTCTGCAGAACCTGGGACCAGCAGTTAGCGTAATGGCTATGTCACTGGACTCCCACGTAGTCAGCCACAGTTCGAGTCCCGGACCCAGTGGTTTAAACTCACGCCCGGCACATGTGTGTACGTGCCCAAGATCCCGAGAGGAGAATGGAGGAGAAGGGATTGCAGCGTGGCCATCCCCCCGGGGGGTGATTTCTCGCTTTCTGTCTCTCCGTTTCTCTCTGTCTGGCGAGCGCAAGTGCCCCTATAGCAAAAATCTCTCCAAAAAGAAAAAAAAAAAAAGTTCTGCAGAACCTGTTTCCATAAATTGGATTTGAGGAATAATATGCTCTTAGTAATTGTATTTCTACTTTCTAGAAGAATTCAGGCCCATAAAGAGTAGAGAAAACATTCACCTTCTCTCCTATTTACTGGTTGCAGGATGATCCGTTCTCTGCCCTGGACATCCACTTGAGCGATCACTTAATGCAGGAAGGGATTTTGAAATTTCTCCAAGATGACAAAAGGACGCTCGTTCTCGTGACTCACAAATTACAGTACCTGACTCATGCTGACTGGGTAAAATCTTAGGATTTGTTGACTTTTACATTACAGTCATATAAATAAATAGAGATAAATACTTTCTGAAATAAAAGTAATCCATTTGGCCCATTGAGGCTTTTTGTCACATTTCTGCTGACATATTCTTTCCTTAGATCATAGCCATGAAAGATGGAAGTGTACTAAGAGAAGGGACTTTGAAGGACATTCAAACCAAAGATGTCGAGCTTTATGAACACTGGAAAACACTTATGAATCGGCAAGATCAAGAACTAGAGAAGGTAATTGCTCATAGTTCAGATTTCAGAATCTAAGTCACATGAGTCAAAAATGTGCTATGTAATTATAAGAATGCCTTCAAAGAAGTGTTGTTATTTAGTGCTTGATAATAATAACGGTTTTCTTCTGGAGTCCAAAGTAATCGTATCTTTTTATCTTATTAAAGAACAGGCTGCTTTGAACTTATACAATGTTAAAGTTGTCTTTTGGATGATGTGCTGTCAGGTCTTTAGAGGATGGTTATTTGAATGTGAAATATATTGCAATTATATTTATATTTAAAATTTAGACAAACTGCATGCTAAATTATGGTGATTCCTTATTTTGTCTTGTATTTCCTTATTTATAGCTTAGCACCTGTAATGTGATAATATTTTTCACTCAGCACCTGCAGAGGTTTATAGACAAAACAATGGCCAAGATGATTTGGAAAGGAAGGGCCGTGAGCACTGGGTGAAATTAGGAGGCATGTCTGGGCTAGGGTTGGGGGGTGTGAAGGAAGATCAGAAGGAAAAAAAAATACAGTTTGTATATAATATGTGTATATATATATGTATATATATATAATTGTATATAATATGTATATATATGTGTATATATGTATATAATATAGTTTTTTAAAGTCCATAAAGCCCTTTTTATATGATCTAATTTAATTCTCACAAAACTCCTGAGAAGTAAGTAAATAAAATATTATCTTACTTTTACATATGACAAAACTGAGGCTCAGAAAAAGTTAAGTAACTTAACTTAACTTGCTTAAAGTTGTGCAGTTTATAAAATGAGTGGTACCAGTGAGATTTAAACCCAAGTTTATATCCAACATAATTAAATAATAAAGCTTAGGATGATATAAGTATGACATTGTATGAGGTGATACTAGACTGAGGTGATACTGGAGTTAGAGAAATAATCTGTTCTCAGTAATTCCTATTTATACTTTCTAGAACAATTCAGGTCCAATTGTTCTCAGTACTTTATATTTATACTTTCTAGAACAATTCAGGTCCAAGTGCAACAAAAGAGGAACAATTTGTGATCAAGAGATAAAATTATAAATTAAATTTGCAAAGTTTTGAAATGCTTTGCTTTTGAGTTGAGACTGGGAAGTATCCAGAATTTGGAATTCCTGGCCGGGATTGAGCATCAGAAACTGGAATATTTGTATCAACAAGTATCTAAAAATATCAGGAAATTAAAATATTTTAGAAAGAGAAAAAAGGGATTTATTTCCATAGGAAGAGAAAAATTTAAAAGTCAGACAAATTCTGGCATTTCCCTATCATCTGTGGATTTGCTGAAGACCTCAAAATCAAACCACACAAAGAAAAAAAGATATATGCAAAACTATGAGCAGAATAGGACAAATTGCAGCACCATTGAAATGAAAATATTCAGAACACACACACACAGACACACACACCATGACAAGGTACAGTCAACAAGTGCCCACTGAGAATTGTGCTGTGGGAAGGTTGATTATAAACATACTGCAGAGGGCTTTACATGACTTTTTGTTCAGTGATCTAAACACCAGGGACAAGAGAATATGATGTAAGCTTAAGCAGTGGGACAATTTATGGTTTACTTTGGAAAGAAGATCTGGAAAAAAAAAAATGAGAGCTGTTGGCTCGATATTATAGTCAGACTGCTAAGCAAGCCAGGAAGAAAGTTTGTTAGGTTGTACTTAGAAATGAAGCGATCACTGGAGATAGCATAGCTCTATAATTAAAGACACATTACAGGAAAATGAATCAACCAAGAGAGATATGGAACAAGTGAGGGCATGGACAGGGTAGATCCAGTTGTGAAGTGCGGTGGGGGTCAGTAGAAGCCAGAATGAATCAAGCATCTACCCAGAATACTCATCTGGAGATGGAAGGCGCTCCTGTACATATATAGTGTGATGTGTGTCACGATAGGCAGGTGCCTGAATTCACCTGCAGCCAGAGAGAATCACACTGTGGGGAATGAGACCACTAGAACATCTTGGGGAAGATGTCAAAACAGCTGTCTCTTCAGTTTGGTTTATGGCAGGACCAGGTGCTTGCTTACCAACCAGGGCCAATTTTGCCCCCTATGGGACATTTGGCACATGTGAAGGTATTTTCAGATGTCCTAAGTGGGATGGGGGATGCGGCTAACATCTAGCAAATAGAAGACAGGGATGCTGCCAAATATTCTGCAGTGCACAGAGCAGACGCCCCTTCAATGAGTTATCCAGCTCAAGTGCCAATAGTGCCAGTCGGGAGGAGCTAGGTTTGAGACAGAACAGCTCAAATGGAGGAGGTGGATGAAGACAAAAGACACAGAAAATCTGCCACAGGACGATAGAATTGTCCGTTTAAGAGACTGGGGGTAAACAGCAAAGAATGTGTTTAAAATATAGTCATGAAAACTACAAGGAAGGAAGAAGCAACAACATTTTCAGCTAATTTAAATTTTTGAATTATTTGATTATGTGAAAACTCTAACTGGCTGGGCACCAATCATTATCTTCATAATGTTATTAAGCAAAATAAATTAGTATCATTTGATGCTCCCTACTCCCCTTTCCCTGCCCTCACCTTAGCCTGGCCTAGTAAATATTTATTGGATGAACGAAACTCAATTTTTATTTACTTAATCTAATATTAAAACAATTTAAAATATTTAACCTGTAATGCATTTAAGAGGAGTATTTACTTTTTAAAAAAGAGAAGCTACTTTAAGGGTTTTGTTTTTTATTTTTTTAACCAAGATATTTTATCTTTTATTATTTTAATCAAGAATCTGGAAGTCATATAACCTTCTAGAATAACCAGTCCCCTAAGTCACACTTGTTGTATGAGGTCAAAACAGCAACAATAACAAGAACTTAAGGTCACCCCTCAGGAACTGATCACTAAAGGTTTATTGGCTTATTGATGTAACACACTGTTTTGTTTTTGTTTTTGTTTTTTTCTGTTTAATACTGGTATATACAGAAAGCTCCCAATTTACCATAGGTTTCAAATGTTTCTGGGCTAGTTTTTTGAACTCAGAAATCATTTCCTCACAGACTTGTGTGTAGAACCTGATTAACCTGCAATATGCTGAACGGATACTATTGTTCTTGTTCTGAGGGGAAAGAGAGGGACAAGGTGTTGGAACACAGAGCATGGAGAAAATGACATGCTTTCCCCTTTCTTGAGCCCAAGAGAAGTCTGCAACAACACTTAACATTTTGCAAAATTTGTTTTGGGCACTTTTCCTTTCTTTCTGCTTATTTCTACCTCTTTTCCCTAAACTGCTAGGTACCTAAGAACTCTCGTTGTCTATTTGATTCAAAATTGCCTACCTTTCTTCAGAGCCTGTTAAAGTTCATTTCTTTTGTACAACTCCATTAACAAGAGTCTAAAGAAACTCATTTTGATTTAATATTTCATATTAAATCAAATGCAAATTTCAGTTTAGGAACTGAACAAGGTAAATCCAGTTGTGACGTAGTGGGTCATTGGAAAAGTTATGACATATTTTTCTGTTTTTCTATGCAAAAATGCATCATGACTTTTCTGACCACCCAGAATGGCAGCCAGTAGAAGCCAGAATGAATCCAGAACCTACCCAGAATTCTCATCTGGGGATGGAAGGAGATTACTGAGAGCAGTTTAACTACATGCATTTTTTTTTAAGAATTATTATTTATTTATTTTGATTTGCTATAGGGCATGTGTACTCACCAGAGAAACAGGGTGAGAAAGCAAGCTGCCAGGTCCAGAGCCTGAATCACGGTTCGCCCTGTGAGAGTCAAGCACCTTAACCACCATGCCACCTGCCAGTCCTGAGTACATGCATTTTTAAAGGAAAATAAATGAAGTCTCAGGGAAAGTCTAAAAGTGATGCAAAAATAAATAAATAAAAGAAGTAGAGTGGTAGAACTCTGTTTTAGAGTAGGGGAGAACTCTGCTTTAGAGTAGGGGAGACATCTCCCTCCCCCTGGGGCCAGCGCTTTTCCTGGCCTTTAATAACCTACCCCTCTGAGCACTGAAGCACCATCTACAAATATAAGGTGTTGCCTTCAAAACTGCTCCTGTGCCAGGAGTCATGGATCTCCAGGATGAGAAGTCAAGGGAACTAACATTTGTGTGTGTGTTTGGGGGGGGGGGAATCATTCTTTGACAAGCCAAACTTTCTATGACTGTGAGCTCCTTGAATGATAGTATACTTACTACAGGATATGGAAGCTGATCAGACAACCCTAGAGAGGAAAACTCTCCGAAGAGCCATGTACTCAAGAGAGGCCAAAGCCCAAATGGAGGATGAAGATGAAGGTAGATCTTTTTCTTGTATCTGAAACATTGAAACAAAGTGATAGGATGTGAGGGTTCTACCTTAGCAGTTTAAACATGGGCATTGCAGTGAGAACTAACAAGCTACTTTGCATGTGAAAAGCTAAATCAAATAATACTCAGAATAAAAAGAATGGGAGTTGAGCCAAAGCAAAGTGTATATCATCCATCAACTGGCAACCCCACATGAGTGTCTTATTTTTGCGCTGTACGTGAGAGAGAGTAGAAAGAAAAAGGCAGTGGTTTGTAAATGGACCTAGACCCTCATTTAGAAAAACTAAGAAGGTCTAATATAACGACAAATCAAGCTAGTGTACACTGTATTCATGCAGGAAAAATTCATTTTGCAAGCTGTAATGGTATACAGTGATTAAATGTATTGAAAAATTAAAATTAAAATTAAATTAAATTAAAAAATAAAATGTCAATTCCTGCGAAATAAATGGGAAAGATGGTATTTTGAAGAATGTATATTTGATTCATTCAGTAAGTTCTCATGAGTTAGATGAAAATATAGCAGTGAAAGATGCAAAAATTAAAAAGTCATTTGTTACAGTTAAATTTTCTAGTTCTAATAATACTGGGGAAAAATGTACTGGCATTTTAAAAATGAGATACAATAATTACACTGACTTGATATTTGTTGGCAAGAATACTGTAAAATTAACCAACTTTGAAGTCCATAGGGGAAAGATATTACACTTCATTTTCCTATATAGTTTTTACTTAAGACTGCATTTCTACAAATTGTGAAAATTATTTCAAACCAGAGAATGCCAAACTATGTTACCTTTTTACTTTAGATGTTAACTATGAAAGCGTTTCAATAAATATTCTTTGAGTAAATGGAGAGATGAATGAATGAAGAGTGAATTTTGCATTTCAATTTCTAAGCTGAAAGATGTTCTTAAAGCATTTGGGGGGCTGTAGACAGACATCAACTTCTAGAATATGAAATCAATTTTTCCCAATACACTCTAAAGGTAGAGTTGCACCCACTGATTCTCTCCAGGGCCCCAGTGGAGAGTATACCACTGAGGTTGCTGAGTCTGCTCTGGTCTTGCCATGTTAATCTGCCCTCTGAGGTATAAAGTTAGATAATATCTCTTAAAGAGTAAAAGAAGGTAAGACATGAAAAGAGCCTGCTGAAATGTGTATTACCTACAAGGGTGCTATCCCAGGCCCTATCAAGTATGTCTGGTATGTCTATCTAAGTCACGAGAGGGGAAACAGGAAATAGGGAGCACCTCCTTTCTCTAAAGAGACTTGAAGTTGCAGGTATTGTTTCTACAAGGGAATCTTCAGGAAATTCATAGAAAATGCATATTGTGGGGACCAGCAGTTAGCGTAATGGCTGTGTCGCTGGACTCCCATGTTTTGACCATGGTTTGAGTCCTGGACCCAGTGGCTTAAACTCACTCCAGGCGTGTGTGCGTGCGTGCCCAAGATCCTGATAGGAGAATGGAGGAGAAGGGATTGCGGCATGGCCATCCCCCCTGGGAGGTGATTTCTTGCTTTCTGTCTCTCTCTGTCTCTCTGGTGAGCGCACGTGCCCTATAGGAAAAAACCTCTCCAAAAAAAAAAAAAAAAAAAGAATAGAAAAGAAAATAAAATGCATATTATGGAAAAACTGTGCATAGATTTCAAAATTTTTCCACCTAATAAGTAAAATTGAACTTTAATTCCATTTTTTCTGTGAACTGTCTTGAAGTCTCCTCAAGTGTCTATAAATTTGAGGGTTATATACTTCTTTGTGGGACAATAAAAATTATATCTACATTATGCCTATCTGAAGCTTAAACTAGTTTGTGTGTGTGTGTATATGTAGAGGAAGAAGAGGAGGAAGACGAGGATGATAACATGTCCACTGTAATGAGGCTCAGAACTAAAATGCCATGGAAAACCTGTTGGCGATACCTCACTTCTGGAGGGTTCTTCTTACTTTTCCTGATGATTTTCTCTAAGCTTTTGAAGCATTCAGTCATTGTTGCTATAGACTATTGGCTGGCCACATGGACATCGGAGTACAACATAAACAGTACTGGAAAAGCTGATCAGGTAAAATGGGTTCAGTTCTGTTTTTAAATCCCCAAGGAAATGTCGAGATTAATAATACTGTGCTCTTACCTGAGTGGGTACTAGTGGTCTTAATGTTATAGGACTCTGATGATTCAATAAATTAGTCATTAGAACACAACCTAAAACAGAATAAATGGCCAAAATGTTAAAAATGGAACATACTATTATTACCTTGGTTTTGATTTATTACAAGAGGGTATGTGTGCTCACCAGAGAGAGCGCGAATATATGCACACCCAGTGGGGCATGGTCACAGTGCAGTCCCTTTTTCTACATTTCTTCATCCTCTCAGGATTTTACACCCAATGTTTATAAAGCTGCCAGGGCCAGGATACAAACTGTAGCTAGCCACGTGGGATCCAGCTTCCTATGCACAGTGTGTGACTACTGTGCTACAGTTTTAAACTTACTTTTAAAAATTTATCATAAGAAACAATTAAGAATGTTTGGATTCAGTGGAGTTATATATGTATGATTTATTGGGTCATTGGAAAAATCACAATACATTTTTTTTTGAGAGATTTTCACTGTAGGGCGCGTGCGCTCGCCAGACAGACAGAGAGAGACATAGAGACAGAAAGTGAGAAATCACCCCCCAGGGGGGATGGTCACGCCGCAATCCCTTCTCCTCCATTCTCCTCTCAGGATCTTGGGCACACACGCACACGTGCCCGGCGTGAGTTTTAAGCCGCCGGGTCCGGGACACGAACCGCGGTCGACTACGTGGGAGTCCAGCGACATAGCCATTACGCTAACTGCTGGTTCCCAAAATCACAATACATTTTTGCATAGAAAATACATCATGACTTCCAACAACCCAATATGTGCATGTGTGTGTGTGTGTGTGTGTGTGTGTGTGTGTGTGTGTGTGTATGAGGGTGCTTAAAAATTTTGTGTAAATTGAGTTAATTTATGAATTTATTTTGGTTTAAAAATATGTATACAAACATATAAGACTTTCTTTGTTCTGATAGTATTTGATTTTACCTATCTTCATCAGTTTATTAGCTAGCTATTTTGAGATTACGGATAGGAAAGAATAAACTCTACAGTATACAAGAGAAAGCCAAGACTATGTTCCAAACCCCAAAACAAACTTACTACTTTCATCTGACTTTAGGCCAACTTTGAATGACAGTGAAGTAAGCAAACAAGGAGTTGGCCTGTGGAATTATGAAGACACTGCCCTGGGTTTCCCAGAACTGCAGTCCTTCAACTGTCTAAACGTACAATGTATTTGAGATAATGAAGTCAACAAACTTGTTTGACTTTGACTTTTCATTTTCTAGTGAGGTAAAAAACGTTCAGTTGATAATTTCCTATGTCTTCCTGTTGGTTGTTTTTTAGACCTACTATGTGGCTGGATTTAGTATACTTTGTGGAGCAGGTATTTTCCTTTGCCTTGTTACGTCTCTTACTGTAGAATGGATGGGTCTCACAGCTGCCAAAAATCTTCACCACAATCTCCTCAATAAGATAATTCTCGGACCAATAAGGTAAAAAAGTAATTATCACTCTCATGCATAAAACCATAAAAGCATTCATTTTAAAATTTAAGTGATACTTGAAAGTTTAAAGAATTCCTTCAGTCCTTGACAAATGAATAGGAAATTTATTTTCATGACTCTAAAATGTCCGGTGCTCAGGTTCCAGATAATTTAATATTTTCATACATGGTCTTAGTCCATTATCCTTGTACTAACAAAAATACCTGAGACTGGGTAATTTATAAAGAAATTGAGGTTTATTGAATCACACAACTGATGGGCAGTCCAAAGGCATCACAAAACAGCAGAAGGCAGAATTTGAAGCAGACAGAACATGGTCTGTATCCATGTGGACTCCTAATTTTGTCTAGTTGTATACACACCAAAATTAGGTCATGGGACCCTGTCCTTGCATCCAGGTCCACTCTGAGACATCATGGAAATTAAGTTTTAACTAACACTTTTATAATGCAACCAAGTCCCTGTGTATGAACTTTTGGGAGAACAATCTTACTGTATGAACCTTTGGAGATAAATAATTATCCAAACCATAACATACCCTTTAATTTGTTTATTATGTAGATTTTTTGATACTACTCCCCTGGGACTGATTCTCAATCGTTTTTCAGCTGATACTAATATCATAGATCAGGTGAGTATCTGAATGACTTCAGAGTTCCAAAATTAATTTCTCAGTATAAATTAAAGAGCATTTTAAGATAAAGCATGATGCTTACTAACAATAGAGGATTTCTAAAATGTAAATAAAGGTCTATTTGCATTTATATCAATATTATATGCACAAATTATTTACAGAGTAAAATCATAAGGGAAAATATTTATTCAGACTAATTTGTGCTTATAAAAGAAGGTACTTAGAGAATCAGCATGAATAAAGCAATAGCAAATAATGAACCAATGTTTAAAATTTTTATTAGAAAAAGGAATAATTTACGTTTAAAGTTTATTATTTATTTTCCCCATGAGTGAGAGTCTGAGATGAACAAGAAGACAGCACCTTCAGCAAGGTCTTGACCCCATGATACACTACAGTTTCAGCTAGCTCTGAATCATGGGTGTGTGTGCATTGGAGTGGGGTTAAAGTCCCTATTCTCTGTACACAGAAAGGTCTCCAGACCTGAACCTAGAACCTTCTCATGTGGGTCGGTCTTGCAGAGTGCTATACTACCACCCAGCCCCCATAAAAGGAACTGATTTTGATCAATGTTTTATCTCCATTCATAGTATAAAATTTTTAAAAGTTTAATAGCCATGCAGATGCCTCCCAGAAGTAGATGAGATATAAAACTCTTTTCAATATCCTCTCCCTTTTGTAGATTTGCTCTTAAAACATTAGGTTGTGTGAAATTTTAGGGAGTATTCTAAGAATACCCAGTCTAGTCTAAAATCCATAAGTCTCTAGAAGTTTTACTTGAAATTAAACACATCACACTGAAGTTGAATCACTCTAAGAGCAGGACCTTTATAATGAAGAAATCCATCAGATTTAGCCTTTGCCTCCTCTGACTTTCCAGAGAGGAATTAAGAACGCCTAAATTACCATCAGTTTAGAAAAACAATGCTGGATACATACAGCTGACTAAAAAGTGTGCTGAGAAGTCTTGAAATTTTCACTGCCTTGGTGTTAGGTCACGCTACACCTAAAACATTTCATAAGGCAAACATATCGGAAAAGAAGATGCAAAACAGTCGTTATTTAGAAAATTATACAAGGTGTCTTGGCCCACTATTTTGTTGCTAACAAAAATATCTGAGACTGAGTAATGTATAAAGAACAAAGGTCTATCTGACACATGATTCTAGAGGCTGCAAAGTCTGAAGACTTGGATTGATGTCATAATATGGCCAACAGAAACAAAAATGGTGGTGGATACAAGAGAGAGAGACCTGGGGACAGCGATCTTCCTTTTATAATAACCCACTCTCATGAAGAACTAACCCCTTCTCAAGAGAGCTAGAACTCATGGGTTCTTGCAAGACATTATTAATTCATTTGTTAGAGTGATGCTACCATGTCCAATTACTGCTAACTAGGCCTCAACTCTTACAGGTCTCATTACCTCCTGATTCCCGCTCTGGGCACACCTTCCTCTAGGAACTTCCATTTGCTCAGCTGTCTGGAAACTATCTAAACCTTGTCTTTTGAGTTTTTAATGAAGGCTTCATTAGATAGGCATATTGATTACATCATTCACCATTGGTGATCAGCTGAAACTTATTTGAGGCTAGAATAGGGTTGAAAGTTCCAATTCTTTAATCTTGCCTTGGTCTTTCCAGTGACCAGCCCCTATCCAGTCCCTTACCCAGGGACTGGAGTCCTTCATTCAACTCATTAGCACACACATTACAAAGATTTTAGGAGTTGTATGCCAGGAAATAGGAATGAAAATTAAATATATATTTCACAATATCTCAGCAACTTGGCATTAACATAAAGAGAGTATTTTTGTTGTATTTCATGTTTCATGTGAGCTAAAATTTATTTCCTTTCAAATTACCTTCTTAATAGCACATCCCTCCTACTTTGGAATCTCTCACTCGCTCAACACTGCTCTGCCTGTCTGCCATCGGGATGATTTCTTATGCTACTCACATGTTCCTGGTTGCTCTGGTGCCTCTAGGGGTTGCCTTTTATTTTATCCAGAAATACTTTCGAGTTGCCTCTAAGTAAGTAAAACAGTGTTCTACTCACTTTGAAAAGCTGATATATTTGATTTACTATGATCAACATTTGCTTTAGTGTTTACAAGATAAGGTATGGAATTGAGAAATGCAATCTATTTTTACTATGACAGACCTACTCTTATTTAATGATTCTTTTGTAGATCTATTATTTCTGAACTCAGTTGTCTGGGCCTTCTATCTCCCTGGATGTATATTAATATGCGGATTGCTCTACTGAGTTTGAGTCCACAGACAGACTGTATGAATTTTTCAATGCATGATCCTTTTGCTGAGCTGACATTGACAGAAAGCTTACGAAATCAAACATAGTCTCAAAGAGTTCGTGATTTAATAGTATATTCCACAAGTGGGAAAAAAAGTTTAAAAATATCTAAATCTTTAAAATAAATTGTGGTAAATATTAGTGGAAGTAAAAATCATTGAACAGATAAATCAGAGTGATGAGTGTAAAGTAAATACTTCTAAAATCAATCGATGTGCAATTATTGTACGTATTCATGGGGTATAATACACTTTTCAATACATAAATAAAATTTATAATGATCAAATCAGTATAATTAGCATATCCATTATCTTAAATTATTGTTACTTTTTGTTGGAAACATTCCACATTCACTCTTCTAACAAACTTGAGCTTTGTATTATTAAGTAGTCATCCTACTGCGCTATAGAAACATAGAACTTGTTCTTCCTATGTAACTTTGATTTTTTTTTATCCATTAACCATTATCTCTCAGTCCTCTCCCTCTGCCCTTTCCAGCCTCTGGTAATCACTATCCTATTCTCTTATTCTATGAGATCAATTATTTTTAGCTTCTGCACATGAGTGAGATCATGTGGTATTTATCTTTCTGTGCCTGGCTTATTTGCTTACCATAATGTTCTCCAGGCTCATCCATGTTGCTGTGAATGGCAGGATTTTATTCTTTTCTATGGCTGAATATTTTGAATGTTCCCCAAACAAACTGATACTCCATATTCTTAATCCATTCATCCACTGATGGCCACTTAGGCTGATTCCCTATCTTTGCTATTGTGAATGGTGCCACCGCAATGGTGCAGATATCTTGTCAACATACAGATTTTCTTTTCTTTCCATATATCCCCAAATGTGGGATCTCTGGATCTTATGATAGAGTTAAATGGAATATAATGTCAGTTGTTTTGAAGTGTTTCGGTTTAACTTTTAAGCTTTGCTACAAATAGTACAGTAAATTATATCAAGAATCATTTTATTTTAGCAAACATTTATTAAGTACTTGTGTTGTAATAACTGTATTAAGCCACTGTATTCAACATTTCAAGAGCCTGTCCTCAAGAAACTTAGTGTCTGGGGATGATAACACAAAAACCATATAGTATGAATACAAGGGGACCTGAAAAAGTTTATGGGAAAGTGAAAATAAAATATGAGCAATTTTGGTGCAAAAACTTTGAAATAGTTATTTTCCATAAATTTCTTAAAGACCCCTCATATGTGGATTATTAGTATAATAATAAAGCAGATACTGACTTTATTTAAGAAATTGAAAATATTTAATATGACTTGAATGTAGGGAAGATAAAAGAAAGTAGAGGAAGGCAAGAAGAAAAGAGGATTATAGTTAGGAATCTCCTGAGCATGTCATACAACATTTAATAATTTTAAAAATATGGTTCTCTCTCAGAGACATAAATTAAGGTCCTTTGAATACCTGTGGTCCTATGAAATCTAAAGTATTAATTCATCCATAGAGAATCATCTTTGCTTGTAGCAAATTCAGACCAAGAGGGAGAAGCTGGCCCTTAAATTCAATTTCATTTCTTCTGGTAACTTTTGCTGTTGCTGCTTGCTGGAGGGACAAAGAAGTTCAGAGTTATTTCATTACTACTGGCTGTTTCCAAATTTATCCTTGGCTTCTTACCACTAATATCAAACAGGCATATCTTAATTCAATCACATGCTCATTTGGGGCTAGTTTTGCCCTTTACTGATACAAATTGAGGGCAAAGGTTAAGCAGATATTCCTAGTCCATTACAAATTTAAATTGTGAATTATTTCATTATCAGTGAGAATTATCTGTTAGCATTGGTAGTGACTAAAATATGTAAAGGATTATCACTTTTAAAAATTCCATTATTCTTGTCTGAAATTCTCTGACAATTAGCAAATATGACTGCCTGATATTAAATCTCGCAGACAAGATAATCCTTCTCAAGGGTGAGGCTCTTTAGGGTGTTCTATAGATTTATATAGGTAAAAGGATCAAACCAGACAACTAACATGCTTGAACTTTATTGTTTATATTTTATACCTGAGTAGAAAGAGAAAATTTTAAAATAAAAATATAAATACCTTAAAAAAGAAGAACTTACCCATGTTGAAAAGCTCAGGCAACTTAGACGGTTTTGTGTACACCAAAGAGAACATAAGTGGGGAACTAGCCACAGGAAATGTCATGAAATCTCAAATATATCTAAAATCAGTGATCTAATGTCGTTTGCTCTGTGATTCCTTCTTACAAGATCAAGCTGCCCTCTCACCTTTTTTGTTTCACAAGACAGTTTTATAAACAAAGCTTTCTCCTTCCTAATGTTTTTTTTGCTACAAACCTCAGTGTGGTAACTACCCATTGCTTGTGTCAGATTTACAAATAGCGACTTGGTTTTCTGTTTTAAAACAACAGACTGCTCACATTCCTTCGTGTTGTCTCTTCTTCCCGCTGTCAACGCCATTCCCCATCCATAATTTCTGAAGTGAGCAAATCTGTTTTAGAAACTCTGCATTGAAGGGACTGTGCCTTTGTTTGTGGAATTACACAGGGAGCCAAGAATGGCCTCAGTTAATTGCTGAAGATTATAAAACCGAGTTTATCAGTTCAGTTGACTCTGGCAGGTGAATGTAGAGATGGTTTCTCTAATTCCCTCAATCCCAAAGACCTAAGGAAGGGCAGCCAAAAAAAGACTGAAGAGAAAAAAAAGAGGAGTGCCCCAGAATGGGTGATATAACTCTTAGCTTGCCTTCTAGAAATGCTAGCTTCTATGCTTTAAAGAAAACTGTCATATATAAGTATGAATCTTCATGAAAAGAGTCAGATTCAGGTGTTTGTTCACCAAATATGTTCTGAACACTTTATACATGCATGAGGTGTCTGTCCACGTGCACGTGCATGCATCCTTGGAGAACTGTGAATGGAAGCTCCATGAAGGCAGAGATTCCAACATCTAGTGGCCAAAGCCAAACTCATTATCTTTTCTTTCTAAATATCTTCATTCCGTGTCCCCCACTACAGTAAATAACAGTTGTTTTTCAAGTTTGTTAAATTAGAAACAACCGAACCACATTTAACTCTTCTATTTACCCTGCTCCAGTTCATTGATCATTGCAGTTTAGAAGGCTACTTCCTGTATCTCACAAACCCCCTCGTATTTTATGCTCACCTGCATCACACTGATTCAGAACTTTAAACAAAATGTTTATTGACTGTCCTGTTCTTTCTCATGCACTCATTCTTTCATCCTTTGCCTTGTTTCCCAAGTTATGTTGATGAAGCCCTGATCATTTTACTTCTAGAATTCAGAGATGTTTTTCCAGCCCATTAAGATTCTCCCCCAATCTAGTCTCACTCTTAGAAGGCTGCATCCTCTATTTCTCACTACAACCACAAAGGATTCAGCCAAAAAGCCAGCTATAGATTGCCAGGTTCTTCAGACTCTGCTTGCTCTTGCTGTTCCCTTAGCTGCACATGTGTTTTCTATTTTGTTGAAGCCCTCATCGTGCTAAAGGCTTGGGCTAAATTCCACCTGTTCAAATAAAATACTACCCATCTCCTACATATAAATTAACTACTCATTCCTCCCTGTCCCTACAGCAGTTTACTTTAGCTATTACTCAGAGCTAGTAGTTTTGTACAATATTTTACATTCAGTCTGGCCCCATATCCATAGTGTATTCATCTTTTAGATTATGCGGTTGAAGTTCTTGTTAATTGAGTGGTAGGGGAAAATGGTGGCAATGACATACAAATAGAATGCAAAATAATCTTTTTAAAAATTTTTTACACTGTAAAGTTTATTATAACTCCAAGTTATTCATTTATTTTTCATTTTCAATTTACTTTTAATCACATATATCTTTTCAGTGTACAAGATTGTTGTTTCCAGCATGAATACCATGCATATCAGTCAATCCAAAGACTTTACTATGTACATTATCATCCGCAAATAGCTTTTTATTTTTTGGTCAGTTAAGCATATTTTTTCCTTTCCTTGTTCCCCTCCCTCCTTCTATTACCCACCTCTAAACTATCCTTATTCTTATTATCTCTACTATCTACAGTTGCCCTCCCTGCTACCATCCAGACCTTCTAAATGTTCAATGTCTGCTATAGAGCACAGAGGTTAGGTATACATTAAGTGGGGCCACACAAAGTCTGTCTTTCATAGTCTGGCTTGCTTTCCTTAGCATTAAGTCTTCCATATCCGTCTACTTTGTATCACGTGTCAGAGTCTCATTGGTTTTTATGGCTGAGTAGTATTCCACAGAGTACATATGCCACGTGTTATTTTTTTTTCAGTCCTATCATCTATTTTTGGACATTTGGATTGATTCCATGTTGTAGAGATTCTAAATAATGCTATGGTAAATAAGGGTGTGCAAGTATTTTTCTGACTGAGGGTTTTTCTATCCTTTGGGTAAATAACTAAGAGTGGAATTACTGGGTCATATGGTAATTCTGTCTGTAGGTTTCTGAGGAATCTCCATATCATTCTCCAAAGTGGCTATGCTAATTTGCATTCCCACCAACAGTATAGGAGAGTTTCACCACAGCCTCACCAGCACTTATCATTATTTATTTTTTTAAATTTTAGCTATTCTTACTGGGGTTAAGTGGTATCTCATTGTGGTTTTGACTTGCATTTCCCTTATGATAAGAGATGCTGAGCATGTTTTTTTTTTTTTTTTTTTTGGAGAGATTTTCACTGTAGGGCGCGTGCGCTCGCCAGACAGACAGAGAGAGACATAGAGACAGAAAGCGAGAAATCACCCCCCAGGGCGGATGGTCACGCCGCAATCCCTTCTCCTCCATTCTCCTCTCGGGATCTTGGGCACGCACGCACACGCGCCCGGCGTGAGTTTTAAGGCACCGGGTCCGGGACACGAACCACGGTCGACTACGTGGGAGTCCAGCGACATAGCCATTACGCTAACTGCTGGTTCCCCTGAGCATGTTTTTATATGCTTTGGGGCCGATTGTATATCTTCTTCAGAGAATTGTCTGTTTGGCTCATATTCCCATCTTTTAATTGGTTTGATTTTGCCTGTGTGTGGGTGAGCTGCTTGAGTTCCCTGTATATAATGCAAATAATCTTGGATTTAGAAATTGACATGGTGATCTTGGAGCCTGGATGCATGTGAAGTTCATTTTTGCCTTCCCTCTGTCCCAGGGACCTTCAGGAACTTGATGATAGTACCCAGCTCCCTCTACTTTGCCACTTCTCAGAAACTGCTGAAGGACTCACCACCATCCGGGCCTTTAGGTGAGTAAACGTGTTTTCATACTGCTGATTAGACAATTGCATCATCAACAAATGCTTCCTACAGATAACTGAGGATTGCTACCATTTTTTTTTTTTTCTGGATCTCTGTGTACTTGACAGGGTACTAAACCAAGAACAAAAAAAAATGTGGTCATAAATATTCAGAGTTAAAGTTTAATTGTCTGAAATTTTAACAAGATTAAAGAAAGAATGAAGAAGAATGAAGCAACATATTGCGAAAGTACTAGCTATGCAACTTAAATAAGGCTTTTAATACCCTGGACTCAGTTTCCCCATCCGTAAAATGGTAAAGCCAATTCTGCTTATTGGGATTATTGGACTAATTAATAAAATGCATGTAAACCATGAACCACTCTGACAAGTGAAAAAATAATGAACAAGTTAAAATAAAGGTGTAAATACTATTACTAATACTAATAACAATAAAAGGAATACTATTACACCAGTTATTTTAGAATTTAATGAGTTTTCTTCAAGGCTTGTAAACAGGATGATAACGTAAACTTCCAAACTTTTGATTAGAGGGTTTACTTAACCCTTCAAAACTTAATCATACCTATTTTCCTGTTCAAGTAAGATCAGAAAAGAAACTAGCATTTTTGAATATCTTATTTAATTTAGAAAATTGACATTTTAAAGTATTCTGAATATATTATGAATGTATCTTGTGCAAGATATAATTGCAAGTGCATATTAATTTCAATCAGAGATTTCTCTAACCTAGAAAATTCATTTTTAAAATATAATACAGGGACCAACAGTTAGTGTAATGGCTATGTTGCTGGACACCCATGTAGTCAACCGCGGTTTGAGTCCCAGACCCGGCAGCTTAAACTCACGCCGGGCGTATGTGCATGCGTGCCCAAGATCCTGAGAGTAGAATGGAGGAGAAGGGATTGCAGTGTGGCCATCCCTGCTGGGGGGTGATTTCTTACTTTCTGTCTCTGTCTCTCTCTGTCTTTCTGGTGAGCGCACGCATCCTATAGCAAAAACCTCTCCCCCAAAAAAGGGAAAAAAATATGATATAATATAATATTATTCTTATTACATATCTCAGAATTTCTACATAAATTGATTTTATTTTAAAGTAAAGTTTAAAATTTATTTTAAAAACATAATATAACTCACATTATGTATCTCAGAATTTCAACATAAATCTACATAAGCTTCATCAAGAAACATTGAAACTTTCTACACTCTTCCATTTTTCCATTATAGTGTATGATGTTTTTTATTGGGATATCAAAACTATTTATTGACATTGAATGTATAATATAAATGTATACAAGTATAATAAAAAGATAAAGTTTATATGTTAATAGTAGCCTGCAGTAGGACCAGCAGATGGCATAGCAGTCATATTGCTGGACTCCCACATGGGTGACTGCAGTTTGAGTCCCAGACCCGGTGGCTTGAAAATCACTGAGGCATGTGTACATATGTGCCCAAGACCCTGGGAAGAGAATGGAGGAGAAGGAATTGCAGTATGGACGTCGCCCCAGGGGTGATTTCTCACTTTTCCTCTCACTGTCTCTCTCTCTCTCTCCCCCCAGTTTACTCATGTATCCTAAGGCAAAAACGTCTAAAAAAAAAAATTGTCAGCAGTGCCTGGTGTCATTAATAAATGCACCATATTGAAGATTTTCACCAAAGAAGTCCTTTCAAGTTAATCTGTTTAAGTTGTATTTATTTCAGTATAGGACTTATGTCAGATACTACTCTTGGTGTGGATAGTTGAGGGGTCTTCAAAAGTTCATGCAAAATGCCCATTATGAAAAACTATGCCTGGATTTCTTTTTGTGTGCACCATAATAAACGCATACTTTAAGTTCATTTGCCTGTAGACTTTCTTCAGTCTCCTTCTACAAAGATTGAAAGACATTCATTTACCCCCACATCCCTACTAAGGATGGCACCATTTGCCCCACCTCCACCTGCCATGTTTATTTATGCTATTTATTTCCCTTAAATGCTTTATCTGAGTGTTTTAAATTATCTTTTTTTTATTGTTTGCATTTTTTTTTTTTTTACTTAACAAAGAGTTTATTTTTATTTATCTTTTTTTGGAGAGGTTTTTGCTATAGGGCATGTGCACTCACCAGAAACACAGAGAGAGACAGAGAGACAGAAAGAGAGAAATCATCCCCCGGGGGGGGATGGCCACATTGCAATCCCTTCTCTTCCATTATCTTCTCAAGATCTTGGGCACACACACACACGTGCCTGACGTGAGTTTAAGCCACTGTGTCCGGGACTCGAACCACAGTTGACTACATGGGAGTCCAGTGACATAACCATTATGCCAACTGCTGGTCCCAACAAAGAGTTTATTATGAAAATGTACATGACCTGATTTTTATGTCATAGTAAAACAGGTCCATTGACAAGAGGACTTGGGTTTTTCTGTTTAACAGCCATTACTTATACTCGTTCCAAGGTTTCTAACATGATGCTACTATTTCCTCTTATTACCATCATTCCAATATTGTTCTGTTGCCCACTAGTTACCATCTCCACACATTCATCTATCACAAGATTCATAAATGGATCAAATCCCCACAATATCCCTCAGACATGTCTTTGACCATTTAATTTCAATGATAATGTCCTGTCCATAAATTTTTTGAATTTGGGAGAGTGAGCTTTGCTCATGGTAACTACTCAGCAGGCTCAGAGACACTTTTGAATGAAATTCTTGGCCTTCTCACATTTTACAGGCTTAATTTTTTTTAAGGTTTTACTTATTTTTATTTGTTTTCGTTATTTAATGAGTCAGAGAGGCATAGAGGGATAGAGAAACAGAGATGACAGTCCCAACCAGGTCTAGACATTACAATCTATCCATGCCTCCGCCTGTCCCAATTTAGTCAAAGACATTTCTGGATGCAAACCCAGAACCTTTCCATGTGGGTCAACCTTTCAGAGCATTGCATTTAACTGCTGCACTATTGTCTGGCCCTTGATTACATGTTTATCTGTCCCTTCCAACAGGAGGTAAGCACTATGACAACAGATGTTTGTTTGTTTGGTTGGTTTTTTAATACTTGTATTACCAATACCTGGGGAAAATGCTTGGCACTAAGCACTCAAGAAATATATATATTGCCTGACTAGCTGGCATGTGCTCTGTCCCAAGGAGCTCACAGCCTAATAGGAAAGAGGGGTTAAAAAAATGGCAATGCATTAGGACACATAGTCCAATATATGTACCACAAGAAATAACCATATTAGAACTTAGTATAGCATTCTGTCCTGAAGAACTGGGACTATAATAACTATGTTGCACAACAAATCTTTGACTGATGAATACTTGACCTGGAAGATAAAGGGGATAAAATATTCAAAACAGAGGTAATACATGTGCAAAGTATGAAGACTTTTGTTTTACATAGAAATAGAAAGACTCTAGTATTGTCAGGACACAGTGTGAGTATAAAGTTGACGGACACCAGTACATAAAGGGTTTTAAGTAAGTACCTTTAAGGTACTTTCCATGTTGAGGTAGTCACTGAAACACTTTTAATAGGAAAGTAATAGGATCAGAGTTGTGTTTATCAAGATGGTTGAGGCTAAAGGCAAGAAGATGCCAAGAGATGTTTGCATTGGTCCAGGAGAGAGACAACAAAGGCTAGCTGACACAGGAACTAGGAACTTGGAGAGAGTGTGAAGATTATAAACAATATTTGGGAAGGGAAACCAATGAGATTTAGGGACCAGTTGAATGAAAGGGAAGGAGAAGATAAAAATTATGTTTTCGGGGCCAGCAGGTGGCATGGTGGTTAGGAGTGCTGCTGGACTCCTCACCGGGCCGACCGTGGTTCATGTCCCGGACCTAGCGGCTTGCTTTCTCACTTTCTCTTTCTCTCTCTCACTCTGTCCCTCTCTGGTCAAATTAAAAATAAATAAAGTTAAATAAAATAATTCTTTAAAAAAATGATTTATCTAAGAGCCAGCCCCATTGCCTAATTGAAGAAGCCTAATCCCTAATGACCAGCTGCAGTTCAAATCCTAGTCCTGGCAACTTGAAAAACACACCGGGCATATATGTGCATGTGTGCCCCAAATCCTGACAGGATGGAGAAGGGATTGCAGTGTGACTATGCCCTATTGTGGGGTGCTTTTTCTCTTCCTCTCTCTCTCTTTCTGTCTTTCTCTGGTAAGTGCATGTGATTTCCATGAGTAAGCATGATTTTTCCAATTTGGGAAATTCAAGATATAGACTATTGGGGAAGAAAATGATGAGTTGGTCTATGAACAGATGGAGATGTTAATACAATATCCAGTTGGAGGTTTATTTGTGACCACAAAGCAAGCAGACTCCCACATGGCCAATCGTGGTTTGAGTCCCAGACCTGGTGACTTGCTTTCTCACTTTGTTTCTCTCTCTCTCTCTCCCTCTCTTTTGTGCCCTGTATAAACTTAAAAATAATAATAATGATAAATAAAATCTTTTAAAAGAAAAATTGAATAATTAATGTTAGTGAAACAGAAAATAAGTAGAATAAAAAGGAATCAAAGGTATCTGTTGACTATGGAAGCCGTGAATCTTTTGATAACTTTTGAAAGAACAAGATGGTGAAGAATGAACTGGAAAATCAGAACATAGAGGGGCCATTGAAAGCTACTCTTTCACAATGTGTCACTGAGGTACGAGAGAGCTGAAGGGAAGACAAAGGAAAGAGGTTTTTTTTTTTTTATTCTCAATCCTTTTTATTTTTAAGAGGGTAGTGACCTAGACATTTGCAAAGACTGAAGGGAAGAAGTTGAAATAGAAGCAGGATGAGACAATGGATGGAGCAGATTTTCATGGCAGATGAGTGGAAATATGATGAAGTGTCCAAGTGGAGAGATCAACTCAGCTGAACAAACAGTATTTGGTACATAGATCCTCTACAAAAATAAGGAAAAGATGTATGGTTCAGGCAAGCAGGAAGTCAGCCAGTTCAACATATGACAATCTTTATTTTTTCCTTAAAGGACAAGGTGAGGTCATCTTCTAAGAGTGGTAGAGTAAAGAATGAGGTAGACCATTTTGAAGGGAATAAGAAAGATGTATTAATAGAATGAAAGAAGAAATAAGTTAAAATTCAAAATTTTTCAGTTATCTTCTCCACTAGATACATAAGCAGAATTTGGCATTACAATTCCTGATGTTACATTTGGAAGAATTCCAAATGTAAGGAAGAACAAAACACTATATGTTCACCTTCAGTGCTTGAATTATAGTTGGAAGAAACAAAAGATAATCCAACTTTTATCTATATATATTTTCATCATACTCTTCCAGATTTAGATCTTCAAGGATTGCTTTTAAAGTAAATCTTAAATACCACAAATATCAGCATTTCTTAAACTGCAGAATTCTTGAAAATGTGATGATGACCCTGCTGCCATGGATACAATTCAAGAATCTTGGTCAGCTGTGGTAGCACAGTGGTAATGCAACACTCGTTCATGCTGAAGCCATGTGGCAAGCTCCTGGGTTTGGGTCCTGAGGTCTCCATATATGTGCCAGGTGCACTTGTGGGTGCCTATGATCCTGGAACGCTGAGTCTTTTGGTGGATCATAGCATGAAGACCCCCTTGGGAGTACCATTTCTTTCTTTCTCTTTCTTTCTTCTTTCTTCCTTTTTCTTTCTTTACTCCTTTTGTTCTTCCTTTCATTCTTTCTTTCTCTTTCTCTTTTTCTTTCTTTCTCTCTCTTTCATCAAAAAAAATCATAAATAAGCTTTGAAAACAACTAGAATCTTTACATTTGTTATTCGTGGAAAGACTCAAACATGTTCTTTTCCATCTATCTGTTTCGTCCTTTTTCTTCCTTCTCCTTCTCTTCCTCCTCCTCCTCTTCCTCCTCTTCCTCCTCCTCATCCTCCTTCTTCTTCTTCTTTATACCCATCGTCCCCAGAGTTTTGGGCTCTTTCGGAAAGTTAGTATTTACTGATTAGGCTGACTTTCCTCCCCTCCTCCCCTGAACTGAGGGATCATGGTGTACTCACATGAAACAATGAACTCCCTCAAGTAGTTTACCACAAATATATCCCAGTTAAATTAGACTGAGATTTCAGTGACCTTTCCTACTTTTTTTTTCTTTCTTTCTTTTTTTTTTTTGTCTGACAGAATAAAGGTCTAAGAATGTTCAGAAGATGAGCTGGATGTGGATGAAAAGATACAGGCTGAGTGTGTCAAAGTTTCCATTAGGAAAACAGAAGGTTTCTTGCCAAATAGAAACACACAGAAAGAATGTTCACTGCATTTTCACCCCTCCCCTTTCACTGCTGCTTCAGGCTGTTGCCAACTCCATTTACAAACTCCTTAAGAGTGTATCTGAAACAATATTCCAAAATTAAAGGAAGAGGAAGAAGAGTCCCAGACAAAGTGCTTTGTCAGAATCAAGTGTTTGACATTTACCTCCAATGTAGCCCACTGGTTCTGGTCCTGCTGGTCTCATCTCCAAAAGCTCCATTACCACAGTCCTCCAGAGAGGGGAAATTGTTTGATGCCCTTGAACACATTGGGCTTGCTTCTTGATATACCTCTGTTCGTGTTGTTCCTGTGATTTATAATGTCTTGTTTACCTGAAGAATTCATCTCATTCTTTAAAAGTTCCCTCAGAACATCTTTTTGGTCCTTAGTAAAATCCAGCTGAACTCTTCCTTTCTCCCCACCCTATGCCCTATTCCCTACCATCCTGTTCCTCTGGTCAGTGCAAACCATCCTGTCCTTTGTGTTCATATAATATATTGTGCATAGGATCATTATAACCAGTATGATGTTGCAACATCCTGGGTTTATCTCCTTCACTTCCCAGGGAGCTCCACAAGAGAGGAGGCTGTGTCTTGTTCATATGTATGTATATCCCCACTGTCTAGCAAAATGTCTCACTTGAAGTTGACATTTGCTCAATGTTTTTGAATGAATGGAGGAAAGTCTACCTTCCATGTAGCTAGCAAGTACAGAAAAAATGAATGTTACATGTATATACCTCCTTCGTTCATGTCTACTATCTCAGTAAGTCCTTCAACACTTTGAGCCCCACTACTTTTCGGTTATATGCTGTGTCCATTTCTAAAAGGCTCATCTGGATGGTAAGCAGGTTCCGTGGACTGTGTAATCCCACACCAGCATGTTGCCATTCAGCACGTGTCCTTCTGTGCGTGGCATTTCGGTCAAGACTACATAACTCAAAGTGAGGTCATTATTTGGCTCCAGTTTCTGAATTCTTTGATTACTGTAGATCAAATGTTGCTGTCGGACTGAATTATCTGGTTTGGCATATTGGAATGATCAGATTGATTGGACAGATATCAAGTATCTGCTTTATATTGGCCTGTATGGATTGCTTCAGTGAGCCAAGTGAACACCCCACCCAGGGCTTCTTCATTCTTTGACACAAGTGATAGTTTATTATAATGTTTTGTGATTTTATTTGAAGATTACTAGGGGACTGGAATGGTCTTTTATCAAAGAAGCATCATTGCCTAGCTGTCAGATGAAATTTGGCTATACCTTGCAAACATAACCCACAGGCAGGAGGTCTATGTCAGATAAGTCATAACTGCAGAGAGTGAATAAACCCCATTTTGATTTGGTATTTCCTCAGCCTTCAAACCTTCTGATTATAGTGTTCAGCTTTTTGTGGTTTATGTTATTCAGGAAACCTGAAAAATGGGAAGAAAAAAAAGGCTATTTTTGTGATTTAGAAAAGATTTCTCACCATATAGCATGAGTTTCTGTAGGGTAGTAGTTCACATTATCGTATGGTCAAGGCAGACACACTCAGTGGTATAGTGGCAATGTGATGTTCAAAGGATGCTGCTTTCCTATGGAAGATCAGAGTTGGTCCCTGGTCAACGGCACACCCATAATCTTGTCTGGCAGGGAAGGTTTTGGGGGTGATCATAGAATGAGACCCTGGTGAGGGCACTCTCTCACTCGATCCCTCACTCTCATCAAAGAAAGAAATAAGCTTTTTGGGACCAGCAGTTTGTGTAATGGCTATGTCGTGGGACTCTCATGTAGTCCCAAACCTGGTGGCTTAAACTCACACCGAGTGCGTGCACATACATGCTTAAGATCCCGAGAGGAGAATGGAGGAGAAGGGATTGTGGTGTGGCCATCCCCCAGCCCCTGGGGGTGATTCCTCATTTTCTGTCTCTCTGTCTCTCTCTGTATTTCTGGTGAGCACATGCATCCTATAGCAAAAACCTCTACAAAAAAAGAAAGAAGAAAGAAAGAAAGAAGCTTTTTTAACAAATATTGGTTTTAGAGAGAAAGATTTTTTATATAGGATGCATGTGCTTCCAGAGACACAGAGAGGAACAGAGAGAAAGTGAAAAACAATCCTCACCCTTCCCAAGAGGTGGCCAGGTCACAATCTCTTCTGCTTCATTCTCTTCTCAGGATTGTGGGCATGCACACATATGTGACCAACATGAGTTCCAAGCCACCAGGTCCAGGCCTCAAACCATAGTTGACCATTCAGGAGTCCAGTGCCTTAACCACCATACTACCTGCCAGTCCCTTAAAAATGATTTTAAAAATAAATAAGGCTTGGACCAGCAGATGACATAATGGCTACATCATTGGACTCCCATGTAGTTGACCGTGGTTCAAGTCCTGGACCTAGTGGCTTAAACTTATGTCAGGTGCATGTGTGTGTGTGTGTCCAAGATGCTGAGAGGAGAATGAAGGAGAAGGGATTGCAGCATGGCCATCCTCCCTGGGGTGTGATTCCTCGCTTTCTGTCTCTCTGTCTGTCTCTGTCTTTCTGGCGAGTACACGTGCCCTATAGCAAAAAAAAGTCTCAATAAATAAATATATAAGGCTTTTATTAGCAGTTTCATTTATCAAATTGGTTACATAGGCTGAATCTGATTCTGTTAAGTACCATAAACATAATTTGTCAGGGATCAATATTCAAATTGTATGTGTCATAGAACCCTGAAAGTACCACAAGCAGAGTTCCTATTCTGTAAAGACCATCTCTACACATAGTTTAGAGCCTTTGGGTGTAGATATCTCATCTAACAAGAATATTTGCCATCTCCAAGTCCCCCCAACTCCCACTTCTTACTATCTCAATTTCTTCATTCGGTTCCCAGGAATTCAAGGCAAAAAAAAAAAATTTTGTAAGTTCATAGTCGCTTGCTGTAAATGCATAGTTTCCTATTTCATATCCACTCTAACTATGTCATTTGCTAAAGTAAAATAAATGCCATAAAAATAGGTAGAAGATATTTCACTTATATACAATTTATTCTAGTTTCTACAAGGTCCTTACAACATAGATCATGACTTATGTACATGACAGCAATAATTATATGGAAATTTATGAAATGATCTTTCATCAAAAAGTCATCAGAAAGACCCCTTTTCCTACTAAGGATGTGAGAAGGGAAACAAACACTTGACCACATCATCTCTACTGAAAATGAGGACAGCAGTAGCAGCTGGTCTTTATTTTGTGGTGGGAGTCCATTTACCAGTCATTTCATCCCATCAGTTTGTCACTCAGTCGAGTAAATAGTGTTATAGTAAGTATGACTGTTTTTTATTACTTCTGTTGTGTGGCTAACGTCATAATATTTTTGTTTTCTGCAGGCATGAAGCCAGGTTTAAGCAACGTATGCTAGAACTGACGGACACAAACAACATTGCCTACTTATTTCTCTCAGCTGCCAACAGATGGCTAGAGGTCAGGACGGTACGTTCACTTCATGATTTCGAAATGGAAACCAAACCAAACAGAGAAGAGGCCTGATGCAAAGAGGCAGACAGTTGTAAAAATCAGTCTTCCACTCAGATTCAGTACCAGTTTCACATTCTCTGGACTTTAAAATAGCTCAGGTTTGTTTATGTAACAGATGAAATTTGTCATAATGTTTTAGCTAATGGCAAGACAAATAGCCCAAAAAGCAAAAATTCATTTTGTGTTCATTAGTTTCTAGATTACATAAGTTAATGGAATGGAAAATATTTGTTTAACTTCATTTTTTTTTTTTAAAGCGAAGTTGACAAGGGAATAGATGTACTCATTTTTTTTCATTGAGCTGAACAGGCCTAGAAAAGAGGGAAACTTTCTATGATTTCCGTGAGTGGAGTATCATGTCAGCAGAGAACATAAAAGCTATAGTTTATCATTTGTTGCCCTCTGTTCTGTATGAAGTAGAAGAAAGCACAAAGTGTAGTATCAACCAGACTTGATCTAGGAAGTTAATTTATCTGAGTTCCAGTTCCTCATTTATAAAATAGGAATAAGAGGATGTACATTGTGAGAGTAATAGAGTTATATATATACACACACACACACATACATACATACATATTCCCCAGTACTCTGATTGGTTGGCACATGCATTCAATAAATGTCTTTCGTTAGATGGATGAATGGATAAGTGAATGGAAAGACTACCTACCCTGGCAAATGGCTCATAAGCCAGCCAGATCAAGTATGAAGCAGAAGACACATGAGAGTGAAGTTCCAGAATGGAAAGAATAGAGTTTTTAAAGTGGTCTGTGTAATCTTCAGCATAAATGAGCTACTTTGGTGGTAATAATGAGTTGAGTGTAATTTTCCTTATTTTATTATTGGTAGTAAGTATGTGCACTTGACAGAGAGAGTGAATGAAAGCACCCCCAGTGAGGTGTGGTCATGCCACAATACTCTTTTCTCCATTCAGTCAGGATTTGGGTACACATGCACATGATCTGACGTTTTTCTCAAGTCAGTGGAGTGGGGCCAGGATTTGAACCATAGTCAGCCATGTGGTATCCAACTTTCTATGTACCGCACTTAATACACTGCACTGGACTTTAAAGTAGCTCAGGTTTGTTTATGTAACAGATGAAATTTGTCATAATGTTTTAGCTAATGGCAAGACAAATAGCCCAAAAAGCAAAAATTCATTTTGTGTTCATTAGTTTCTAGATTACATAAGTTAATGGAATGGAAAATATTTGTTTAACTTCATTTTTTTTTTTAAAGCGAAGTTGACAAGGGAATAGATGTACTCATTTTTTTTCATTGAGCTGAACAGGCCTAGAAAAGAAGAAAATAGGTACTGGAACCAGCCGGTGGTGTAGTGGTTATGGCACTCTACTCTCGCGTGGCTGATTGTGGTTCACATCCTGGACCCAGGGGCTTGCAACTCAAGCCAGACATGTGCATGTGTGCCCAAAATCCCAGGAGGAGAATGGAGGAGAAATGATTAGTGTGCCCATCCCTCCCTCTCACCGCATGGATGATTTCTCACTTTCTCTCTTCCTGTCTCTGTCTCTACAACGAGCACACGCACCCTATAGCAAAAGTCTCTCTTAAAAAAAAAAAAA